CATTTGGTTGAGTTGTCAACTAATGTGAATTCAACGTGAAATCAACAAAACAAATCACCATGTCATTGGATTTAGGTTCAAAGTTGGGTGAAAAAAAGACAAAATGCCCTGATGTTGATGACTTTTTACAATTCCAATTAGTTTTTCATGTTGATTCAACGTCATCACATAGATTTTTACTGTTACAATGACGTGGCAACAACGTTGATTAAACCAGTTTTTGCCCAGTATGTTTGATTTGAGGTTCATGCTTTCAGCAATAATATGTTTGTATATAGTCAGTATATTTGAATTACTGTGCAGCCAATATCTAAAGTCTACTGCTTTACTGATTCATCCAATGCAAACAGTATACTGTATCATCAATCATATCTTCAATGTGTATCAAATAACATAATCTGACTATATATTCCTGAGCTGCAATCATTGCACCTGTACTGTTTTCTATCTACACGAAGGTTATCTATACTGTACATTGATACAGTGGATAGAGAATAGATGCCTATAAATAGTGTGAAACTCTGCTTGTGTCCAGCAGCAGCTGTAGACTGGCATGTTTTCATCATAGTTGATCAAGTGTACTTGTCTGGTGACACAAACTGGACCTGAACTCCTGTCCTGTTGAATCAGTGGGTGCGCTCAAGCATCAAAGTCTTCTCCCTGGTGAATATCCAGTCATTCTCCAGCTTCTGCTTCACATCCCCAGGACAATCCCTCCTTCTTTCCCTCTACCCCCTTTTTTCCTTTCCTGTGTGCTCTCTCTTTCTCTATATGCCATTTCAAAGACAATCCCATTTTTGTCATTGAAATGTTTTTTCAAAACTTCACCCACATTTTAAATGAGTGGCAGTCTGGCAAGTACTACAGGTACAGCTATGACTACGTTTGACGTAAATACAAGGATTTACTCAGAATGGACACTACCCTGTCATACCAGACAGGTTTCGCCTACAGTCCCAGACACTAGTGGAGTGGGCTCCTGAGTGGTGCAGCTGTCTAAGGCACTGCATCTCAGTGCTTGAGGTGTCACTACAGACCCTGGTTCGATTCCAGGCTGTATCACAATCCGGCCGTGCTTGGGAGTCCCATAGGGCGGCGCACAATTGGCCCAGCGTTGTCCGTCATTGTAAATAAAAATGTGTTCTTAACTGACTTGCTTAGTTAAATAAAGATGTTAAAAAATTGGGAGTCACTGGACATGGAATCATGGCATGGCTAGACCATTCTGTGGTTGTGTCAGCCTCTCTGCCTTTCAGTCTCAGCCAGAGAAGTTTCCAGACCTCCGCCTGCACTCTCAATGACAAAAACCCCTGAACCTCCTCCACATGTCTGTGGTTTCCCCTTGACAAGTTCTGATAAAAGCCCTTAGTTTAAATAAGTCTGACAATATAAGTGAAGGAAAATTTCAACTTTCAGTGTTTTTGTTTTCTATTACCTCATGGCGCAGGTGTAGGGGTTCCACTCATGACTCAAACAGCCTGCCGCCAGTTTCTGTTTTCACTTATATTAATGCCGCTGTTTTTTTATTTCAATATCAAATAATTTCTGGGTAACAATTAAGTACCTTACTGTAATAGATTTCCATTAAGAAAACAACTATTTCTCAAGCAAGAATTTTGCTACGGCTGTCTGAGAGTGGTTTGAGTGGGGAGGTGAAAACTGAAAACTAGCTGTCATTGGCAGAGGTTTGGAACTCTCTTTGTTATTGGTATATAAATCAATTGACTCCATGGTGTCTCAAATCAGCTGATTAGAAGGTCCTATATATAGATTGTATTTTCAACCAGCAACTGTCAGGAAATAATACTGATAAAACATTTTCACACTTTTACAATGTTAGTTTCATTAACTGTTGTACAATATCATACAAAATACAGGTAAAACAGAATTTTTACTGCACTTGGCCTTTAAACACAGACATAGATGGAGAAACCTATCACCTGTTATTTGCTAGCAGCTAAGGAGCTGCCACAATACTTGGGTTTCACCAAGAATTGTGATTGATTGTTGCAGTGGGCTGCCCATGATGCAAGTAGTCAGACTGCTATCCAACAGTTTGGGGGTTTACTGTAGATGGAAAATATATCATCACCTAATTGGATTTTGTACAAAGGGTATATGATGTGTGTAAGGTCTCATGTGAGTTTTGTCAATGAAATCAGTAGGCACATTATCTCGTACAGATACAGTATGTGACAGCCACTTCCATCTTGTCACATCAAAAGCATGCAGCACAAACACAAACAAAACATATTTTATAACAGTTGCTAGGTTTCCATCCAATTGGCGACAGATTTTCATGTGAATATTCTAAAATCCGCATGAATAAAATATGCGCAATCTCCCACCAGTGGTGTTTACACCAAACTGACTTGTTGCAGATAAAAATCTGTGCGTGATGACGTAGTGCACACAAAATTCGCTTAAGTTTTCATGTACCAAATAAAAATCTAAAGTTCAGTGTGTTTCCATTGCATTTTCAACTCTACAAAAACTGTTGCGTTAAATAGCAAATATGCCTACTCTGATCTTGGTACGTGAATATTTGTATTTATCAAATGGCAGTCTAGCATCGATCATCATTTCACCAGAATAAGCCCCTAGATATTTATTGGAAAGGAGCATCACCACTTTCACCACCCTGTGTGAAGTTCATCATCATTTATTTCATCTGTAGCCTAATAACCTGCATGGTTTCCCGAGTCGTAGTGGGATATCAGCGCGTGACTCCAAGTTTACTTCGATATGATGGTTGTCATATCAGTATTTTCGCATAAAGGCGTTTCCACCGCCATTTCTCGAATAACAATGTCGAACGAACAAATGATCTGTCGGCATTTTAAACATTCCATCACAGCTGTCGTGATTGATTTTTATAAGGTATGACTTTACTCGCATAAAAACTGTGGATGGAAACGTGGTTATTGAAGAGGAAACAGTTTTGTCCCGCAGAGTACAGTTTGCATTGACTATATGACTGTGGCACTGAAGTCTGTGAGATACACAACACGCACACACATACACACATACACACACACACCAATGGAGTAAGAGACTCCAGAGTGAATGCCCTCTGTCCACACACACTCATACAAACAGTTTACACAAAAACAAATATCCCTTTATACACCTCACTTATTTTACACTGCTTACTACTGAAACAGCTTGAGGGTAGAGTAGACTGAATTTAAATTAGCTGAATTTATAGGCTCACACCAAGTGGAAAAGGTAATGCCTGTTCTATCATACCGAGGCAGACAGGACTGTCAGTGTAAGAGGCAGAGCGTCTCTCTCCCTCAATCTCTGCTATAGTTTTATAGCATTAAATACTTGACCATGGTTTAATTAAACCGACCAACATTTAACCCTCTAAAAAGTAAGCACCTTCAGTATTGATTATGAATATTGTAGCAAGAATTGCATTATTATTCTCGCCATAGTTAATTTTATTTGGATAGGGACACAGTACAAACACATTGACACATTGAACAAACAATCGTCGGATTGCGTTGCACTATAGTGTTTCTAGCTCACGCTTATTTTCAAAACCTGTCCCTAGATTCACGTGGTCCTCTGTAGCTCAATTGGTAGAGCATGGCGCTTGTAACGCCAGGGTAGTGGGTTCGATCCCCGGGACCACCCATACGTAAAAATGTATGCACACATGACTGTAAGTCGCTTTGGATAAAAGCGTCTGCTAAATGGCATATACTACAATGGATACTAATAGTCAGTTCCTGAGTTGGCTGGTTGGTGGTGATGAGAGTATCTGGAAAGGAAGTGTGTTTTTAGCACAGCTTCTTGAATTTAGAACCACCGCTAATGAAAGGCAAAACCTTATCTGATCAAGTATCTACCCTTCACTGAAGCACATCTCAGCGAATGTATTGCATTGGCAGTGCTATAGCCTCGTGTACTATGGAGTGTAAAAACAGCGAACCAAATGTCAAGCGTCCCGCGATGATTTAGCTCCACCAATTACCCTGTGTTTATCTCGAACAGCAGCAACCTGCAGTATCATAATGAAGGCATATACAGCCTAGTGTAAACTGATATGTGTATATATAGTATATATGCCAGGGCGATTGAGGGCAAGGGGTTATATAATGTATTCGGGAAATCCACTCCAGCAGAAAGTAATCCTGTGTTTTTGTTGTGTACTACTGCCCCGGTACCCTTATATGTTGGTGTGCATGCGTGCGCATTCGTAGGTGCTCCCGTACGTGCGTGTGTGTGTGTGTGTGTGCTGTACAATATGTATGTGTGTGTGTGTGTGTGTGTGTGTGTGTGTGTGTGTGTGTGTGTGTGTGTGTGTGTGTGTGTGTGTGTGCTTTTCATGTGTTTGGCCTAACTTTAGCCAGTATTCCCCTACTGTATTACCTGGAGACAGGCTGACCTCCCCGTTACCTACTCTCAGTGACGGCCCTGGTGATCAAAATCAGTTCACCAAGTAAAGCTCCAGCAATCAGATGCGGCTTCTGGTCCATATTTTATTAACAGCCATATTAAATATTAACGTCCACTACACTCCTATCCCCCTGCTTTGCCCCTCAGCCCTCTAACCGCACACAGAAGAAACACACACTACACCTTAAAAAATGTACACACAGAAATCCCCTCTCTATCTTGCTCGCTGTTGTTTCTGACAAAGATGCTTTGTGATTGCTTCCGATTGCAGTACAATTTGTAGCTAAAAGTAGATTTTGTCATTGTGATGGTAGTCTTGTAAAGCTGTCAAGTCAAGAAATGTTAATTGCACAATTTTTATTTCAATTGTGTGTAGATATCCACATTGGAATAATGGTAGTACAGCGATAACACCACACATAATACGGCTATTGCAAAGAGCAATACCGCATCATTTTTGTGCTACTTAAATTCAATTCTGGCTCTATAAGAAAACGCTACAGTACATCTGTTTCAGTGTATTTTAACGAACTATATCTACCTCTTCTCTTATTTGATGATGACGTTTTTCTCCTCTCTTCTACTCAAGGAGGATGTTCCCCTTCCTGAGTTTCAACATCAGCGTTCTGGACCCATCAGCCCACTACAATGTGTATGTGGACGTGGTCCTGTCCGACCAGCACCACTGGAGGTACCAGGGAGGCAAGTGGGTCCAGTGTGGCAAAGCAGAGGTTAACATGCCAGGTATGATTATCTAGCGGTTAAGAACGTTTGGGCCAACGTTGGGCCAGTAACCGAAAGGTCGCTGGTTCAAATCCCTGAGCAGACTAGGTGAAAAATCTATCGAAATGCCCTTGAGTAAGTCACTTTGGGTACGAGCATCTGCTAAATGACTTAAATATAAAAATATACAGTGGGGAGAACAAGTATTTGATACACTGCCGATTTTGCAGGTTTTCCTACTTACAAAGCATGTAGAGGTCTGTAATTTGTATCATAGGTACACTTCAACTGTGAGAGACGGAATCTAAAACAAAAATCCAGAAAATCACATTGTGTGATTTTCAAGTAATTAATTTGCATTTTATTGCATTACATAAGTATTTGATCACCTACCAACCAGTAAGAATTCCGGCTCTCACAGACCTGTTAGTTTTTCTTTAAGAAGCCCTCCTGTTCTCCACTCATTACCTGTATTAACTGCACCTGTTTGAACTCGTTACCTGTATAAAAGACACCTGTCCACACACTCAATCAAACAGACTCCAACCTCTCCACAATGGCCAAGACCAGAGAGCTGTGTAAGGACATCAGGGATAAAATTGTAGACCTGCACAAGGCTGGGATGGGCTACAGGGCAATAGGCAAGCTGCTTGGTGAGAAGGCAACAACTGTTGGCGCAATTATTAGAAAATGGAAGAAGTTCAAGATGACGGTCAATCACCCTCGGTCTGGGGCTCCATGCAAGATCTCACCTCGTGGGGCATCAATGATCATAAGGAAGGTGAGGGATCAGCCCAGAACTACACGGCAGGACCTGGTCAATGACCTGAATAGAGCTGGGACCACAGTCTCAAAGAAAACCATTAGTAACACACTACGCCGTCATGGATTAAAATCCTGCAGCGCATGCAAGGTCCCCCTGCTCAAGCCAGCGCATGTCCAGGCCCGTCTGAAGTTTGCCAATGACCATCTGGATGATCCAGAGGAGGAATGGGAGAAGGTCATGTGGTCTGATGAGACAAAAATAGAGCTTTTTGGTCTAAACTCCACTCGCCGTGTTTGGAGGAAGAAGAAGGATGAGTACAACCCCAAGAACACCATCCCAAAGGTGGAAACATCATTCTTTGGGGATGCTTTTCTGCAAAGGGGACAGGACGACTGCACCGTATTGAGGGGAGGATGGATGGGGCCATGTATCGCGAGATCTTGGCCAACAACCTCCTTCCCTCAGTAAGAGCATTGAAGATGGGTCGTGGCTGGGTCTTCCAGCATGACAACGACCCGAAACACACAGCCAGGGCAACTAAGGCGTGGCTCCGTAAGAAGCATCTCAAGGTCCTGGAGTGGCCTAGCCAATCTCCAGACCTGAACCCAATAGAACATCTTTGGAGGGAGCTGAAAGTCCGTATTGCCCAGCGACAGCCCCGAAACCTGAAGGATCTGGAGAAGGTCTGTATGGAGGAGTGGGCCATATATATACAAGGTCTGTATATATACAGTGGGGAGAACAAGTATTTGATACACTGCTTATTTTGCAGGTTTTCCTACTTACAAAGCATGTAGAGGTCTGTAATTTTTATCATAGGTACACTTCAACTGTGAGAGACAGAATCTAAAACAAAAATCCAGAAAATCACATTGTATGATTTTTAAGTAATTAATTTGTATTTTATTGCATGCCATAAGTATTTGATACATCAGAAAAGCAGAACTTAATATTTGGTACAGAAACCTTTGTTTGCAATTTCAAAGATCATAAGTTTCCTGTAGGTCTTGACCAGGTTTGCACACACTGCAGCAGGGATTTTGGCCCACTTCTCCATACCTTCTCCAGATCCTTCAGGTTTCGGGGCTGTTGCTGGGCAATACAGACTTTCAGCTCCCTCCAAAGATTTTCTATTGGGTTCAGGTCTGAAGACTGGCTAGGCCACTCCAGGACCTTGAGATGCTTCTTACGGAGCCACTCCTTAGTTGCCCTGGCTGTGTTTCAGGTCGTTGTCATGCTGGAAGACCCAGCCACGACCCATCTTAAATACTCTTACTGAGGGAAGGAGGTTGTTGGCTAAGATCTCGCGATACATGGCCCCATCCATCCTCCCCTCAATACGGTGCAGTCGTCCTGTCCCCTTTGCAGAAAAGCATCCCCAAAGAATGATGTTTCCACCTCCATGCTTCACGGTTGGGATGGTGTTCTTGGGGTTGTACTTATCCTTCTTCTTCCTCCAAACACGGCGAGTGGAGTTTAGACCAAAAATATCTATTTTTGTCTCATCAGACCACATGAGCTTCTCCCATTCCTCCTCTGGATCATCCAGATGGTCATTGGCAAACTTCAGACGGGCCTGGACATGCGCTGGCTTGAGCAGGGGGACCTTGCGTGCGCTGCAGGATTTTAATCCATGACGGCGTAGTGTGTTACTAATGGTTTTCTTTGAGACTGTGGTCCCAGCTCTCTTCAGGTCATTGACCAGGTCCACTTGCAAATTAATTACTTAAAAATCATACAATGTGATTTTCTGGATTTTTGTTTTAGATTCCGTCTCTCACAGTTGAAGTGTACCTATGATAAAAATTACAGACCTCTACATGCTTTGTAAGTAGGAAAACCTGCAAAACCGGCAGTGTATCAAATACTTGTTCTCCCCACTGTATATTACCACACTCTCTGTCATGTTTACAGCCGCAATCAATGACATACAATGGTACAATGAGTGAATCCCCAGTAGGGTCCCTCAAGAGTAGCATTGAGAGTTAGAGCATCAACTTGACCATACTAACTGCATTTATAACCATGCTTATGGATTGAAAGGAACATGGATTCAGTCTTTTCCTCAGTGGCCAATCATCCCTCTCACTCCACTCCATTTGTTTAAATGTACCTAGTATGATGAAATCACCAAGAGAATCAACCGAAGGCAGCTAAATTTTTTTGAGAACGATGACAATTTGAACCCCCATACAACTTGAGTTATACACTAACATGTATTGTGGCTGTGTGGCGCCTGACTAATTACAGTGTAGTGGTAGCCGTGGTAACATTGTTGTGGTGGCTATGATTCTTTAGTAACGGGTTAGTAGGTCGTTTTGCTAATGTTAACTGGAGCTGTGATTGTGTAGTATGGCATTTGCTTGTCAATTATTTGTGAAGCATTTATGTAGGCTTATGTAGACTTATAAAGGGCTCACGAAGGCTTCTTTAACGTTGTAACTAACTCTATCCCATAGGGAACAGGATGTATATGCACCCAGACTCTCCCAACACAGGGGCTCACTGGATGAGGCAGGAGGTGTCGTTTGGCAAGCTCAAGCTTACCAACAACAAGGGCAGCGCCAACAACGTGGGACAGGTAACCGATATGATCAGAAACTCATTTAAATATGTCATAAAATCCAAATGAGATTTTCCATTGGTGTTACTTTTGATAGTTTTTCATGGTCATAATGCCCTTCTAGGACTAATTATTCAGTGCTGTTCCCTCCTAGATGATCGTTCTGCAGTCACTTCATAAGTACCAGCCACGGCTGCACATCGTAGAAGTGAAGGAGGATGGTTCTGAGGACCCCTTCCTCACCGCCAAGGCCCAGACCTTCGTCTTCCCAGAGACCCAATTCATCGCTGTCACAGCCTATCAGAACGCAGACGTGAGTCACCTCGCCTGACCTCAACAGCTCATTTGACGTGCCCTTTTCCATAGCACACCATAGACGTTTATAACGTAATTAGGAATAGAAGTGTACTCACACTGAGGTGCCAAAGAAGAAGACTTTCCCACGATAAGAAAATAAACTGTGTAACCCTCATTAATTATTTAATGCAGTCAGTGATCTCTCTCTCTCTCGCTCTCCCTCCCTCTCTCACTCTCTCTTTTTCCTATGCGTCTAAGCTCTCACACTCTCTCTCCTCAACGATCTGTCTGTCCTATCCTTGCCCCCTCTCCCATCCTGTCTCCTGCTATTTCTTACACAGATCACCCAGCTGAAAATAGACCATAACCCCTTTGCTAAAGGTTTCCGGGACAATTATGACACGTGAGTATGCCTGAAAATAACCGAATGAATAAAGAGAAAACAAAACCCCTCAAAAACAACTCTAGTCTTGAATGAGAATATTTGACATTTTAAACCAGCTCTATGTCTGTACAAGCAGGCGCTGAAGCACAGTGCTGACACACATACTTAGTCATACCGTATCAACACTAGATATCTCCAACTAATAAATATACAATTGCTAAACCTAATAGGGCAATGTATTTCAATCTAACAAAGACGTGTTGATATGAGGAGGTGTGAAAGACCTGCTAGATGGTTAAGATATATTTGATGTTGCAGACATTTTGCCAGGAAGTAACACCTCTTCTTGTGTTGCGCCCCTTCCCCGTTCCTCCCCGTTCCCCTGCCTAGGCTGTACGCACCATCTGACTCCGACCGCGTCACCCCCTCTCCCACCGAGGGCCAGCAGTTCTTGGCGGGTACCTGCTACACCCAGGGGTACCTGATGGACCAGTACATGAACCCCTTGCCCCAGAACCGCTTCTACAGCCGGGAGCACGTGGCAGCCATGGGCCATCAGGCCAAAGACCCCTCAGCCAGCCCCCACAGCCGCTGGTACCTCTCCCCCCAGCAGAGTGTCGCCTCCAACCGGCTGGACTTCAACTCCTACGAGGGCGACTTCTCCAGCAACAGCTTCTACAAGCCCTTCCCCCTGCAGACGTCGGCCCAACATGCACTGGGCTACTACGAGGACAGCCCCTTCGCCTCGGCCAGCGTATCCGTCTCAGGAGCCTCCTCGGTAGCCTGGAGCACCGACCGGCCCTCCCCTCCATATCTCAACCACCCCTGTCCCAGTAAAGTCGGCCGCAGTCTAGGCTGGTTCAGGCCTGTGTCCTCTACCAACTCCTCCACTACCTCTCCAGGTCACCCCAGGCTCCACCCCCCGTCCCTCCTGGAGCCGCTCTGCCCCCCACCCCCGCTGCAGGACAAGCCCAAGGAGGCGGGGGTGGGGGGAGAGGACCCCTGGCTGGAACCCCCCTCGGTTAAATCGGTGGACTCGGCTGACTCCGGCCTGTTTGAGGGTGGGGCAGAGAGCAAGAAGCGGCGAGTGTCGCCCTACGCTTCCAGCACGGAGAACTCGCCGCCCACCCGCAGTGCAGAGGTCTGTGAAAAGGACAGCAGTAGTGATGCCGGCTACTATGGCTTTTACACCCACTGAAGCAGCCCACACACCACGTAAATACTCTCTCCTAGTGTCCCCCTCCTGTCCTCTTTGTGCTTTGGTATCTCCCACATGGCCGTGTGTCTCTGCCTGTCCCATGAAGTCATGTAATGGCACTGGACTGAAACTCTATTGACCACAGAAGGCCAACATCACAGAAGGGCTAGGTATCTGGCACCTCAGCCATTTTCACACATACAGACAGACTGGACCTCTCGACAGCCCAAAAGGGAGGCTACTCTAAGGTTGTGTGTTGGTTATGTGTTTGAGGACAAGGACCTTCTAAGGTCAGACAGGAACACTTTGAACATGACTGTCAATGTGTGCGAGGGCCAAAGAGCCAAGGCGATTTGACTGGGTCCACAGACACTGCCCTAGAGACACGTAGATACACAGACACGCAGACCTGTGACTTAAGTCTTTCTAACGTTTGGGGATTAAAAAATAAGACGTCTGCACACCTGCTGACAGACCCCTGCAGGGACTGTCCAGTCTTCCCACATCACACACACACACACACAGACACACACTCTCTCTCACACACACATGCTCACACACAGACACTACTCTATTCTCCAACTCCACTTTCAGTATATGCTCACTGTCACATGACCCAATGTACCGAGATGCAGACACGACTGGATGTTAATAACAAAACTGAATAATTTCTGTCTAATCCTCTATCTGAGGAGTTTGGAACTCCCCCTTGTGACAGAAGTGAAGAACTGCAAGCTGATGGTGCAGGCGAGAGCAGAGGCCAGCGTCAGGTGTTAGAGGTGAGGGGAGCTTAGCGAGCACATGGCCTGAAGTGTCAACGCTAATCAGCATCAAGCCTGACGGGCCAGTCTTCCTCTGGTCTACTGTCGCCTACAGCAGGTCTGTCATTTAGAACAGCACAGCCTTACAACACAGTGGAATTCAACTTATCTCACAGACAATCTGAGGCAACTACAAAAGCGATTAATTGAATTGAACCCTCAGGCTTCCTTCCCAGACTGTTTCAGGTAGCTGCGTTCGGTATTTCACGGTTTCACTGTAACAGAGGTCGCCCTCTTTGATCAAATCAATCTGAAAATGCCCCAGTCGCCACACAAATAAAGACCACAATCAATAACTACATTAAAACGTGAGCCACTCAGACAACACACACTGGAAATCATTACCAACAGGGTATATGGTTTTACACCCCCCCACACACACACGCACACACGCACACACACACAATCACAATGAGAAAGACTATTAAATGGCCTACACAGGTTAATTGTAATATAGGGTAATATTTGTCTATATTTATTGGATTCGTTGACCTCTGTTGCTCAACATAGTGCTCCTCCCCTTCATCTACACTGACTGAAGTGGATTTAACAGGTGACATTAATAAGGGATCATAGCTTTCACCTGGATTCACCTGTCATGGAAAGAGCAGTTCCTAATGTTTTGTACACTCAGTGTATATGGCTAAGAGAGAGCCAGAAACAGACAGGTTACATGTAGCCTGTGTAGTGTCACTCCCAGGCTTAGTTAGCGTGACCCGACAGACCGTGTCCACCCCCAGACGTTAGATTCATAATGTCGTGACAATGGCGCAGCTTCCTGGCAAGGTGACAGAGATCTATAGAGAGAGGAGAGAGCGCTAGAGAGAGGGAGCCTCCAGTCTGAGCCAATCAGAGCCCTGGCCTTCACAAGGTGCTAATGACCACAGACAACTCTGGGGGTCACAGGCAGCCACTCACTCAGAGGACCCTGGGATACTGGTGGTCTAAAACCACATATTGCTGGGTGTGTGTGCTCCAATTGCGAGGCCATAAGAAATGACAGGAATGTAATCAAGGCAGGACCTCATTACTTATCACACTTATGATTACGGTATATCGTACACAGAGTACAGTAAGACACATGATATAATTAGCACTTAATGAGTGACAGGCTAGCCATGAAAACATGACTCACAAACAGTCACTCACTCACACTGGAAGGTGACCAAAACACATCCACTTTTGAGTTTTAAAAAAAGACAACAGGTCAGTGTGTCTACAGTCAGTCCTGCTGGCAATGATTGAATATACTTAATGTAAGATATAATTGTATATAAAAATAATAATAATCCTACTTTCATATACTGGATGTTAATTTTGTTAACCTCCTCAAGGTGTTTTTATATTATTAATTCATGAATTGTACAGATGCCAACTTTCAAAGGGAAATTCTGCGATTTTGTGTCAGGCTAAACTGCCTTAGTACAAACAAACAGAGAAGCTGGTTTTCCTATTGGAAGGTGGAAGAAATCAGTGATTCTCTGACATAAAACTGGAGCAATAGGATAGAAAAGACAATCAGATCTGTGGTATTGCAGAAATCTGTAAATTAAATATGCTCGTAAACAGAAAGACAACTTCCCTAAACAGAGCTTAGCATAATGTTGACTTTGCTGTGACACCTTCATAATGCAATAATGCCACAGCACAGTAAAGGTCATTGGACTGACTTCATGTGCTATAGAAGAGGAAAGGGAATCAACTGGAATTTAAAAAGTCAAGCTTTAGATGTTTTCTTAGGTAGAGTTGATCTTATGCTGGACACTGTATACAAATATGATATTGCTAACATGAGTCTCTTCCCAAAAAGTTACTTTTTACCCTTAAGCATTTTAAATGAATGAAAAGGGGAATTAATTATTACAGTTGTTTGTTAAGAGGTGGACAATTTTTTGTTATTTAAGTGCAATTAATTGAGATGTGATTTGACTTTTTATTTATAAGGTGTTCAATATTGCAAGAGTAATTGAAAAACTTTGATTTGATCAAATGCTTCGAAAATGTGCTGAAATTTTACTCTGTATCTGGCGTTACATGATTTTGTATGTGACACTGTCTGGCACTGAACCTGCATTAACATGAATGCTAGTGAGTTGAGAGAAATAGATAATTCTGTCTGTATATGTGGTGTAGAGTTCTCAGGACTGCCCCCTAGTGTATATCTCACTCCTTACAATAAACAAAACAAAAACTGCCAATAGAAATCTTCCATAAACAATCCATAACCCATGATTATTTTATTAGAATGAAGCTGTGAATGGGAAATGTAATCCAGTCTTTATGACTTAAAAAACTCAAAGAGATTAAGGATGGGGTAGTCTTGAAAGGTTAAAGTCTCCATCCAACAGTTGGATAGTGAAGCATGTTAATTTGTGTTTAATATGGACTGTTAGTCTCTGGAGTAGGGCACTTTGCCTTCAGTCTGTGAAATGGCATGTCCTTAAATTTTTATAAAGGTGTATCAATCTGATTAACTCAATCGGGCCGAGGAGGCTGCAAAGGATATATAGGAATACAGTAGAGAAATGCAAAACATTGTACTAAATGAATTTGTAATATTTATTCTAATGTAATAAAGACTGAAATAGCAGAAAATATTGAAGGAAAAAAATGTTTATTTATTAAAAAGGTGGCTTACGTGTGTATTGTACTGTTTTTATTCATTAATTAACATTTAATTATCACAACTTTTTGGTTTGAGATTCAACTTAATGTAAAAAAAACAACAAAAACAACCTCAAGGTTATAAACAGAATAATATCGACATAGCCATTGTACTGTATATTAGACATGTTGATATTAAGTCTAGTTTGATTATACTCAATCATTATAAAATATACTTTATTAAAGCAGACTCATTATGCAATCAGTTGCCTTGGTAACCCCTTTCATGAGCAATATCTTAATAATCACAAGTAATAGTTATTGTTAACTCAAATCACAAATAAAAAACACAACAAAGTAACTTGTGTGCATGCTAGATGAGAGACTGTTATAGGTTACATTCCCATGTCAAATTGTTTGACTTACTAAAATGTACTCGGGTAGGAGAAAGGAGTGTTTGAACACACTAATGCCACTGAAATAAATATGATTCAACAATAATTCATAAAGGGCTGAATCCTAACTTAGGATCCACAAATCATGCATAGATGTCTTAGGGGGATTTGTGTGAAAATTGAGTGATGATGCAAAAAGATTGAGTTAGGTGTCAGCCTAGAGAGTATTAAATACACATTTTCTACATTTACCATATCTGAAGATTAGTCCACAGTAAATGTCTTGACCTGATCAAATTAACCTAACACTTCCAGCCCTCTAGACAGCAAATACATCTTGACAGGATAACAAATGTACACAACATTTACATTTACATTTTAGTCATTTATCAGACGCTCTTATCCAGAGCGACTTACAGGAGCAATTAGGGTTAAGTGCCTTGCTCAAGGGCACATCAACAGATGTTTCACCTAGTCGGCTCGGGGATTAGAACCAGCGACCTTTCGGTTACTGGCACAACGCTCTACCACTAAGCTATAAACAATGGGGAATGACAATAAATACATTGCAATGGACTAAATACGAGTACCGGTAAAAATGAGAGAAAAGTCTCTCCCAGGTGGCAGAACAGGTGACGCTACACATTCTGGGAATTCTGGGAACTATTTTCAACTTGACTGTTCAGTGGATCCAAGTAGTTTCCAGACTTTCCCAGATGTTTCCCATGAAGCAGCCTGGGAGGGAGTGCAAATCAGATGGCAATGATGGAAGTTGGGGTCTCAGGACAGTTCATCATTGCCTTCACCAATTCCCACCATGTATCCTCTGGGTTTCAATATACACTACCGTTCAAAAGTTTGGGGTCACTTAGAAATGTCCTTGTTTTCGAAAGAAAAGCAATCTTTTTGTTCTAAAACAAGAATTTCTAAGTGACCCCAAACTTTTGAACAGTAGTGTACTTGGGCCATTTTTGTCATTCGATTTTCTCAGTCCACTAAATGGCCCCAGTCTATCTGGTTATTCACCATAGTTCCAGGTTGTTTGTGTTAGCAAAGCCCGGGTTCTCTCTGACTTTCCAATAGGTTCCATTGGTCAGCCACACATCCCTCCCAGAGGAATCCATGGCTTTCCTAATGATGGAAAATGATGAAATTACAGAAAGCATACCTAGTATTAAACCAGTGGAGTCCTATATGATCTTACTGTATATCACAATTGAAGTTTGGGTACATTTCGGACTACAAACAAACATTGTATTTTGGGGTATTATCCTAGATGATATAAGATGACACAAAAGTATCACTGAAAACTAAAAGGACTTACTTAAAAAAGCGTGGCATGTGCTCCTGTCCTTTCTTAGCCAGTTGTTTCCTCCGCTCCCTCTGCATGTCCTCCACTTCTTCTTTAAACTTGTCACAGTCATCCACCCTCCCATCCTCCAGCATCCTAAATAAAATAAAAACCTCATTAAAAACACACCAATTCATTGAACCCATCACATATCTATGAGACAGGCCCCCAAGTTTTTACTGGTCATGTCACCTAAAAGTAATGGCCCTATTAATTTTTTTTTTTAAAGATTTGTAAAATGGTGGTTTTCCATTTCCTAATCAAGCCCGATCCATGGCCATGGAGGCACCACTCACCTCTGGTCAGGACGAAGGCGTGAGTCTGTGGGGGGCAGAAGAGGCTTCAGGCCTGGTGTGAGCTCGTTCAGCTCTAGTGTGAAGCTGGAGAAGCCATAGTACAGGTAGTAGTCCTTGGGCTGGGGATCTGTACAATGAAATAGACCACTGAGGTCAGCTACAGCCAATGTAACTACAGCCTCAAACCACAATGTCTTTAGTTAGCATATCGCTAACCAGTACAAAACCTTTAGGGCAGGGGTGTCAAACTCATTTTAGCTCAGGGGCCACATGGAGGAAAATCTATTCCCAAGTGGGCCGGACCGGAAAAATCATGGTATATATATAACTTAAAAACAACAACTTCAGATTGTTTTCTTTGTTTTAATACGATCAACATACAACATAAAGCTGGAGCCTGAGGACAGTGTGTCCAAAATAGTACAAGCACAACATCACTATTAATCATAAAACACGTCAAGTTTATTTGAAAATTCTAAAGAAAAAGAACAAATACACAATGCCTCAGTGATTAACATAACTGTTTCACAGATCACAGAACTATATCAGGGTGTCATTTCTCAGGCAGAAATGTAGATAAAAATAATGAAATCCTGTTCCCCAAACAAGTGCAAGAACCACAGAGTCAAGAATAGGTTAAATATACAAATAAAATAAAATCAATTAAAAACAATAGCACATCAACATAAAAACATATAAACATAAAGCTGGAGTCTGAGGACAGTGTCCAAAAACACAACATCACTATTAATCATAAAACACCTCAAGTTATTTGAAAGTTCTGAGGACAAAGAACACACAAACACACAATGCCTCAGTGATTAACAGAACTGTTTCACAGATCACAGAACTATATCAGGGTGTCATTTCTCAGGCAGAAATGTAGATAAAAATAATGAAATCCTGTTCCCCAAACAAGTGCAAGAACCACAGAGTCAAGAATAGGTTAAATATACAAATAAAATAAAAACAATTAAAAACAATAGCACATCAACATAAAAACATATAAACATAAAGCTGGAGCCTGAGGATAGTGTCCAAAAGCACAACATCACTATTAATCATAAAACACCTAAAGTTATTTGAAAGTTCTGAGGACAAAGAACACACAAACACACAATGCCTCAGTGATTCACAGAAGTATATCACAGAACTATATCAGGGTGTCATTTCTCAGGCAGAAATGTAGATAAAAATAATGAAATCCTGTTCCCCAAACAAGTGCAAGAACCACAGAGTCAAGAATAGGTTAAATATACAAATAAAATCAATTAAAAACAATAGCACATCAACATAAAAACAAACATAAATCTGAAAGCGTTGCTCAAACTCCCGTAACAGTCCCGTTATTTTATCTTTGAACCGCTTCATGTCTGCCACATGTTGGGTCGCGCACACATTTTTCAGACAGGGGAAGTGAGCTGCATCACCACCGGCAAGTTGCGTCTCCCACAATGACAGCTTCAACTTGAAAGAACGTATGCTGTCATAATACTGCGTGACAACTTTGTTGCGCCCTTGCAGCTGTTTGTTCAAGTTATTCAGGTGCTCTGTAACATCCACGATAAATGCAAGGTCCTGCATGCATTCTGCGGAATGAAATTCTAACACTGGTTTGCCCTTTTCTTCCATGAACTGTTCAATTTCTTCTCGTAAATCAAAGAAACGCCTCAACACAGCACCTCGGCTTAACCATCTTACCTCAGTGTGGTATGGCAGGCCATAGATGTGGTCTTTCTCTCTGAGAAGGCTGTCAAACTGGCGGTGATTCAGGCTTCTGGATCGGATGAAATTAACAGTTTGGATGACCACCTTCATGACGTTATCCATCTTTAATGACTTGCAACACAAAGCCTCCTGGTGCAAAATACAGTGAAAAGTCAAAAAATCACGTCCTCCATTTGCAGATTGCACTTTCTCTCTGAAATTTGTCACAACGCCTGCTTTTTTCCCGATCATTGAGGGCGCACCATCTGTAGCCAGGCTGACAGCGCGGGACCAGTCCACTCCGACCCTGTCCAGCGCGCCGACGAGTGCGGTAAAAATATCAGCTGCTGTCGTTGTATCTGTCATCGGCACCAACTCCACGAACTCCTCGGTGACGGTCAATGTGTCATCAACTCCGCGGATGAAAATGGCCAGTTGTGCAACATCTGTAATGTCCGTGCTTTCATCAATTGCAACCGAAAACGCAATAAATGACTTTACTTTTTGCTTCAACTGGCTGTCCAAATCCACTGAAAGATTGGAAATCCTGTCTGCAACTGTGTTTCTTGTCAGGCTGATATTTGCAAAAGCCTGCCGCTTTTCAGGGCACACAATCTCCGCTGCCTTCTTCATGCATGTTTTTACAAATTCACCCTCACTAAATGGTTTTGAAGCCACTGCGATTTCATTAGCAATGAGGTAGCTAGCTTTCACTGCAGCGTCACTGATGTCTCGGCTGTGAGTAAACACAGACTGCTGTTTCTTCAGACCCGCCAACAGTTCATTCACCTTCTCTCATCTCCGCTGTCCTTGAAAGTTGTTATATTTGTCGGCATGAAGACTCACATAGTGGCGACGAAGGTTATATTCTTTCAGCACTGCAACATGCTCTGAACACACCAAACATACAGCTTTCCCATTCAATTCCGTGAATAAATAGGATGACCATTTTTCTTGGAACACTCTGCACTCTGCGTCCACTTTTCTCTTTTTTGACAGAGACATATTGGGGCAATGAGGGTGCCAAAGCACATAATGTTAAAAGTAGAAGCCGTAATAAATATCGCGGGCAAAACAAAGTAGCTCATTGGCTGCACGTGCTTGACCTACTTGCTCTGCCCCGGTATAAACAGTTTGCTTGCTTAACACAATTGCTATTGCGCCATCCAGTGGACGCAATTGGAACAGCAGTTTATTTTATAGAAAAATTGCAGCGCATTTTTCTACTTTACAAAAATATATATATATATATTTTTTTTTTTTTTTTTATCATCTCGCGGGCCGGATTAAACCCGTTTGCGGGCCTGATCCGGCCCGCGGGCCGTACGTTTGACACCCCTGCTTTAGGGTTAGGAGGCTTTTGATACAAGAATTCTCCGTTTTGAACTTTTCACAGACTGTTTTCCTTGGGTGGGTGTGATACTCACTTGGCTTCCAGATACACTGCGGAGTGGGCAAGGTGTCACAGAAGATGCCCTCATGCCACAGCCCCCCAAACCGGTGGATAACACTCCCAGTCTGGTCCAGCACGGTGCCCTGGACTTCATTCTTGTTGGTGTCCGACCCCCAATAGCGGGACTTAACGAAGGTGATCTTACAGGTGCACGCGTTGCTGTTGAGGTTACGGATGATGACCTCCCCATAGTGCTCCAGGTAACGTTGCTGGCTCAGGACATTATGGATGCAGGTCACCACTTTGTTCCACTCATAGTGGTCCCCAAACCTAAAAGAGGGATTGAAGGTAGAGCATTTAAAAATGTTCATTTCTAACAGCTTGAGGGAGAAATGGCCACCAGCAGCAGACTCTCACCTTGGGAGAGTGACGTTCACCATCCCTGTTGGCATGATCTCCAGTGACTTTCCCCAAAACTTATTCTTCCACCGCTGGTCTGTTTAGGTGACACAAATATGTTGTGCTTCATGAGAAAAATATGAATGATCAAAGTTTCAGATAGTTTCAAAATGTTTAGAAATAATTCAAAACAAATGTCAAGACACTTGCTTATCACTAGCCGACTAGAATCAAGGTTTTGCTCAGTTATACTCAGTAAAGCTCACCCTGCCAGAAGGAGAAGGAATCTGAGTCTGCATGACATGCAGAGATGGGGGGATGGTGGCAGACCTGATGAAAGACAAGAATGGTTTAGTCTGAATACAACAGAACTAGTCTGACCTGGTCTGCTGAGGAATGTTAGAGAAGATTCAGTCCTCCTACCTGCTCACTGATGTAGCGGAAGCCCTTGTCCTCTCTCAGACATTCATAGGACTCCCCCAGGAGTGGGTTGAAGGGCTTGTAGCGGTTGCGGTAGTGAGCTGTAGCATATCCAGAGATGGCAAAGGCACCTATGTAGACCTGCACAAGACCAGAGAAACACCTTCAGTCTTCTAACCTAACATACTGTGAATCACTAGCATAGCTGTCGTTACCCTGAGGCTCTGTGTATTCTAGCATATACCTTTGACACAATGGAAACTCTTTATCATAGTTTAGTGATGTGACCAGATGCTGCTAACTTGAGCACTTTTCCATTCAGTGTCTTTAAGGTGTATTTTAAAGCCTTACATCCTTTGCTTTACAACATTTGAAAATACATTTAAAAATCCTCACCATCCTCTGGTAGGGGTCCTGTGTGTTGTTGGCAGTATCCAGCAGCTCAGAGTACTCCAGCTCCTCGCACAGTCTTTGCATCAGGTTAATGGGCTCGTTGAGAGCAGCAGGCATGGAGACACGAGACAAGTCCTTGCCTATGTTGTTATAGAGGATCTGCATCAGACCCACCTGGGAGTTGTCTGGGCAGTGGGCAGCCAGGGTGGTACGGCGGCCCGTGTTAATGGGCACAACGCTGTTGGGCACCTTAGAGATGCTGGCACGGTACTCACGAGTGGCTGAAGCTGTGGGGGAGAGATATAGGTTTCAATAAATTGAAAAAACAACTGCTAATTGCTAACTGGTTACAGAGTGTGTGTGTGTGTTCACCATGGCCTTCCTCAGGTTCAGAGTTGCTGGTTGTCCCTTCACTCAGACCAGACTCAGACTCAGAGAAGCTCCCATTCAGGACACCATCCCTCGCATCAAAATACTCTGCTGCAGAGTCTGTCACCGATGGCGTGCGACGGGACTCGTTCCCAGATACAGTCTAAAGAGAGAGGAAGAGTGGCGAACAATAAACGCCATGAGAAAGACAGCAAAACAGACAGAATCGGTGAGGAAGAGCACTCATAGGCACTCACACACAAATATAGGCCTACTGCACATGTCTCCATGGAGGCATATACCCTCACCTCAGCCAGTGTGGTTGATTGGTGGTAGGTGTCCTGTAGTCTCTGACGCTCCTGGGCCAAGGCATCATGCACAGACTTGAGGGACGTGTGTACTGACGGGGACAGGAAAATAAAGAAATTCACATTTAGCATTAGTAGTAATGAACGCACACAACATCTGGAGGCAAAGCATGTGTGAGTCCACATGTGTGTTTGGCTCTGACCTCTTTGGGACACGCTACAGATGTCCTGCTGGATCTTCTTGCCTTCAGGGGAGGTGTTGGTGGGAGGGGACAGCTGGGAGTAGACGTAGTCAGGGATGGAGGGGACATAGTCTGGAAGGGAGGGGACAGACGCACCCAGGTGGGACGAGCTGTTCAGGTGACTAGAGGACAGCTACAAAATGGAGGAACGATGGAGAATGAACAAGTAGAACAAATAGAACAACCATTTTCCATTTGTCCGAGATTTATTTGTCAGTCACTGATTCCCCACATTAGTGAGATGTCAAATATGTTTGCATGTAGAAGGAAAATGAACAAGAACTGTGTACAAGCCATGCAATATAGATACTATGGAAGATTAAAAGATAGTGTTAAATTCTACTGTAGGAGCATGTATGTCCTACAAGGAATTAACCAAAGTCTTATTTCTCAAACGTATATATATATATCACAGCTACAACTTCCATTAAATCTGATCACAGTCTGTACTCATAAAAGGTTGGTTTGCTCAGTCTCTGAAGCTAAATTTGATTTGACCTTACTTTCCATTGCAAAAAATGGTTTACCCCTTTGTCTGTGTGACTGTCTGGACAACATGGAAGAGATCAATTAGGACTAGCTAGTTGTTCCTTGCTTTGGCAGTCTGCCTTGTTTCCTGGTGTTGACTCACCGATTTAGTAATCCCACAAAAAGGTTTTGGATTAAAAAGAAGCTTAAAAAGTTATCAGGTGATTGGGTTAGCTAATACTCAAAACCAACACATTATACTCTTTACAGGTTGGTTAGTGGTACACAATCAACTTTTGGAATTTTAGTATAAAAAATATGTGAACATTAGTACCAAATCAATGGGGAAAAGCACTGGAACAAATATCCATGAGTCAAAACTAAAATGTCAGTCTAAATTATTTCTAAATCACCTACACATTTGATCTAAGAACCACAGCTAAAAAAAAATATGTATAGTTACAAACCTGTCGTACCATTCCAAGGGCCTCTACCCTTGACATTGTACGCGAGTGACCCCATATCTTGCCAGACCTGGACTTCTTGGGTTTGTCAAGTGAGAGATTCTTGGTGGAATTAAAAAAACAGAATTATCTTAAAATTACTGAACAGACAGGAGCCATTTATCTAATTAATTCAAGCATGTCTCACATCCTTGTCCTGTAACTCACTGATATGCCTAGTTCACTTGCCCCTAGGAAAAGTCACCCCTTGCCCCTAGGAAAATGTGTAGACCTGAAACCACTGGATAAGTGTTGATATTTGATCCTAGCCTATGAGACGGCTGGGGTGGAACCATTACCACATTGCTAAACCTATCCTAGGAAGGGTTTGTTTGGAGCTGGGACGTATTTGCTCCATCTCACCTGCATGCTGATGATGCGCTGCAGTTCGCCGTCGGTGAAGGCCTGCTGCCCCCCCTCCAGCGACTGCAGCCTCTGGACCAGCCGGTTCAGCTCAGACAGTTCCAACTGACAACGGTTCAGCTCTGCAAGAAAAACACAGACTGTTATGGCAGGTCCCAGAACAGTTCTACTGACCTAGACCGAAACATTCGTAGATCTCAACCATGGTCATCCATGAAGCACCATTCATGACAATTAGAAGCTACAGACACTATTTACGAGAGTGCACAACATTTTTTAAAAGCCCTAAAACATATTGGGTTTACTTTGTATACGAGATACGAGTGCAGTACCTTGGGCACAGCTCTCTGGGTCATGAGTCTGTTGTAACCAGGCTGACACCTTCCCATTCACCCCCGGGTTGACCGAGGGAAACTCGGACGGTGTTGGTGCAGCGCTCTCACCCACATAAGAGTCTGTAGTGCTATGGTAGTGTTGGTAGGAAGACTGGTATACAGACGAGAGCGTGAGAAAGACAGAGACAATGACGAGTCACTACAAACCACGAACAGAGAGAGGACTCACCATGTCCTGCATGCCGTTCCTCTGTGCTAGTCCAGGCACACTGGTGCCCTGGGACATGGCCTGGAAGAAGCCATTGTGCACTTGAGCAGCCTCGTTCTTCTTGAACATGCGATGGGCACTCAGCTTTGTCACCCAGATGTAGAACAAGTCATGACTATTGGCCTAGGAGAGGAAAGAACAGGAAGAGTGGCGCCAAGTTCATTTGTATTACTACAGGACTCTAAAACTAATCCCAAAAAGATATTCCAACTCAACTGTTCTCCAATTCAGCCTTGGACAACACTCAACTTTGTTTACTAATGTATTTATTTATAATTTATGTAGTGAAGTTGGTCAACAAGCTAAAGTAAGTGAAAGGAGCTGGGCATACCTTCATATGATATAGAATGTCTCCTGCATCCAAATCGATACGATTGGATTTCTTGTTGATTGACATGACTGCAAGGCTGACATCTAATGAACCATGAAGCTTTCCCCTTGTGATCTTTAAAATAAAAAAAAGAAGTGCTTTCCATTAAATTATTAAATGGTGAGTTTTTCATAATTTAACTAAAATACATAATATAGGGAATGTACACTTACATCTTGTTGGGTTTTGGAATATCGTAAGATCCCCGTTTCCAACACAAAGTACCTCTGAAAGTAGGATCAAAAACACATGAATTAAGACCAAGATAGTGAACTAAAAAAACACACTAATTTCCAAAATAGTAAACAACACAGTGGTGGATTGGATGAATAGGCAGTTTGCTGACCTTGTGCCAGCCTTTCAGGGGCCATTTTCTCCTCTTGAGGAGGTATCCTTCACAGATGCCTGGGATGGTCAGGTCCTGGGAGTTGTCACCTGACGTCATTTCCACCTGAAGGTCGTCCATCACCTCCCAGTCTTTAATGTTCTGAGGGTGAGACAACACCATCACAAACACATCAACATCCATCTAGAGACATCACTGTTATTTGTGGGATGTTAACATGCAGTTTGATGTTTTGTTCGGATATTTGATATTTAAACAATCTCACCTGCATGCTGTACAGAACAGAATGTGGATGTGTTTATTGTTAACTGAATATGTTGATGTTGATTCTTTGTCAGAGGTCCAGTGTACCTCAGTTGGTAGAGCATGGTGTTTGCGATGCCAGGGTTGTGGGTTCGATTCCCACGGGAGGCCAGTATGAAAAATGTATACACTCACTAACTGTAAGACGCTCTGGATAAGAGCGTCTGCTAAATGACTAAAATGTAAAATTGTGACTCTCTCTTGGTGGAAGAGACATACCGTACTCACCCGAGAGTGACGGGAGGAGGCGGTGCTACTGCTCCGAGAGTGGGTGGGTTTGTTCCACGTGGGAGGGGTCTTCTCCAGGCCACTCATCAGCGATTGGCTGCGGTTGAGTGTGGACCCATAAGGATTTTGAAATGACTCCATTTTGAAATGATAAATGTCAGGCTTCCCTCCCTTGTGTTATTGGTAGATTTTTCAATGAGACTGTCCGCTACAAACTCCCTGTCATCTCAGAAGAGTATGGGTCTGAGAAAGAAAGTAAACACATGAAATAATACAAATATAGATGGCTACTCCTTGCAAACATGTTTCCTCCTGTCAACATGTATAAACTGCGGTTCAATGAGGCTCTGCAAGGTTTGTAGCTTCCTTTGAATAAATTGCATATTCTAAATTATTAACTGGTCAATTGTTAGCTGCAATTATGTGAATAAGGGTCTGAAGAGACTCTGGACAACCTTTGGTTCACAAATCTCTTGTCTGAGGTCATTGCATGAAGATATGAGGCCTGTATTCATAACTTCTGGGCAGGTGTTATTTCTAAAAGACTAAAAGCACATCTAGCTCTTCGCAATGGTTTGCACAGGGGCTTGTGAAAGAAGCCAAGATCCCTCTCACCCTTCCCCAACAGGTATTTGTGATACTGAGCCATTTAATATCAATGTCAGATTCCCCATCCAGTGTAATTTACCTCCATTACCATTTCAATTTACAGTAAAGGAAGAACATGCCATTACCTGTAGGGTGATAGGGTTGTTCTCAATTCCTCCCAACAGGCTGGGAATCTGAGGGGAGGATTACTAACCTCTCTTCTAATTGGCTTAACCTTTTTAGCAAGACCTCTCCTTACTGAATGTTCAGTAATGAGATCACAAGGCAGAGAACACTGAAGCTCTGGCGGTGACAACAAAATGGCCTATGTATGGGAGTGCTAGGTCTATGCAAAAGTTACATCTACAACCATCGAAAACACAATAGATAATGTGTATGACTTTAATACATTATAGGTTCCAACAGGGGCGCAACTTTGGTTTTAGAAGTGTTTTTTTTTTTTTTATCCAGATGGATAAACACTCCAAACAGCCTACCCGACCGCTCTGAGGCGTCCCCATGTTCCTAAAGCACACCGTTGCCTCGTTTTGTATCACATTCCAATGATAAAACTGTGGGGGGACAAAAATGCAATTTAAGAATATGGGGGGGTTGCACCCCTTATGTCTGCCAATGACAGGCCAGACTGCAGTCATTGCATCAAATGGGAAATGGTGTCATCTCTCTACTCAACATTGCTCCAAATTATCTGAAGATTTCCTGGTGAGATTCTGCGGACAGTGCACAGAGGTTGTTCCTAAAAGTAGGAGGTTTGGCAACCCTGCCTCCATTCCTCCAGCTGATAAGTATAATAGTACTGAGGAAATATGAGAGGTCGCCGTGCATATTACAGGGCTCTCCATACAATATGGTTTTCCAGCACAACAAGAATATGAGGTGACTGACGCATACTGTGTGCTTGAGTAAACCACAGACAGGTTGTTAGTCATAAAACAACAAGTGAGTAAACTTGCTATGTGGTTACATATTACAAACTGCGTGTTATTCTCAAGAAAGCACAATGCAAAAAGGCATAACCTTGGGCCCCATTGCAATGGTTAAATTGGGGCAAGGAGGCTCTTATCTAAAGCCCATTATGAATGACTGTCCCACACAAATTGACTCATGTTCTGAACTGAACAAAGCAATTTTGAGCATGCCACATGCTGCTAATGTGAGAATTAACTTCAACTAGTATCTATTTCATTTTTAAAAATCATTCATAGCCTTAGGGCCTAGTCCAATTAATGATGTGCTTAAGAAAGTGTTAAAACAAACACATTTATTCTATAATAGCCTAATCTATAATGATCTGATATCATTGCATTATTTGTCCAATTGTAACATTTTGAAACATGTAAACCCAATAAATATTGTAGTTTGTTTTGGTTATGTGTTTGTTTGTTTAGTTGGCTGAAGTAGACATGTTGAAATTGCATCCATATCCTTGGAAATTCCACGTTCCTGAAAAGTAATCTCTTCAACTACACATTCATCAAACGCAAATATTCACTCTGCGTACTTACCTGAAGTTCATGTGTGACCACTCTCATCGCGGTAATTATTTTTTCTTCAAATGTCCAACAAACTCCGTGATTTCCCATTTGTTTGTCAAATCACACAGCTTTACCATATTGCTGAACCATGTCTTTCTCAACACACGTGCGGGAAAAACAAGACACGCCGTCAAAAAGTGTTGTAGAGACTGCCAATGTCGGTTTCCCTGTGCTCGCGCAATGAGTAAAATGCATCACCCAAATCCATGGAGAGCTGTGCCACTGCGCAATGTGGCCAGGGAATTATCCGCATTAGCCTAAGGAATTACATGTGCTCATTGGATATTTCTTGTTAGACATGTAGGACCGACAACTGATGGTGCACCTAGGCCTGTCTGTCTCTATATCGCCATTGGATAACTGCATGTTTACAAGACATTGAAATAAAGTCTCATCAATATTCTTCTGCCAAATAGAATACACATGATCCAATGTTTTGACATCATGAGAAAAATCTATTATCTAAATTTAATAAAACAAAAAAATGGCACAAACATTTCATTCATACACAACCCTGTGGGTTAGTAGTAATAATATTATTATTGTAGGGCTTGCCCTGTGACATACTGATATTGAATTGAGATGAATAATGTAGTTTCTCTCCCACAAACCCAGAACAGCAGTTGTAATAGACTAATTGACCAAGATTAACATGTGGTAATCCCCAGATTAGCATTTATCAGGATATCCGAGACCACTTGTGTTTATTTTTGGCTCGACTGATTCTCGTTACTATTGGAGCATGCATGACTATTGGTACTGACTTTTACAAATGTTTACCACCATGTTCATATATTCAAAAAGGATCAATGCAGAGGATTACCTCAATCTCTTACTTTAACCAAGAAGGTTGGTGCATTTACTGGTGGAGTTTTTTGGACCAATCATTTCAAATCAACAATAAAACATTTGCCATTGGCTAATACAATATTTTAAACATTGATATCATTTATTTTTTATACGGTCAAAGAGGCCTTAGAACAGAACATGAGCAGTAATCACAATAATGAACAAAAACATGTTTTCTCCAAGAGTTGCTCTCAAGAGGTGTTGTAGCAGTTCATGTTGTACTGTACATCGTATGACCTCCAGGTCACAGAGGCAGACCTCAAATCTGCAGACATGAACACCCAGTAGCCATAGTGCTGCCAACATCCTTCCCCTCCCCCACGGGGATGAATCTCCTAGACCTAAGAAGTCTCCTCTGCCTTGGGGGGGCTCTCCCCTGGGGTACCGTTGGTACTGCCTGCGGGGGCCTGCTGTTTGAGGTACTGCTGGAGTAGCAATGAGAGGTGGGCGGGGTGGCGCTGCAGCATGGAGGCTGTCTGCGAGGTCAGCATGGTCAGGCCACTCACCAGCTCTCCCTGGACCACGGTCACTGACGGCAGCTTGGCATAGTTCAACACCCCTTGCCGACTCAGCAATATCTTCTCTATACAGGCCCCTGAAACAGTGGGAGGAAAAGTAAGAGATTACACAATTGCTTGTATGATAGTTGCTTCACTGAAGTCAAGGAATAACGTTTTGCTATACTGATTACATTGAAAAAGTCTTAGGCTTTACTTACCCAATAATACCATCTGGGGGCTGGTCCTCAAACTCAAAAGCATTTCTTTCACCTTTGGCTCTTTACTAACAAATAGAACTGTCTGGCCGATGAATAGAGGCCCCATGTTAACGTACGGGCTGTCTGCCAGGTAGGACCTCATCACCTGTGGTTAAACAATATCAAAAACATCATATTAACATATTTCAAGATACAATAGGCGATACAATATGCATCATAGTTACAATATTACCTGGTTGGGGATAAACTTGATTTTGATGCCATGCTTGTGGAGCCTGTGCTTGAGAAGCAGCATATCCTCTGAATTGGTGGCGTTGTTTTGGATCACAGCGATCATCTTACAGTCCTGGAACATGGTCTGCAATTCCTTCTTCAAGAGCAACACCAGGCCACTTTCCTGTGAATAAAGCAGGATTCATAAGTTAGCCCACATCTCGATAGCTGGCCAGCTCACATCACTACTATTCCTAACCGTGTGTGTTTGTGTGGTTCTGAAAAGACAGCTCCAGTATGCACATGAAAATAAATAAATAAATAAATAGGTCATTTAGCAGACGCTCTTATCCAGAGCGACTTACAGGAGCAATTAGGGTTAAGTGACAGGAGCAATTAGGGTTACGTGCCTTGCTCAAGGGCATATCGGCAGATTTGTCACCTAGTCGGCTCGGGGAATAGAACCAGCGACCTTTCGGTTACTGGCACAACGCTCTTAACCACTAAGCTACCTGCCGCTCCACAAGCAACCCGTCAATGAACATTGACGGGTTGCTTGTGCTTGTTTTTGAGTTATAAACACATGCACTGGACTTCACTGACCTCCTGAACTGGTTTGACTCGGGGGGTTAGAGCGCCAGGGGGAGCTGCAGGTTTGGGTGGAATGTATTCAGTGACAGCCATCAGCTTCTGTTTGAGGATATGCATGGGCTTCCTGTGACGTGTGACTGCCTTAGAGCCATGCCGGACACTCTGCGTCAAGGGCAGCCATCCTGTAGACACACGTTACATTAACAATGGGTTTATAAAGAAGGATTATTCCAAACTAATAGGATGTTAAACAGACTGAAATGAAGATATTTTTCTATGCAGGCAATAAAACCTGATAACTGCATTGCATGGAATAAAAGTGTTAACTTGTGTGTGCATGTGCATACATACCAATACTACAGTATAATGTGTAAGTGACTCAATACAACCCGTCTTTTACAACCCATCTTTCTGTCAATGTGACTGTATCTTTGCACAATGACGGTCTTAGCTCAGATTTGACATCAAAGAAAGGATGCATTGCAGTAGGGCTATTCAACTGATTTGCATTTCTAGTGTACAGATCATTTTGCACATCAAGCTTTCCGTAATAACCTTCCACCCAAAAGCAAAAGCATGAAGTTTCAAGATTTGAGTCCAGGTGTATTTTGAATGGCTGTTGTTGTTGCAATGTTCTGCTTGCTACAATGTAGCATGCAATTTCTAGCCATGTAGTTTCTACAACGTAACTAGCTTGTTTTAATGTAGCAATGTACTACTTTCTACAATGTAGCTAACTAATGAAGCCTAGCGCGCTATGAAGTGACTGAGTTTGCCTCATTTTAGTCATATTCGAAGTTAGCTGTACACTGTGTGCTCCAACAACATGACTTGACATGTAGTTATATTGATAAAGTGTTTATAAAAACGAGATACGTTACCCTGTTTTGATAAAAGCCTGCCACACAAGGTCGCCGCCATCTTTGTCAGGAAGCATTGGAATGGGGGGCGTGCACATCGGCGTTCATCATACGTCAGACACCGATTACAGTTCCCGCGATCAAAACAACTGGGAACTCGGAAAAATATACGAGGTCGGAGCTCTTTAAAGAGGCCTGGGGTTGCATGACCGTTCAAGTCGATTTTTCCCAGTTGGAGGTCGTTTTATTCCAAGTTCCCAGTTGTTTTGAACGCACTTAAGTCAGAGATTTCCGAGTTCCCAGTTGTTTTGAACGCGGCAAGTAGTGTCAGTAGTTTGGCACTTTCAATGCCGCGTTCAAAACAACTGAAAGAACCACAAGACAACAACGAACTCGTAAAATCATGACGTCGGTGATCTTCATTTCGGAAAGTCGGCCTCTAGACAGATGCCCGAGTTACAGATTTTTTCCAATTCGGAGCTCGTTTTTTCTCGAGTTCCCAGTTGTCATGAACGGACTGATGTCGGAGCTTTCCGAGTTCCCAGTTGCTTTGAACGAGGCAGTTGTTTAAATCATCGAAGTCATCTTACATTTTGCACTAAAATGAACATGTATGCCTTTGAAGTCGTAATTTTACTCTGTGAAATTATGGATAAATGCGACGACAGTGTAAAATATTCAGATTGATTTTGATTTGTATTTATCGATGAAGTTACAAAACTCAACCAGAGAGAAAGAGTCGAAGCAACAGGGTTTACTCCGCCCAAAATCTGTCCACGAAAATAAGACCACGAAGTGAGGAATTTTTTGTATGGAGGTCAATGAGCGTGTCGAATTTGGTCAACAAAATATTGAATTGCTAAATAGAGCTTATTTGATCGAATAAACGTTTCGTAATGGCTATGTTGTTACGAATGCACTGGTATAAGTGGACGCACGTGGCATTTCGTCAACTTTGAAAAAACTACTTTATATCGAGTTGTGCCTGAGGTGCATTCAGTTCGCTTGAATGTTTGCTACATTGCGGAACGGTTTGTAGTTAGCAACACATTTCTCCAAAACGTTTTTGAACAGACTGAGGTACGTTTGCTCCATAGAGACATATACTGTGCCATTATAGCATCTGTGACAGCTTGGGCAGTGCCATTGTGCTACAACCCATAGGAATCCCCAGTTGACTACTTTAAAAGGGTGGACGTATGGTGGAAGCCTTCAATGGCGCTTGCTAAAACGGCCTTTTGGCCACTAGAGGCCTCTGTCATTCTCTATGGTTTGCTCCTGTTTGGTCGGTGTGGCTTGACGCAATGAGTGACGTTTTTAAAGGGAAGTGGCCATGCTGACAGCGTTCTCCAACCAACAACCCAACCCCAATTTCAACTGGACGTTTAGTACAGCACCATTTAAAAAAAAAAAAATCATTTAGCAGACGCTCTTATCCAGAGCGACTTACAGTTTAGTGAGTGTATACATTATTTGTTATTTTATTTTTCTTACATTGAATAATATCAGTGAAATAGGAAAACACTTTCATCCCCAGGCCTCTTTGATAGCTTGCCGTCGAGCCTTATTTTCTCAGTCCTTTTGCACGAAAACTACCAGTGATTCTACAGCCATGGATCTCAGTGGCATGCGAAAAAAATACAAAGGAGACGAAGAGGTGAGAATAGACAAGTTTGATTGCTTACCTCCTTGTTATGACACAACCTCACCTTTCTAATTTGGGTGAATGACTATAAAGATATCAATGGCAGGTGCAGCTACTTACATATTACAGAGGCACAACAATGCCTAGCCAGTTTGCTCGCATTGTTTCAATTGTGTATTAATTACCACTGTTTTGGAGTGGAAATTACGTTGATGACCCCAACATTTTCATTGCATCAAGTATGATATGTCAATTCTATGTTCTTTAGTCATATGTCAAATCTGCTCACAAAGCTGACTTTGCTTACGTGCAGCGTCTTGTGATGTAATGAAGTCCTCTGTAGCTCAATTGGTAGAGCATGGCGCTTGTAACGCCAGAGTAGTGGGTTCGATCCCCAGGACCACCCATACATAAAAATGTATGCGCACATGACTGTAAGTCGCTTTGGATAAAAGCGTCTGCTAAATGGCATATTAATGAAGGGGCTTCTCTCCTCCAACAGCTCCTCCCTCCACTGGCAAAGGGAGCACAAGGGCCCCTATTATATATCAGGGGCCCAATCAGGCGGTTGTAACATTACAGAACGTGTTGTAAAACAGATAGTGTAGTCCCGCCCACCCGACTAGAATCACTACTCTCAGCAGGTCTGACCTAGAGTATGTGGACAACTACAAATACCTAGGTGTCTGGTTAGACTGTAAACTCTCCTTCCAGACTCACATTAAGCATCTCCAATCAAAAGTTAGATCTAGAATTGGCTTCCTATTTCGCAACAAAGCCTCCTTCACTCATGCTGCCAAACATGCCCTCGTAAAACTGACTATCCTACCGATCCTTGACTTCGGTGATGTCATTTACAAAATAGCCTCCAACACTCTACTCAGCAAATTGGATGTAGTCTATCACAGTGCCATCCGTTTTGTCACCAAAGCCCCGTATACTACCCACCATTGTGACCTGTACGCTCTTGTTGGCTGGCCCTCACTACATATTCGTCGCCAAACCCACTGGCTCCAGGTCATCTATAAATCACTGCTAGGCAAATCCCCATCTTACCTTAGCTCACTGGTCACCATAGCAACACTCACCCGTAGTCTGAAATCCAGCAGGTATATCTCACTGGTCATCCCCAATGCCAACACCTCCTTTGGCCGCCATTCCTTCCAGTTCTCTGCTGCCAATGACTGGAACGAACTGCAAAAATCTCTGAAGCGGGAGACTCTTATCTCCCTCACTAACTTTAAGCGTTAGTTGTCAGAGCAGCTTACCGATCACTGCACCTGTACACAGCCATTCTGAAATTAGCCCACCCAACTACCTCATCCCCATATTGTTATTTATTTTGCTAATTTGCACCCCAGTATCTCTATTTGCACATCATCTTTTGCACATCTATCATTCCAGTGTTAATACGAAATTGTAATTATTTTGCACTATGGCCTATTTATTGCCTTACCTCCGTAACTTACTACATTCGCACACACTGTATATATATTTTCTGTTTGTATTTTTGACTTTATGTTTTGTTTACCCCATATGTAACTCTGTGTTGTTGTTTTTATCGCACTGCTTTGCTTTATCTTGGCCAGGTCGCAGTTGTAAATGAGAACTTGTTCTCAACTGGCTTAACTGGTTAAATAAAGGTGAAATAAAAAAATGTAGAATAGAGAATTGTGTCACCTATAGTCATAACATATTTATAATCTGCAACGTTCTGAAGTTTCACCTCACTGCGTAGCCTACACCCCAGTAATTGGAGTGATCAGAACTTAATTGAAGATGTCATAATAAACATGATACAAAATTGATTTCCCTAAATGCTTATGACTTCAATGTAATGTGCATTTTGATGTAAAAGTCTCATTATGTAAACTTGTTTTAGTGCTTTGAAGAGAATCAGCTTGTTTCTCTGGACCCCATCAAGCAGTTTGGAGATTGGTTTGATCAAGCCACAAAGTGTCCTGAAATTGGAGAGCCCAATGCAATGTGCATTGCCACATCTACCAAGTGAGTACCCCCATAAGTAGTCCCTAAAACACAATGCTTGCTTCTTAAGCTAAATTGTAACACATTTTCTATAAATTTGTCTGTTTTTCCATAAAGAGATGGACGTCCATCTGCTCGTATGGTCTTGTTAAAAGGCTACAGTAATGAAGGCTTCCGTTTCTTTACCAACTACGAGAGCCGGAAAGGTGGAGAGTTGGTTAGTATCTGCTACTGTCACTAGGCAGGCATCTTCCTCCCTTTCCTCTCAAGTGCATGTGTAGCAGGTGGGGATGTGTGAAACTTACTCCTCAGCCTGAAGTGTCGCCACTTGCGCCAGTGAATAGCTAGCTTTTCACGTGGCGCCGACTGGTAAGACGCTTCAGGAGGTCATGTACAGTGCCTTCGGAAAGTATTTAGACCCCTTGACTTTTTCCACATTTTGTTACGAGACAGCCTTATTCTAAAATTGATTAAATAAAAAAAGGTTCTCAATCTACACACAATACCCCATAATGACAAAGCGAAAACAGGTTTTTAGAATTTTTTGCAAATGTATTAAAGATTAAAAACAGATACATTATTTACATAAGTATTCAGATCCTTTTGTTATGAGACTCGAAATTGAGCTCAGGTGCATCCTGTTTCCATTGATCGTCCTTGAGATGTTTCTAAAACTTGATTGGAGTCCACCTGTGGTAAATTCAATTGATTGGACATGATTTGGAAAGGCACACACCTGTCTATATAAGGTCCCACAGTTGACAGTGCATGTCAGAGCAAAAACCAAACCATTAGGTTGAAGGAATTGTCCGTAGAGCTCCGAGACAGGATTGTGTCGAGGCACAGATCTGGGGAAGGGTACCAAAACATTTCTGCAGCATTGAAGGTCCCCAAGAACACAGTTGCCTCCATCATTCTTAAATGGAAAAAGTTTGGAACCACCAAGACTCTTCCTAGAGCTGGCCAAACTGAGCAATCTGGGGAGAAGGGCCTTGGTCAGGGAGGTGACAAAGAACCTGATTGTCACTCTGACAGAGCTCTAGAGTTCCTCTGTGGAGATGGGAGAACCTTCCAGAAGGACAACCATCTCTGCAGCACTCCACCAATCAGGCCTTTACTCCTCAGTAAAAGGCACATGACGGCCCGCTTGGAGTTTGCCAAAAGGCACCTAAAGACTCTCAGACCATGAGAAACAAGATTCTCTGGTCTGATGAAACCAAGATTGAACTCTTTGGCCTGAATGCCAAACGTCACATCTGGAGGAAACCTGGAACCATCCCTATGGTGAAGCATGGTGGTGGCAGAATCATGCTGTGGGGATGTTTTTAAGCGGCAGGGACTGGGAGACTAGTCAGGATCGAGGTAAAGATGAACGGAGCAAAGTGCAGAGAGATCCTTGATGAAAACCTGCTCCAGAGCTCTCAGGACCTCAGACTGGGGCGAAGGTTCACCTTCCAACAGGACAACGACCCTAAGTACACAGCCAAGACAACGAGGGAGTGGCTTCGGGACAAGTCTCTGAATGTCTTTGAGTGGCCCAGCCAGAGCCCAGGCTTAAACCTGATCGAACATCTCTGGAGAGACCTGAAAATAGCTGTGCAGCAACACACCCCATCCAACCTGACAGAGTTTGAGAGGATCTGCAGAGAAGAATGGGAGAAACTCCCCAAATACAGGTGTGCCAAGTTTGTAGCATCATAACCAAGAAGACTCGACGCTGTAATCGCTGCCAAAGGTGCTTCAACAAAGTACTGAATAAAGGGTCTGAATACTTATGTACATTTAATTTGTCCTTTTATTTTTAATAAATTAGCAAAAACTTTGAAAAACCTGTTTTTGTTTGTCATTATGGGGTATTGTGTGTAGGTTGATGAGGGGGGGGGGGAACAATTTAATCAATTTTTGAATAAGGCTGTAACCTAACAAAATGTGGAAAAAGTCAAGGGATCTGAATAATAGTTGAAAAATATATGGCAAATAGAAATCCAATATGGATGGTGTTAAGAGATACAGTTGAAGTCGGAAGTTTACATACACTTAGGTTGGAGTCATTAAAACTCGTTTTTCAACCACTCCACAAATTTCTTGTTAAAAAACTATACTTTTGGCAAGTCAGTTAGGACATCTACTTTGTGCATGACACAAGTAATTTTTCCAACAATTGTTTACAGACAGATTATTTCACTTATAATTCACTGTATCACAATTCCGGTGGGTCAGAAGTTTACATACACTAAGTTGACTGTGCCTTTAAACAGCTTGGAAAATTCCAGAAAATGATGTCATGGATTTAGAAGCTTCTGATAGGCTAATTGACATCATATGAGTCAATTGGAGGTGTACCTGTGGATGTATTTCAAGGCCTACCTTCAAACGCCGTGCCTCTTTGCTTGACATCATGGGAAAATCTAAAGAAATCAGCCAAGACCTGAGGGAAAAAAATGGTAGACCTCCACAAGTCTGGTTCATCCTTGGGAGCAATTTCCAAATGCCTGAAGGTACCACGTTCATCTGTACAAACAACAGTACGCAAGTATAAACACCATGGGACCACGCAGCTGTCATACCGCTCAGGAAGGAGACGCGTTCTGTCTCCTAGAGATGAACGTACTTTGGTGCGAAAAGTGCAAATCAATCCCAGAAGAACAGCAAAGGACCTAGTGAAGATGCTAGAGGAAACGGGTACAAAAGTATCTATATCCACTGTAAAACGAGTCCTATATCGACATAACCTGAAAGGCCGCTCAGCAAGGAAGAAGCCACTGCTCCAAAACCACCATAAAAAAGCCAGACTACAGTTTGCAACTGCACATGGGGACAAAGATCGTACTTTTTGGAGAAATGTCCTCTGGTCTGATGAAACAAAAATAGAACTGTTTGGCCATAATGACCATCGTTATGTTTGGAGGAAAAAGGGGAAGGCTTGCAAGCCGAAGAACACCATCCCAACCGTGAAGCACTGGGGTGGCAGCATCATGCTCTGGGGGTGCTTTGCTGCAGGAGGGACTGGTGCACTTCACAAAATAGATGGCATCATCAGGAAGGAAAATTGTGTGGATATATTGAAGCAACATCTCAGACATCAGTCAGGAAGTTAAAGCTTGGGTCTTCCAAATGGACAATGACCCCAAGCATACATCCAAAGTTGTGGCAAAATGGCTTAAGGACAACAAAGTCAAGGTATTGGAGTGGCCATCACAAAGCCCTGACCTCAATCCTATAGAAAATGTTTGGGCAGAACTCAAAAAGCGTGTGCGAGCAAGGAGGCCTACAAACCTGACTCAGTTACACCAGCTCTGTCAGGAGGAATGGGCCAAAATTCACCCAGCTTATTGTGGGAAGCTTGTGGAAGGCTACCTGAAACGTTTGACCCAAGTTAAACAATTTAAAGGCAATGCTACCAAATACTAATTGAGTGTATGTAAGCTTCTGACCTACTGGGAATGTGATTTAAATAAATAAAAGCTGAAATAAATCATTCTCTCTTTGAGATTCTTAAAATAAAGTGTTGATCCTATCTGACCTAAGACAGGGAATTTTTACTAGGATTAAATGTCAGGAATTGTGAAAAACTGATTTTAAATGTATTTGGCTAAGGTGTATGTAAACTTCTGACTTCAACTGTAGATGGGTGGTGTTGAATGGAGTTGAAGGATGGGACTAATAACAACTAATAACAACACAATAACTAATAATGTAAGCATACTGTGTCCATAATAAGTATATAGGTTATAGGTTGAGAGCTTTTATGAAAGAGCACAGTTAGAAAGATATGGCATATAGAAGCAAACCGGATGGACGTCATGAAAATGATTAGAGAGGTTGAGGGTAGAGGAAGTTCAGGAGTAAAAACAAACAAAATAGAATTATTGTAAAATTGACTGTGTCCATAATATGTATATAGTATGTATAAGCTGGAAGTAGAGGCCTAAGCATTGTTGTTTACTCCAATTAGGGAAGGGTTGGTGGGGTTGGAAAGTAACAAAGGGAAATATATTTTTTTAAAGGAAATGTATGTGTACAGTCGTGGTTAAAAGTTTTGAGAATGGCACAAATATTAATTTTCACAAAGTCTGCTGCCTCAGTTTTGATGATGGTAATTTGCATATACTCCAGAATGTCATGAAGAGTGATCAGATGAATTGCAATTAATTGCAAAGTCCCTCTTTGCCATGAAAATGAACTTAATCCCCCAAAAACATTTCCACTGCATTTCAGCCCTGCCACAAAAGGACCAGCTGCCATCATGTCAGTGATTCTCTCGTTAACACAGGTGAGAGTTTTGACGAGGACAAGGCTGGAGATCACTCTGTCATGCTGATTGAGTTAGAATAACAGACTGGAAGCTTTAGAAGGAGGGTGGTGCTTGAAATCATTGTTCTTCCTCTGTTAACCATGGTTACCTGCAAGGAAACACGTGCCGTCATCATTGCTTTGCACAAAAAGGGCTTCACAGGCAAGGATATTGCTGCTAGTAAGATTGCACCTAAATCAACCATTTATCGGATCATCAGGAACTTCAAGGAGAGAGGTTCAATGTTGTGAAGAAGGCTTCAGGGCGCCCAAGAAAGTCCAGCAAGCGCCAGGACCGTCTCCTAAAGCTGATTCAGCTGCGGGATCGGGGCACCACCAGTGCAGAGCTTGCTCAGGAATGGCAGCAGGCAGGTGTGAGTGCATCTGCACGCACAGTGAGGCAAATACTTTTGGAGGATGGCCTGGTGTCAAGAAGGGCAGCAAAGAAGCCACTTCTCTCCAGGAAAAACATCAGGGACAGATTTATATTCTGCAAAAGGTACAGGGATTGGACTGCTGAGGACTGGGGTAAAGTCATTTTCTCTGATGAATCCCCTTTCCGATTGTTTGGGGCATCCGAAAAATACCTTGTCCGGAGAAGACAAGGTGAGCGCTACCATCAGTCCCGTGTCACCACCCTCTAACTTTAAGCATCAGTTGTCAGAGCACCTTACCGATCACTGCACCTGTACACAGCCCATCTGAAATTAGCCCACCCAACTACCTCATCCCCATATTGTTATTTATTTTGCTCATTTGCACCCCAGTATCTCTATTTGCACATCATCTCTTGAACATCTATCATTCCAGTGTTAATACTAATTGTAATTATTTTGCACTATGGCCTATTTATTGCCTTACCTCCATAACTTGCTACATTTGCACATACTGTATATACATTTTCTGTTGTATTTTTGACTTTGTTTTGTTTTACCCCATATGTAACCCTGTTGTTTTTATCGCACTGCTTTGCTTTATCTTGGCCAGGTCGCAGTTGTAAATGAGAACTTGTTCTCAACTGGCTTACCTGGTTAAATAAAGGTGAAATAATTTTTTTTTTTTTAAATGCCAACAGTAAAGCATCTTGAGACCATTCATGTGTGTGGTTGCTTCTCAGCCAAGGGAGTGGGCTCACTCACAATTTTGCCTAAGAACAGAGCCATGAATAAAGAATGGTACCAACACATCCTCCGAGAGCAACTTCTCCCAACCATCCAAGAACAATTTGCCTTTTCCAGCATGATGGAGCACCTTGCCATAAGGCAAAAGTGATAACTAAGTGGGTCGGGGAACAAAACATCGACATTTTGGGTCCATGGCCAGGAAACTCCCCAGACCTTAATCCCATTGAGAACTTGGGGTCGATCCTCAAGAGGCGGGTGGACAAACAAAACCCACAAATTCTGACAAACTCCAAGCATTGATTATGCAAGAATGGTCTGCCATCAGTCAGGATGTGGCCCAAAAGTTAATTGACAGCATGCCAGGGCGGATTGCAGAGGTCTTGAAAAAGAAGGGTCAACACTGCAAATATTGACTCTTTGCATAAACTTAATGGAATTGTCAATAAAAGCCTTTGACACTTATGGAATGCTTGTACTTATATTTCAGTATACCATAGTAACATCTGACAAAAATATCTCATAACACTGACGCAGCAAACTTTGTGAAGACCAATACTTGTGTCATTCTCAACTTTTGACCACGACTGTGTTTGTGTGTGTGTGTGTGTGTGTGTGTGTGTGTATATGTATATATATATATATATATATATATATATATATATATATATATTATTAAAGCTGATTTCCCCCCTAAATAATTTTTTTAGGGGGGTCTGAATACTTACCGAAGGCACTGTATGCTAGCAAGGCAGAGGTCCTGGGTTCGGGCCTTAGTGTGAGCTGATTCAGGAGGAAGTGGTACTTGCTAAGCAAGCAGCGTGACATCCTTTGCACCTGCACTACTAGATTATTTAGTTTTCCAATTTTACATCCGATATTTTCAAATCCCTTCCTGTAGGAGAGCAACCCTTACGCATGTCTGTGCTTTTACTGGGAGCCCATCAACCGGCAGGTATGTGCTTCATTTTACCTCTAAAAGTGTAGCGTACTTGTCAAGCCATTGTTTCAATATCTTCAAGTATCTTTGATTTGGTATGATGAGTATATTGTGATGTGGTTTTTGAACGAATTAAAGGGCAATTCCACCACTTTTCAACCTCATTTCATTATCTCCAGCACAATACCAGTGTCTACATATGTGAAGGGCACATTTCTATGGTTTGTAGAAAAATATATAAAGTTAAAGAGTTCTACCCGATGACATCATCAAAAGTAAAAAAAAAAATTTTAATGGTGATTTTCAAACACTGAGATTCGCAGTGAGCATTTTTTATTTTTTTACCTTTTCTTGTCTTTTTAACCACAGATCATAAACACGCCGTTTTCACATGTACACACTCGGATTGGGGCTGGAGATAAGAATATTAGGTTGAAAAGTTTTGGAATTTCCCTTTAACTAATGGAGGATGACACTGAATTTGCTGTACAATTAGTTGGCACCCACCTAAGAGTGTGTGTGTGTGCAGATCCGTATCGAGGGCAACGTGGAGAGAATCCCCTTCCAGAGCTCCTGTGACTACTTCCACTCCCGGCCCAAGAGTAGCCAGATCGGAGCCGTTGTGAGCAGGCAAAGCACTGCAGTCCCTGACAGAAATGTGAGGACCACCCATGCTACACCACTGTATTATAGAGATCCACCATTGGACTTATTGCCAAAATAGGGAAATTAATGAAATATGTTACATCTGACGGTTTTATATCACTCTGCAGTACCTGAGACAGAAAAATGCAGAGCTGGAAGAAAAGTACAAGGATACAGATGTCCCCATGCCCGACTACTGGTTAGTATGTTAAATCACCAAGAATTACTGTTTTAATTGAACAAAATGCTTCATGACTTTGCCAAACCTGTGCAGTAAGTTGTCTATCATGTAATCTCGGTTAACCCAGAACTAAAATCCGAGAAATTTGGTCAGATGCTATCCACGAGAGATTATCTACCATGTAAACCTGTTCTTGTTTTTGCCCGTTGTCCCTCTATCTTCCAACAGGGGAGGCTATATCGTCAAGCCTTACTTGATAGAGTTCTGGCAGGGTCAGACCAACAGGCTACATGACCGCATCGTCTTCACACGGCCGAAAAATGGAGAGAGTGTTCTAGAAGAGTATGAACATAATGCTGAGGCGGGCTGGGTCTACCAGAGGCTATCCCCTTGAGGTCAGTTACATTAGGGGAAATGGAGGCAAGGCTGGAGATTGGGCCCACCGTACAACTCACTCATGATGTCATCATCAATCAAATGACCACCATCATCTCAATGCAGTAGGAGCCTCTCATGTTGAATGGAAGACCTATTGATGTTGAATAACTACGTGTTATAGGATGTGTCTTAACAAGCTATAATTTGCTGTTCTTTTCAGGTGTTCTTGTTTAATACCAAATCAAGGAGAACGTTTCTGGTTGGTTAGGAAGCCTGATTGCCTGTTGTCTCCAGGGCAACAATGGGAAATTATTAACGTGAAGCGACTATACTGTCTAGCAACAGACCTGTGACGTAAGGTTTTCCAAATCTCAATATGCTGTATGACACACTTTACATTCCCTGACGCTTGAAGTGCAAAGTCTGTCTAGTACAGTAGTCAATGTTATATAATGATTGACAGTAAATCGGTAATCCAATGATCATGCGTTTCCGCAGACCTCAACAACCTCTAGAAAATCTGTACTTGTAAAAAGCACAATCTCCAGTACTGTCTGTCTGTTAATTAACATTTGTACATGAGTTCCACTGTATTGGAGCAGGGTTACATGTTCTGTCTAGCTGCTAATATGTCTTCTAATGGCTCAAATCCACAGCAGTTTCTCTGTCATAATGTAATACTCATTGCCTATTAGGCGGAAGTCCCTGTGTTGAATTTGTTATGGATTTATTGTCATGTCTGTGGCTCAAACTACCTTTTAATATAGTTCAATTAAGATTAGAAGAGTTTATGCGAGTTCATTTGTGCCAAGGTAATGATGTGTATAAAGTCAGTCATGTCTGAGAATGAGCTTGGATGTTAACTTGTTTTTCATGGTGTGTGAAGACCTCTGCATTCATGGCACTTTTGAATTGTGATAATCTAAATGGATCTGAAAAATCATGTTGAATTTGTAACTGAATACTCAGTGCTTTTTCTGGCCAAAAGATGTCAGTGTTGTATCAAAAAGCTACATTTGACCTTCCTGTAAGTATATTGCCATATTTGATATGTTTTTCTATCAACTTTATTCTATGCAGACCTTTTTAGCATGTTAGATGAAACAGAACTGTATATAAATAATCACGATCACATTATACTCTATGACTTGTTCTTATGGATAGACATGCCCTTTTCTGTGATCACTTCAGTACCATCTATCCCTCACATCTCTTGTCTGACTCCATTTACCCCAGCCTTGCCACCAACCGCATTCAGATGAAGTGACAAACTAGACGATAAATCCCTGATTGAGGGCTCAGTTTACACATTCTTACATCACCACGTCTTATGTCGTAACTAGACTTCTTCAAATCATTACAGGTCATTAAATATGCAAAATGTGTATATGTTTAACTAACATTTATAACAGACAAACCTTTGTAGCTAAACATATTTTTCATAATTTTCTTCTCATATACTACAGTGAAATATTCACTCCAGGTTACTGGTCATGAGCCCTTGTTCAGACACAGTCAACATATTTGTTGCCATATTCTTGGAAATCTTCAGCATTGTCCATTTTTCCAAAGTGCAGTGCGCTCAGGAATGAACTGGTGAAGGTACTTAGCTATCCACACAAAGATACCACACATTCTAATATGTTTGTGCATCAATGAACCTTGAACAGTGTTGTTTATTTGGGTGTGTGCGATAATTCAGCTGGGTACAGTATTATCTGTGTACTTGGGTGTGGAGCCCACCTTGGGAGTGTATATATGTTTTGTGCAAGTAAGAGTATGGCTGCGTTGTTGTCGTGAATGGTGTGGCTGTCTGTTGTGCATGCCTAAAAAAAGAGCCTAAACAGCAGGTACTTGGTTTTCTGCTATTTCTCTGCCCTGTGGTTCTCATCACTGATACTGTGTTCAGAGAACAGCATAGGGTTCTCAGCCAGTGTGGCACGGATCTTCTTCTTCTCCTTGAAGCGACCAGAGTGGGACACCTTAACATGGCGCCCTTTAGTGGCCGACTTATCCACGATCTTCTCCAGTCTGGCACTGAACTGGTTATCCATTGGGTCTGTGAGGAGCTGAGGGCTGTTGCAATGCTCCTTATTCCCAGTGTTATTGCCATACTCTGGGGGGATCTCGTACAGAACCTTGGCCTCAGACTTCTTACGTGAGAAGGTCAGCTTCCACCAGCTAGGGTCAGCCATGGCACAGACAGAAACTGGAGGGGGGATTGACCTAGGGAGGAAAGGGGCACCCGTTTATGTCAATCAGTACTGATGGTCTTTGTGAGAGTTACACAGCAAGAGGTTTCAAGTTGGGGGATTCTTGTGACAATGCTGACATGTTTTTTTGTAGTTGATTGCCTGACTAAGCTGACTCTTTCCTTACATTTCAGGGCAAAAAAGTGAAAATCATCCAGACCTTTAATATAATAGCATTCATTAGCTGACGATGATCAACTTTTATCTTGAGAGTTAAAGTCACACTCCAGCTATTTGTGAACTTTTCCTGTTGAAAAACATAAGTATAAATACCGTAATGTACACAAAATCACACACTTACCAGGAAGAAAAATAGTTTTGAGCAAAATAGTGTCTTTAAGACAACTGAAAACTTCAAGGAGTAGGCTATTCAAAGAGTTGGTCTGATGTGATGTCATCTGCCTCCCCCCTTGCAATAGAGAACAAAAGAGGAAAGGCCCACCCCGCCACTTGTGCCTTGTCATGACATACCTGGAACACCTACTGAGAAGTTCCTTTTGTTAAGTAAATCAGGTGATAAATGAGGTGAAAAGGAGCCTGGAGGATGTCTTTAAGTGTGTCTTAGTAGACCTGCCAACCCCCCCCCCCCCCCCCTGTTAGAGGCTGCCATCCATGCTAAATCAATCTATGATGGGGTGATACACAAAGTTAGGCCGGTTGCCATGTTACATTTTTAAAGGCCATTTTAAATAAATAATTAGTCATTTAGCAGATGCTCTTATCCAGAGCGACTTACAGGAGCAATTAGGGTTAAGTGCCTTGCTCAAGGGCACATCGACAGATTTTTCACCTAGTCGGCTCGGGGATTAGAACCAGCGACCTTTCGGTTACTGGCACAACGCTCTTAACCATTAAGCTACCTGCCGCCATTTTCAAGGGGTCAAAGGTCAAATGTGGTGAAAATTGCCATAATGGAAATTCTAATATATTTAGGTCAAATATCCTAAAAATCTCAACAAAACTGAGTGGATTATCTTAGCATATAAATACAAATGGACTATGTAATCATACATACTACTTAGACTATGGAATAAACATATTTCCAGTTACTTTTGGCATAATGATTATGCTTTAAGCCATGCATATACGCAGAAAAAGCAAATGTTCCATAATTTTGGTCAAACTTGGCCTTTTTCAGACAAAAAGATACTTAGCACTTTACGTTATGAGGATCCGACATTCTGGGGCAGAGACATTGGAACTACAGGGTCAAGTGTAAATGCAGTCAAAGTTGACATTTTTGAGGTAATGATAGATTTTGGCCATATTCACTGAATATAAAGAAAAAAATTGCACTATTGCCTGGGACAAGTGAACTGAGCAGTCGTGCTAGTTGAGCCTGCTCTGAGGTTTCCCCATGGGGCAAAAAAAAAGAAGTGAAAACAACCAAGAATTCCATTAGCCTAAAACTTATCTTATTATCTAATTCCTCCCCATTGTTTAAGTTGTTTACGAGAAAGACAAGAAAATCTATGGCATTTATGGCAGTCGGGCAAGTTGAGCCTGCTCTCAGAATTGTTTTACCAAAATACAAACAATTCCAGTCCTGATCTTTCTCATTTCTCCCATATGTGAAGGCAAATGCTTTCAAGCACGTTTTCCAGGTTGGCTGGTCTACTTTATCTGTGTCTAAAGTCTGTGTACTTATCTTATGAGTGTGTATTTGCCAGAGTATTCATGCTGTAAATTGTTAACTCCCTTGTTAGCAGTCTCTATCACATCTCAGTGATAAGAAAGGCTGATCGAGGAGATTACTCATCTGACATCTGAGACCTGCTCTCAGCTGATAAATTAACCAACACATTGAGAGGATCTCGTGTCTCTTCCCTGTGATCTGATATGAACTCAGAAAAAAACGTTCAGATGATGAGAAAGCAACTTGTTTCCTGAATCCACTCTAGATACTATGCAAGTGCAAAGGATCAGCAGGACTGGACTATTGTCAACACCACCACAATACAAACTGCAACCTTTTACATTTTCTATTTGCGTGACACAAACCAAATGCAAACCAATGGACGCATAAATGCAAACAAGTAGCAATTACAAGAGCACACATATTAAGCCCAGGTATTGTGATGCTTTGTTCTCCACTGTCAGTATGAGGTGTGGCCCAGCTCAGTCACCTGGCAACCTTTTAGCCAACATCCGTTCCAGTTGAAATGCTAATAGTAATAGACTCACCCTTTTCGGATGATCATTTTAGCATGGTGTTGTAAGAATACAGGCATACCAGAGATTTTTTTTTATAATGTGAGCTGTTTTGGGTATACCACAGTGTGATAAGTGATGGGGTTAACAGATGTATCATGTTGTCTAACATTAATAGCATTGGAGTAGGTAATATTTAAGTTTCCTTGAGTTGTTTGGTGCAACATACAATGGAGATGGCAAGAATGAGACAATGCCATGTTGCCAGGCAACCAAGCAAGTGAATGCCACAGAAACATACTTGTTACAGTCTATCATAGTCAAAAAAATAAAGCAACATATTTATAAGTTGGGTTGGTTCCGTGGGAACTCCCTGTTTATTTGCTTAAAACGCCCTTATCTGTTCTTATTTGGCTGTAGTCTACAAATTCTAATTTAAATGCAACAAGTAACCGCTGAATTTTCATTGCCCTTAGTTTTCCCAACCCCATGGCACGAAGAAGCAGATACGGTTGCTCTCCAAGATGAGCTTTTATGGCTTTGTAGTATTCCTAAAAGGGTGCAGTTATCCTCCTGGATCAAAGTGTTGGACTCCTGTTCCCTGCCAACTTCCTGACTAACTATGACATAATAATTTATAGGGTTTGTAAATAGTCAATTAACTGATTATTAACCCTTTATTTTCAATGTATATAAATGTTTCATAAATGGTACCTTAAAGCTAGAATCTGCAGTTGAAACAATAACAAAGTGGGTATCCCGCCTTTGTTTTGGTAAAAAGCTGAGGGATGGACCTGGAGAAATGTAATCACTCTCAAATTCATAGACAGAGCTTTGGATGCAAGGACTGACCATATCAAAATTATAGCTTTAACTATACAGTGTTTGTTTATATTTACGTAGTTTACAAACATTAGAGTAACAAAAAACATATTTTGTGTTCTGATGGGGTACGACAGTGGAACTAAGCTCACGAGGCATTTCTAAGTTATAAATTAATTATATATACCTGTTGATTCTTGACGAGTATAAGTCCAAAAATGTATGTAGCAACTAAGGATTCTAGCTAATGGCTAATGGCAAAGTGTTACCTGAAATAGTTCAACCAGGGTTAGATTGATAACTTTGAACATTATTCTACCGTCTCTCTGACATCTTTGACTTTACCTTTACAAAGAGAACTCATAAGACTCATTTGGAGTTCTCAGTTGGTCCTGTTTAATAAGTTACTCTGTGTTCTGCAAAGCTTCAAAGATCACAGTGAAGGAACACCATGTTCACGCTGAACACTGAGAAATCACTAACTGAGTACAAAGCCTTTCAATGATACAGTGTTCGAGCTTCAGAAAGGTGGATCCAAGGACATCTACTGTACTGTATGCCTGAGCTTCACTGAACACAGAGCTGGAATGTTGCAACAGTCTTGGGTTTCACCCTGGCTGCCAGGTTTCCTTAGCCTGGTTGCCATCTCTGTTCAACTATTGCATTCCACTCCTTGCCACTCCTGTCATTTGCCAAAGAGATTGGCATATGTCTTTGGCAAATGACAGGAGTGGCAAGGAGTGGAATGTTAGCTAAAAAGACTGGTAACCAAACTAAGGTTCACTGCTGACCCGTAATATTGAGGTTGGATAGGATGCTCAGAGGACGCTCTGATTTCTCACATAGCTATGGCCCTCGTGTCTATCCATGTTTCATGTTTATCAGTTGTAACCTATCTGGACAGTTCAAATAATTATTTTTTACATGGTTGAAGGGCTGGCCTCCTCTGCACATGGCTTGTACCCAGTTGATTTGGCATGTTTGAGCATTAAAATGTGACTTTTGGCAATTTTGTTTCACACCGTTTTTAGTTTCTTGGGAATTTAATTAGACACTATCAACTTGATGCCACGGAAATGTTAAATGTAAGCAAATGTACTGTATCAGGATCTTTTAAAATGTATTACATTTAGTGAAATGTACACAATCAGAAACCGTAAAATACATAAAGGCTAAAACACAAGTAGCACATTGACATTCCAATTATAAACATTCTTACGAGAAATAATGGTCCCTTGATGGATGCACAGCGTGCATGAATGTAATGCTTACCTTGTTGATGGAGAATTGGTCTGTGTCCTGGAGAGGGAGTGGATTTCAGATGTGAAAATGTCCAACCATATCTTACTGCTCTCCTAGTTAGAGGTTCTGTATTAATTTCTTATACTTTATTTTTCCCTCTTTCTCTTCCTATTCTCTTTTCACATTCACTCAGTTTCTCAGTCCTCCTTATGTTGACACTCAGGTGTAACGTCACAGGTGCAGTCTCTCTCTCCCTGCCTCTCTCTCCCTCCCTCTCTCTCTCTCTCTCTCTCTCTCTCTCTCTCTCTCTCTCTCTCTCTCTCTCTCTCTCTCTCTCTCTCTCTCTCTCTCTCTCTCGCTCTTGCTCTCTTGCTCACACACACACACACACACACACACACACACACACACACACACACACACACACACACACACACACCAGTGGAGGCTGGTGGGAGGAGCTATAGGAGGATTGACTCATTGTAATGGCTGGAGTGGAATCTATGGAACGGAGTCAAACATGTGGTTTCCATTTGTTTGATGTGCTTGATACCGTTCCATTGATTCCATTACAGTCATTACAATGAACCCGTCCTCCTATAGCTCCTCCAACCAGCCTCCTCTGACACACACACACACACACACACACACACACACACACACACACACGCACACACACACAAAGACAGCCCAATACAAGCAAGTAAATGTAACAACCATGTGATTTGAAGGGGACTTGTTGTCAGAATGTACTGTTAAGTTACTGTCCCACCTCAAAACTGGTTCTGTTTCTAAGTGGAATGGAGTGGAAACAAGTCCTCATTTTAATTGGCCAAAGCCATATTTTCCCATTAGCCATGTCATTGGAATAATATGCTGAAACAAAACACTCTGACAAGTGACATGGTAATAATTTGCCTTCACTAATGTGATTGGATCATTTATATCCTTATGTTTGCAACAATGTTTTTCCAGTTTCCATTGAATGGCATTTCTTTCAGACACATCTTTAATAACTTCACCTCACAAATCTACCCAGACATGATCAGGTAGGCTATTAAATAATTAAATGTTTATAAATTCATTGTTTCATTCCGAAGTCCAGCATTGAGCCCATGATTGAGCCCTGATGAAAATCTGCTCATGACAGAAATTAAACCTGAGGGTACAACGCCCTCTGTTGGTACACTGTACACATGTTACCATGTCACTTGTCAGAGTGTTTTGTTTCAGCATATTATTCCAATGACATGGCTAATGGGAAAATATGGCTTTGGCCAATGCTGGTAGGCTATTAAATAATTAAATGTTTATAAATTCATTGTTTCATTCCAAAGTCCTGCATTGAGCCCATGATTGAGCCCTGATGAAAATCTGCTCATGACAGAAATTAAACCTGAGGGTACAACGCCCTCTGTTGGTAGACTGTACACATGTTACCCAATCCGGAACTAAAATATTCACCTATTAGAATCAGTCCTCAGTATGGTACAATTCCATTGGTTTATGAGAGTTTGCTTTCCTACCATCACGTTTTTCTATTGGTCCTTCGTCTGGTAACGTGTCGTTTTTGGGATGTAAATAGTGTTACAGCAGATTAACTCGAAGAAGTCGCAGAAATATAACTGCAATGTGCCAAGAAGGATAAAAATCCAACAATTGAATGAACAGTTGAAGAGGCAATGGAGGTAAATGTATGCATATATGTTGTTTTTCTTCAGAACAATGGTTTGAAGACCTGGTCTGAAGACTGTTCACATTGGCCTGCATGGTCTCTAGTGCTACTTTTGCTGAACTGCGTAATTATTTTGATGATGTCATGAATTGCTCTTCCTTATCTTGTTCTTGCAGATTAATTCGTGCACGGTAGTGTCAGCCTTTTACATGAACCAACTATGTCCAGCTACAATATATTCATCCATAAATTGATAACTAGCTATCTAGCTGTCAATGCTCACAGATTGTCAAAAGCACTCCTTTCCATCCATATGCGGTTGTATATATCTTCCCTTTCCCTTTGACCTTTCCTACGCTGCCACTGTTTACGTGATAATTTAGGAGCTAAAATTCTCATTTCTTAAATGCAGCTGTTCAAGTATTAGGCTAACATAGAACCTCATCTTCTCAACAGAATCTTCAAAATCTTCCTATTGACATACAGACCAGTAAGCTTTTAGGTAAGATTGGATATAGTAATGAATGGAACATTTTCTATGAGTCTTTGGATTTCTGTAGTGGTACATTAACCAGTTATCCCTTGTAGACTGGCTGGTGGACCGACGACACTGCAGTCTGAAATGGCAGAGTGCTGTAATGAGCATCCGGGAGAAGATCAACGCTGCGATGCAGGACATGCCAGAGAACGAGGAGATCAAGGAGCTTCTCTCAGGGTCCTGTAAGTCCCCCACTCTCCAGACTGCTCCACAGCGACTATTCAGACAAACGCAGATGTCTGGTTCTTGCCATTGACATACCAAAATATAATAGTACTGAGTTAAATTTAATTTTTATGTCCATTGTTATTGCAGACATCCACTACTTCCACTGCTTGAGGATAGTGGACATCCTGAGGGGGACTGAGGCCTCCTCCAAGAACATATTTGGCAGATACTCCTCTCAGAGGATGAAGGTGAAGTGACATACAATGTCTGACAGTTGTTTTTGTTTTTGTCATTGTTTATCCCCCAAGTGTGCTGTTTAGCCATATACAAACCAGTGTGCTCTGTTTTGTTGCTGCAGGACTGGCAAGAAATAGTGTCCCTCTATGAGGCAGACAATGTTTATTTGGGTAAGTATGAGATTAAATAGTGTCCCTCTATGAGGCAGACAATGTTTACTTGGGTAAGTATTACATGAAATAGTGTCCCTCTATGAGGCAGACAATGTTTACTTGGGTAAGTATGACATGAAATAGTGTCCCACTATGAGGCAGACAATGTATACTTGGGTAAGTATGAGATTAAATAGTGTCCCTCTATGAGGCAGACAATGTTTACTTGGGTAACCTCCCGAGTGGCGCAGTGGTCTAAGGCTGTGCCACTAGAGATCCTGGTTCGAATCCAGACTCTGTCATAGCCGGCCGCGATCGGGAGACCCATGGGGCGGTGCACAATTGGCCCAGCGTTGTCCAGGGTAGGGGAGGGAATGGCCGGCAGGGATGAAGCGCAGTTGGTAGAGCGTGGCGTTTGCAACGCCAGGGTTGTGGGTTCGATTACATGTATGCACTCACTAACTATAAGTCGCTCTGGATAAGAGCGTCTGCTAAATGACTAAAATGTAAAATGTAAGTATGAGGTGAAATAGTGTTCCTCTATCCTGGTCGTGGGGATCCATCCACAGGGTGTGCAGGCTTTTTTTTCTTCAGCCCAGCACCAACACATCAAATTCAACTAATCAAGAGTTGAATGATTTGTAATTTAGTGGAATTGAGTTTTTTCGTAACACTGGGCTGGAATTAAAGCCTCAGTACCCTGTGGGTCCATGCTCAAGACCGGGATGGAGGAACACTGATGGAGGATGAATGAACTAAGGTTTGGATATAGACTGGTGAGACTTGAGTGTGACTTGAGTATTGACTCTTCCCTGTTGTGTGACGCAGCGGAGGTGGCCAGCCTGTTGAGCCGCACTGTGAGCTATGAGGGACCTGCCCTGAGGAAGCAGGTAGCCAAGGCCCAGCAGCTTCAGCAGGAGTTGAGCCGGAGAGAGACTGAGTGCCAGAGCTCAGCCGCGGACCTGAGGGAGCGCTTCTACGCAGGCTGCAAGCAGTACGGCATCACGGTGAGGACACACAGAGTGAAACGCTGTGGTATGCATGTGGTGAAAACAGAGGTACAACATATGCTCAGTGTTACGCTGATGCATAGGTACACTGATCCATAGCTCAAGGCAAGGAGGGTACTGTGTGATATTCTGTATTTTAAATGGTACACTTTCCCCATGTCTGGCTGACAATTTATTTCTCTCCCAGGGGGAAAATGTGGCTCGGGAGCTGCAGGCTCTGGTGAAGGATCTACCAACAACTCTTGGGGAAGTGGGGAGGGACACAGCCAAGCTAGAGGAGCAAATCCAACTTTACACAGCCTTCACAAACTTTCTCTGTGACTGGTGAGTGTGAAATCTCTTCCATGTTCTGTGGAAAAACACAGGGCCTTGCTGGGTACGTCTTTTTGAATGGCATCAGTTGTTGAGGAAGAGTCTGTCGTCCTGCCACAGGGATGAGCCAGTGCTGCCCATGCTGACTTTCGCCCAAAAGGGAGGTAACCCCACGTTCTATGAGTGGCGAACAGGAAAAGCACCATTGGTCATTGAGAGGCCTGTAATGGAGGAGGCGCCCCCTGATACGGTCACAGAGGAAACGGTTTGTTGATCTTACACACTCACTATCATTATAAGTCGGTCTAAAGGATGGTAGTGTCCGGGCTGCATCTTAAAACTAGTGTGAAATACTTTTAGGGCATTTGACAATATCATCTTAACTAAATTCACACACGATTCATCGTTATAGTAAGATGTCATGCTGACGGTGTGTGTCTGTGTCTCTATGTCCACTCAGATTGACTGGGGTGACCTGGGGGGTGGGACAGGGGCAGAAGGGACACAGGATGTGATCACGGTGGAGGATGGAGGAGTGGACTGGGGCATCAGCCTGGAGCCTGGCTCTGAGGTAAGAGTTAAGAGAGAACGTACATTTTGGTCTTCATACATTTCTGTATGAACGTTTTTTTGTTTGCCATGAATCTTACTCTCTATTTTCTTACTTACTTTCTAATCGTCTTTGTGCATCCACAAGATGCCTTATGTCTTAATATGTGTTTTTTCTCCATAGGACACAGATGCAGGTGTCATTGATTGGGGAGAGAGTGAAACCCCTATAGAAATTGAGATCTTAGATATGGGCACGGACTGTGAGTATTCTTACCTTTTTATACCTGTAGCTATAGACAAAACAAAATAGCTAAATTATACTGTGCAATGTGTCTTCCACATGGTAGCAGCACATTAAGAATGTGAAATGTGACCGTAATCTATGGTCGTGTCATGTGTCCAGGTCCTGAGGGTGTGGCCAGGGGGGAGGATGCTCTGTCTATATTGGAGACCCCACAGACCCGCAGCCAGTACATCGACGAGCTGATGGAGGTAGGTAACCAGTAGGCTCTAACACACAACCCTCTGGTGTTGTATAAGAACACTGTAATTGTGCATTTATCAGATTATGCTTTGAAATGCATTGTATTGAAGTGCATAGTATTACCTTTTTCCGTCATAAGATTGCAATGTACATGGTGAGTTGGTCTTGGCCCACGGTTGTTTACTGACTGGAGATGAGCGCCCAGACTGAGCCAGTGTGGATGTGTGTTGGGCAGTTGGAGGTGTTTCTGAGCCAGCGGCTGAGTGAAATGGGAGAGGAGGGCAATGTGGTGGCCATGTGCCAGTTCCAGCTGGCCCCCTCCATCATCCAGGGGCAGACTTGCCAGCGCGTCCAGGAGATGCTGGCCGAAGTGCGCCACCTGCTGGACCGACTGACCAACCTACGGATGCAGCACCTCTTCATGATCCAGGCCTCGCCACGGTGAGTCTTCGCCACAACATCTTTATCACCATCTTCTCAGACCTCTACAACAACCAGTAATGCCATTAGCTGGTTCCTTGTAAAGGGTATTCAGGGGAACTCGCCATGCTGAAGCAGTGTGTGTCTGTCCCAGGTATGTGGAGCGTGTCTCGGAGGTCCTGAGGCAGAAACTGAAGCAGGCAGACATCCTCGTGCTGAAGCGGGCCACACTGGCCGAGAAGAGACAGGAAGCTCTGGAAGAGCAGGCCACCCTGGAGCCCCGCATCGACCTGCTGGCTCAACGCACCCACCAGCTCCACAAACTGGTACTGTCTCTCTTGTATGTCTGTCTGTCTGGTAGATTACAATGAGGACGGGTAAGTGTGGGACCCACCTGAACTGTGATTTGTGGTGTGTTTTACAGATCGAAGCGGACATTTCAAAACGCTACAACAACCGGCCTGTCAACCTAATGGGAGTCAATGTGTAGCTGTTGGAGTTCACCCAGATTTGTATCATTGTCATCGCTCCCTAGAAAAAATAAATGTCTGATTTGATGTAAAGGTGTGTTGTGTTATGAATCATGATCTGCTGTAAACAACTCTTCAAATAATACACTGGCATTGTTGCACCTGTTTTAAACAGCTCCTAATGTTGCTAGGCAAGATAGTAGATGTGAAACAGAAATAAGAACACAGTCTGCACCTGAATAAGAAGCACAATGCCAACTCCCCCTACCGTTACACAATTCTTGATCTAAACCTCAGCTTTCTGCTGGAGCTCTTATGTTACCACAGCCTAAGATTCTAACATGTTGTGATCTCCTTTTCACCCCTAGGCAGCTAGCTGCATAATCACACTCCCAAAACTCATGACGACCGCAAGATTGAGAGGCTAATGGCCAGTATCATTGAATCTCAAGAGGGATAAAAGGGAGGGAGAGGAGGGTAGATGGTTTACATGGGACTAATAACACATTCTGTGACGGTGCCTTAGAGGGGTTTCTTTTGATATCACACAAACAAAGCACACCACCTACGGGTAACACTGAGGCTGAGTCAGTATTGTTGAAATGATCTGCACTGTGTCCCAATATAGATGCATACAGTTGAATCCGGAAGTTTACATACACCTTAGCCAAATACATTTAAACTCAGTTTTTCACAATTCCTGACATTTAATGCTAGTAAGATTTTCCCTGTCTTAGGTCAGTTAGGATCACCACTTTATTTTAAGAATGTAAAATGTCATAACAGTAGAGAGAGTGACTTATTTCAGCTTTTATTTATTTCATCACATTCCCAGTGGGTCAGAAGTTTACATACACTCAATTAGTATTTGGTAGCATTGCCTTTAAATTGTTTAACTTGGGTCAAATGTTTCAGGCAGCCTTCCACAAGATTCCCACAATAAGTTGGGTGAATTTTGGCCCATTCCTCCTGACAGAGTTGATGTAACTGAGTCAGATTTGTAGGCCTCCTTGCTCGCACACGCTTTTTCAGTCCTGCCCACACATTTTCTATAGGATCGAGGTCAGGGCTTTCACAGTATTATTCCAACCTCATAGTATACAGTGGGGGAAAAAAGTATTTAGTCAGCCACCAATTGTGCAAGTTCTCCCACTTAAAAAGATGAGAGAGGCCTGTAATTTTCATCATAGGTACACGTCAACTATGACAGACAAATTGAGACTCAAATGATGTCAATTAGCCTTTCAGAAGCTTCTAAAGCCATGACATCATTTTCTGGAATTTTCCAAGCTGTTTAAAGGCACAGTCAACTTAGTGTATGTAAACTTCTGACCCACTGGAATTGTGATACAGTGAATTATAAGTGAAATAATCTGTCTGTAAAGTGTTGGAAAAATGACTTGTGTCATGCACAAAGTAGATGTCCTAACCGACTTGCTAAAACTATAGTTTGTTAACAAGACATTTGTGGAGTGGTTGAAAAACTGGTTTTAATGACTCCAACCTAAGTGTATGTAAATTCCGACTTCAACTGTATGTTATTTTCATGCAAATATCCTAGATGATGATGGTGGTGATAAGCAGTGTGTACAGTTCCCATTAAGAAATTCCCCAGAAGAATCCAATGGAGACGAGAATCCCACATTAGTAGACCAATATCTCAATTTCATGGAAATACAGTGGGGGGAAAAAGTATTTATTCAGCCACCAATTGTGCAAGTTCTCCCACTTAAAAAGATGAGAGAGGCCTGTAATTGTCATCATAGGTACACGTCAACTATGACAGACAAATTGAGAAGAAAAAAATCCTGAAAATCACATTGTAGGATTTTTAATGAATTTATTTGCAAATTATGGTGGAAAATAAGTATTTGGTCACCTACAAACAAGCAAGATTTCTGGCTCTCACAGACCTGTAACTTTTTCTTTAAGAGGCTCCTCTGTCCTCCACTCGTTACCTGTATTAATGGCACCTGTTTGAACTTGTTATCAGTATAAAAGACACCTGTCCACAACCTCAAACAGTCACACTCCAAACTCCACTATGGCCAAGACCAAAGAGCTGTCAAAGGACACCAGAAACAAAATTGTAGACCTGCACCAGCCTGGGAAGACTGAATCTGCAATAGGTAAGCAGCTTGGTTTGAAGAAATCAACTGTGGGAGCAATTATTAGGAAATGGAAGACATACAAGACCACTGATAATCTCCCTCGATCTGGGGCTCCACGCAAGATCTCACCTCGTGGGGTCAAAATGATCACAAGAACGGTGAGCAAAAATCCCAGAACCACACGGGGGGACCTAGTGAATGACCTGCAGAGAGCTGGGACCAAAGTAACAAAGCCTACCATCAGAAACACACTACGCCGCCAGGGACTCAAATCCTGCAGTGCCAGACGTGTCCCCCTGCTTAAGCCAGTACATGTCCAGGCCCGTCTGAAGTTTCCTAGAGTGCATTTGGATGATCCAGAAGAGGATTGGGAGAATGTCATATGGTCAGATGAAACCAAAATATAACTTTTTGGTAAAAACTCAACTCGTCGTGTTTGGAGGACAAAGAATGCTCAGTTGCATCCAAAGAACACCATACCTACTGTGAAGCATGGGGGTGGAAACATCATGCTTTGGGGCTGTTTTTCTGCAAAGGGACCAGGACGACTGATCCGTGTAAAGGAAAGAATGAATGGGGCCATGTATCGTGAGATTTTGAGTGAAAACCTCCTTCCATCAGCAAGGGCATTGAAGATGAAACGTGGCTGGGTCTTTCAGCATGACAATGATCCCAAACACACCGCCCGGGCAATGAAGGAGTGGCTTCGTAAGAAGCATTTCAAGGTCCTGGAGTGGCCTAGCCAGTCTTCAGATCTCAACCCCATAGAAAATCTTTGGAGGGAGTTGAAAGTCTGTGTTGCCCAGCGACAGCCCCAAAACAACACTGCTCTAGAGGAGATCTGCATGGAGGAATGGGCCAAAATACCAGCAACAGTGTGTGAAAACCTTGTGAAGACTTACAGAAAACATTTGACCTGTATCATTGCCAACAAAGGGTATATAACAAAGTATTGAGAAACTTTTGTTATTGACCAAATACTTATTTTTAACCTGAAAGGCCACTCAGCAAGGAAGAGGCCACTGCTCCAAAACCGCCATAAAAAAGCCAGACTACGGTTTGCAACTGCAAATGGGGACAAAGATTGTACTTTTTGTCCTCTGGTTCTGATGAAACAAAAATATAACTGTTTGGCCATAATGACCATCATTATGTTTGGAGGAAAAAGGGGGGAGGGGCTTGCAAGCCGAAGAACACCATCCCAACCGTGAAGCACGGGGGTGGCAGCATCATGCTGTGGGGGTGCTTTGCTGCAGGAGGGACTGGTGCACTTCACAAAATAAATGGCATCATCAGGAAGGAAAATTATGTGGATATATTGAAGCAACATCTCAAGACATCAGTCAGGAAGTTAAAGCTTGGTCGCAAATGGGTCTTCCAAATGGACAATGACCCCAAGCATACTTCCAAAGTTGTGGCAAAATGGCTTAAGGACAACGAAGTCAAGGTATTGGAGTGGCCATCACAAAGCCCTGACCTCAATCCTATAGAAAATGTGTGGACAGAACTGAAAAAGCGTGTGAGAACAAGGAGGCCTACAAACCTGACTCAGTTACACCAGCTCTGTCAGGAGGAATGGGACAAAATCCACCCAACTTATTGTGGGAAGCTTGTGGAAGGCTACCCGAAATGTTTGACCCAAGTTAAACAATTAAAAGGCAATGCTACCAAATACTAATTGAGTGTATATAAACTTCTGACCCACTGGGAATGTGATGAAAGAAATAAAAGCTGAAATAAATCATTCTCACTATTATTATTCTGACATTTCACATTCTTAAAATAAAGTGGTGATCCTAACTGACATTTACATTTACATTTTAATCATTTAGCAGACGCTCTTATCCAGAGCGACTTACAGTTAGTGAATACATATTTTTTTTTATTTTTTTATTTTTTTATTTTTTTTATACTGGCCCCCCGTGGGAATCGAACCCACAACCCTGGCGTTGCAAACGCCATGCTCTGACCTAAGACAGGGAATCTTTACTATCTACCTCAATTACCTTGTACCCCTGCACACCGACTCGGTACTGGTACCCCGTGTATATATTATTACCTTTTTTATTACGTTTTACTTTTCTATTGTTTCTCTTTTCTTTCTCTCTGCATTGTTGGGATGCCCGTAAGTAAGCATTTCACTGTTAGTCTACACCTGTTGTTTACTTAGCATGTGACAAATAATATTTGATTGAAATGTATTATTAGCATACTGATAATTCTTGCAGTGGAGTGGACATATGTTGGGCCTCTGTAGCCCAAAAGACTAGGGTTGCCAAGGCAATTGGCTCAGTGTCCCCTGCTGTTGTCACTCTTCCTTGGTCATTGATCGCCTCTCATCTCACCAGCTCTCTCTGCTGGCATTGTCTGTGCACACACATACCCTCTTGAAAATATGCAAAACATATTTTCTTATGTATTTTCTTGATGATGCAGGATAACGGAAAAACTACAAATTGCCAGATACCTATTTTGTTCAATCCAGTCATTTATCAGGTTGTAATAAAAAATAAAAAAAACATTAACTGATCATGGGGCTCATCGTACAGTTCATTTTCAAAGGCATTGAGAATGTGCTAACACTCGTTCAGCATTGATTTTGCAAGGTCCAATCTCTTGCAAATGATTATATTAAAAATACAAAATAGAAAGACAATGGGCTAATATTTATAAAGGGACATAAAGTTCACATATGCTACCGTATTATGCTTTATCTAGAGCTGGCTGCACTTGCAGCAACCAGAGGCCAAGGTGAATGCAAAGTTTGAATTCATGTTTGATTGAACTGAGGTTAAACTTGCATTCTGCATGATCACCTATTCAAATTTCAACCTCTCACTAATGTCAGCAGTCGAAAAAAAGTATAATATTACTAACCCGATGCATTTGTCAATTATCCATAATCAGATATTTCACCTTTGATCCTTGACAAAATCCATGTTAACAATACTTGTTCTGGGGCAGGGCAGGTCAAAGCTGGAATCCATATTACCCAACAGTGGAGGCATCTTCCTCAGCCTCTTCGCCTCGTTCTGCAGTTTCTGCCGGATGTACCCTTTAATTTCCGCATCCGTCTTTCCAGGAAAAAAATACTGAACTATCCCTGTGGAAATAGTCACATGAAATTTACATTTGCATGCGGAACTCCCTTAAACAGAAATGATTACAGTGGTCCATAACACGTGTTTTTTCTCTCATGTACGTCAATTCATAGAGGTGGTTTAAGGTTAGAAAACTAGGTCAGGAACAGTTAGGAAACAGTGACAATACAGTTATTATGCAAGTCAAAACCAAAGGCTACAACGATTGTAGATATTTATTTAAGACATTCCAACTATCCTTTTTCAAACAATAATACAACTTTCCACTGAACCTCAGTGTTCTGTGCTGTCTTTATTATGTCTAGTCTACCAATAAGGTATGTTGAGGGAAAGGCTGTTTACTCAGTATGGCCTGGATCTCCTCAGGAGGGAGAGCAGGTTTGGTCTGAGCTTTCTTGTTGTACACCAGCCCTGAGATGGAGTGGGAGGCTAGGCAGTCCCTCTCATACAGCCCTCGCAACAGGTCATTGGTCAGTTTCTGAGCTGTCGTGCCAGTGTTGCAGCGTTCCAACAGCTCTGGGGTAATGAACTGAGGACAAAATAAGATGTGTATATATAACACTTTGAGACTGCCAACCAGTTCAAAAGAGGCAGGGTGTTAGTTCGTTTTTTTAGACAAAATATTCCATTGGAAAAATTAAAATACGTGTTATTTCTGGCAGGTCCAGCCCAGGTAGTACCTCCTCCAAATATACAGTGGGGGAAAAAAGTATTTAGTCAGCCACCAATTGTGCATGTTCTCCCACTTAAAAAGATGAGAGAGGCCTGTAATTTTCATCATAGGTACACGTCAACTATGACAGACAAAATGAGGAAAAAACATCCAGAAAATCACATTGTAGGATTTTTTATCAATTTATTTGCAAATTATGGTGGAAAATAAGTATTTGGTCAATAACAAAAGTTTCTCAATACTTTGTTATATACCCTTTGTTGGCAATGATACAGGTCAAACGTTTTCTGTAAGTCTTCACAAGGTTTTCACACACTGTTGCTGGTATTTTGGCCCATTCCTCCATGCAGATCTCCTCTAGAGCAGTGATGTTTTGGGGCTGTCGCTGGGCAACAAGGACTTTCAACTCCCTCCAAAGATTTTCTATGGGGTTGAGATCTGGAGACTGGCTAGGCCACTCCAGGACCTTGAAATGCTTCTTACGAAGCCACTCCTTCGTTGCCCGGGCGGTGTGTTTGGGATCATTGTCATGCTGAAAGACCCAGCCACATTTCATCTTCAATGCCCTTGCTGATGGAAGGAGGTTTTCACTCAAAATCTCACGATACATGGCCCCATTCATTCTTTCCTTTACACGGATCAGTCGTCCTGGTCCCTTTGCAGAAAAACAGCCCCAAAGCATGATGTTTCCACCCCCATGCTTCACAGTAGGTATGGTGTTCTTTGGATGCAACTCAGCATTCTTTGTCCTCCAAACACGACGAGTTGAGTTTTTACCAAAAAGTTATATTTTGGTTTCATCTGACCATATGACATTCTCCCAATCCTCTTCTGGATCATCCAAATGCACTCTAGCAAACTTCAGACGGGCCTGGACATGTACTGGCTTAAGCAGGGGGACACATTTACATTACATTTTAGTCATTTAGCAGACGCTCTTATCCAGAGCAACTTACAGTTAGTGAATACATTTTTATTTATTTTTTATACTGGCCCCCCATGGGAATCGAACCCACAACCCTGGCGTTGCAAACGCCATGCTCTATCAACTGAGCTACATCCCTGCCGGCTATTCCCTCCCCTACCCTGGACGACGCTGGGCCAATTGTGCACCGCCCATGAGTCTCCCGGTCGCGGCTGGCTGCGACAGAGCCTGGATTCGAACCAGGATCTCTAGTGGCACAGTTAGCACTGCGATGCAGTGCCTTAGACCACTGCACCACTCAGGAGTCTAAGGAGTCTCAGGACACGTCTTGCACTGCAGGATTTGAGTCCCTGGCGGCGTAGTGTGTTACTGATGGTAGGCTTTGTTACTTTGGTCCCAGCTCTCTGCAGGTCATTCACTAGGTCCCCCCGTGTGGTTCTGGGATTTTTGCTCACCTTTCTTGTGATCATTTTGACCCCACGGGGTGAGATCTTGCGTGGAGCCCCAGATCGAGGGAGATTATCAGTGGTCTTGTATGTCTTCCATTTCCTAATAATTGCTCCCACAGTTGATTTCTTCAAACCAAGCTGCTTACCTATTGCAGATTCAGTCTTCCCAGCCTGGTGCAGGTCTACAATTTTGTTTCTGGTGTCCTTTGACAGCTCTTTGGTCTTGGCCATAGTGGAGTTTGGAGTGTGACTGTTTGAGGTTGTGGACAGGTGTCTTTTATACTGATAACAAGTTCAAACAGGTGCCATTAATACAGGTAACGAGTGGAGGACAGAGGAGCCTCTTAAAGAAGAAGTTACAGGTCTGTGAGAGCCAGAAATCTTGCTTGTTTGTAGGTGACCAAATACTTATTTTCCACCATAATTTGCAAATAAATTCATTTAAAATCCTACAATGTGATTTTCTGGAGAAAAAAAATCTCAATTTGTCTGTCATAGTTGACGTGTACCTATGATGAAAATTACAGGCCTCTCTCATATTTTTAAGTGGGAGAACTTGCACAATTGGTGGCTGACTAAATACTTTTTTTCCCCACTGTATATATTTTTTTAAATCCCATTTTGTGCCTATTGAACATGACCCAAAAATCAGTGTAGTGGTTTATCTGTACCTCAGTGAAGAGTCCATCCCTATGGTGCCTGTGTGGTTTCTGGGGTAAGGCCGCCTGTTTCTCCCGCTGCCCATTCATCCCAGCTGGGCAGGCCAGTAAATCTGGGGCCATGGCATCTCCATTGACAAATCCTACAGTTAGGCTAGGACGTGATGCTTGGACAGACGTCTTGCTGTCCTCATTCGACCACCTCTGGGTATTTTCTATCAGGGCTTTAAGGTTTCTGGACAGCTCTCCACATGCTGTCGAGTGATCCACACAAAATGTCCTAAACATTTAACTTCACTCTGGATCAAATGTGTAAAGTTTCAAGAGGATTTCAGTCATTTATTTTAATCTGCTCACCTGTAAGGCACTGAATTTGATCTTTCAAGCTTTCTATCTCTCTTTGCATGCAAATCACCATAGCAATGAGCTTCATCTTTGAGTATGACTGCAGAAACTCTGACCCCTGCCATGACAATGCAAAAGCAGTATTGGATGTTTGGTATTGGAAGGAATGTTCAAGATAACATCACATCACAAATTGTCCACACCTGTACAGCAGGAGTGGGTTGTGTGTGTATAGGCTTACCTCTGTATTGGAATTGCTGTCCCTCAGGTGGTACAAGTTAGGACTGCCCAGCTCAAAAGCCTGTCAAAATAATATGGGTTGAGGATTTCAAAGTTTGTATACAGTTATCATCCAAAGTTTTAACTATTGTATTACCATTGCGAACTTTCTCTGAAATAAGACTTTGACAAGTAACTTTCATAACCTATTTCATGAGATACCCTTTATAACAGGACCACATAAAAAATGACTGCTTTGAAGTTGTGACATAAAGTAACAAAACATATAAATGCACACTGCACACACAGTCCAAAAAAGACCCGCCTATTGTTCAATGGAGATATACAGTATGTACGGTACAGGTAACAAACCCTTATCCACTTCTGGAAGCCGGCTGAGGATGAAGAATTTTCGTCGACTTTCTCTTTATCAAGATACAGTGGGGAGAACAAGTATTTGATACACTGCCGATTTTGCAGGTTTTCCTACTTACAAAGCATGTAGAGGTCTGTAATTTTTATCATAGGTACACTTCAACTGTGAGAGACGGAATCTAAAACAAAAATCCAGAAAATCACATTGTATGATTTTTAAGTAATTCATTTGCATTTTATTGCATGACATAAGTATTTGATCACCTACCAACCAGTAAGAATTCCGGCTCTCACAGACCTGTTAGTTTTTCTTTAAGAAGCCCTCCTGTTCTCCACTCATTACCTGTATTAACTGCACCTGTTTGAACTCGTTACCTGTATAAAAGACACCTGTCCACACACTCAATCAAACAGACTCCAACCTCTCCACAATGGCCAAGACCATGTGTAAGGACATCAGGGATACAATTGTAGACCTGCACAAGGCTGGGATGGGCTACAGGACAATAGGCAAGCAGCTTGGATGAGAAGGCAACAACTGTTGGCGTAATTATTAGAAAATGGAAGAAGTTCAAGATGACGGTCAATCACCCTCGGTCTGGGGCTCCATGTAAGATCTCACCTCGTGGGGCATCAATGATCATGAGGAAGGTGAGGGATCAGCCCAGAACTACACGGCAGGACCTGGTCAATGACCTGAAGAGAGCTGGGACCACAGTCTCAAAGAAAACCATTAGTAACACACTACGCCGTCATGGATTAAAATCCTGCAGCGCACGCAAGGTCCCCCTGCTCAAGCCAGCGCATGTCCAGGCCCGTCTGAAGTTTGCCAATGACCATCTGGATGATCCAGAGGAGGAATGGGAGAAGGTCATGTGGTCTAATGAGACAAAAATAAAGCTTTTTGGTCTAAACTCCACTTGCCGTGTTTGGAGGAAGAAGAAGGATGAGTACAACCCCAAGAACACCATCCCAACCGTGAAGCATGGAGGTGGAAACATCATTCTTTGGGGATGCTTTTCTGCAAAGGGGACAGGACGACTGCACCGTATTGAGGGGAGGATGGATGTGGTCATATATCGCAAGATCTTGGCCAACAACCTCCTTCCCTCAGTAAGAGCATTGAAGATGGGTCGTGGCTGGGTCTTCCAGCATGACAACGACCCGAAACACACAGCCAGGGCAACTAAGGAGTGGCTCGGTAAGAAGCATCTCAAGGTCCTGGAGTGGCCTAGCCAGTCTCCAGACCTGAACCCACAAGAAAATCTTTGGAGGGAGCTGAAAGTCCGTATTGCCCAGCGACAGCCCCGAAACCTGAAGGATCTGGAGAAGGTCTGTATGGAGGAGTGGGTCAAAATCCCTGCTGCAGTGTGTGCAAACCTGGTGAAGACCTACAGGAAACGTATGATCTCTGTAATTGCAAACAAAGGTTTCTGTACCAAATATTAAGTTCTGCTTTGCTGATGTATCAAATACTTATGTCATGCAATAAATGCAAATTAATTACTTAAAAATCATACAATGTGATTTTCTGGATTTTTGTTTTAGATTCCGTCTCTCATAGTTGAAGTGTACCTATGATAAAAATTACAGAATTTGTAAGTAGGAAAACTTCCTACTTACATGCTTTGTAAGTAGGAAAACCTGCAAAATCGGCAGTGTATCAAATACTTGTTCTCCCCACTGTACATCTGTTTTCTTCTTTTCTGCACATGCTGTTAGACAGTTATGGCATGATTAAGTTAAAACACGTTTATAAAAACTCACAGCAGTTGTTCATATTTTTAGATCCAAACATTTTATGGCAATAGGCTACTCTTACAAAGCTTGCATCGACGTTTTGAGCCCCATCTTCATCTCCTTCACTTTCGTAGTGAAGGACCCGTTTCGCCTTTGATTTCCTTCTCATATTTCTATTCCATTAATTGCCTTGCAGAAAAACTGTGCCCAGCATACTGCACGTGTTCAAAATATTGGGGAAGACTGATAAGTGAAAGTGTCCTGGTTAAACGCAGCAGGGGACGCTTGCTGTCGTTATTCTACTCCAGAACCAGCGTTCGGAGACATCCCCTTTGATGCCCGATCCCCAATCTGAGAATCGCCTACACAGAGAGAGGGATTGTGGATTTTATGCACTGAGGCGTAACGTGACACTGTTACGTTGTAGTCGTGAATGATTCGATAACGATTTGTATCCCTCTCAAAGTTACATCGTACCTTATGTTACCTAATTGGTCACTTGGGGTGATGATAATCAGAAAAGTACTTTTCATTTTATCAACAAGAATTGGAAGAGTATTTTCATTCCTTTTTCTTTCTATTATAATTATTGACACTATCAAACCATAATTTTTATACATTTTTTATGCATTTATGCATTGCATTAAACAGTCAAAGCAATCATTTTGTTCAGAGGGGATACGCTTGTGTGGTGATGTAACTGAGAAATTCGTCACAGTTTCAGTAAATTTGCTATCAAATTCATAGTTCATAAACAGATTTTCTTGAAAAGAAGATGCATTCTTTGAAATACTGGTGGATTGATAGTTTAGAGGAAAAAAACTATTAAAATCACAGAAATGACTAAGAGAAGTATGTATTCATAGTGTATTATAATGGCTTACTGTATGTGCAACAAAATACAAAGAACATGGATGCTGTCCAATGCACAGGCCAAATTGAAGTTGATAACTGTAATAAAAATAATATTTTTCAACAACATTTAGTCCACATCCTGGATATGAGGAATGTATCAATCCAATCTTAATTAAACGTTTAATACAAAGGTGAATTAAACGGTGGATGTTTTGCCTGCTTTAAATGTGCTGTCTTGCCATCTGGTGGCATACATCTATCATGATCACTCACAAAAAGTCATTATCCTATACTCAAATACCGTTTGTTGTCTCTGTGGTAACTGGAGGTCTCTTTGAGTAACAAAACCTATGAAAGTATGATTTTATGTATCAACAGAGAGAGCATTATCACAATAAACTTCATAAATTGGAGATGGTGTGGAGATGAAGATTGGGTTATTCAACCAAGTTGGACCCTCCTGGACTGCTCTTCCTGTTCCACTACCTCGCTGTTGGGTTAACCCCTCCCAAAGTTCTGTTATGCACTGACTGCCTCAGACTCCGAGTCTAAGTGTATCGCAGAACTTGGGATGGGGGCACTCGGAGTCATAGTTGGACAAGAGAGCAGGATACATGGCAAACACTGTAAAGACATGCAGACAGTAGAGTTAGAAACATGTAATTAAGTGTCACTCCACAATAATACAAAATGCAGATTTTTTATCTCATTAAAAACAATCATAGTCAAACATGGTACAGGCGTCATCTATATTGCATTACGACATTTGTGGTCCCGTGTGGCTCAGATGGTAGAACATGGCGCTTGCATCGCCAGGGCTGTCGGTTCGATTCTCACGGGTGACAGTATGAGTTGCTGACAGAACCAGGATGGCTGCTCACTCTACCTAGTTGTATGTAAACGTTGTTTAAACCCCGCTGTCTGTATTATGTCTCTAAATGTTGTCTACCACTAGCAGCAACATACAGATATCGCCAAATAAAATTCTGAGTATGTGTAAATGTACTTGACAAATAAAAGGTGCTTCTGATTCTGATAATGGCTAACCTTCATTCTATTTCTAGGGGTAAACCTACCCTATATGCAGATATACCATGGAATTACTAACACAGATTATAGGAACAAGTGTGTATTTAGGCCTACACACAAAAGCACACACAACAATTTGTCCATATGGCAGTGATCACTGTGATTGAATGAGCCATATAACTATGAGCCTATGACTTGAATTGAATGTGCATGTGAAGCCTTAACTACAAAAATTATGATGCGTTTCAATCAAAAGGTTTATATTTCTGAGCAATTTATAAGACATTCTTAACAAGTTAAAATAAATTATGTTTGAAGTTGTATCTCTTATCTCCTGGATTATCCAGCAGTTTGTCAAAGCCAAAAGTACACAAATTAGGCTACACATTTTTTGTTTGTGCACAAATGTCATTTTCATAAAAAATACATTTTAGCAGTACTTACAACGTTATTAGTTTAGCCTACGTCCACTGCGGTGTATCTGATGTTGACGTGGTCATGTCATTCCACAAGCGTCTCCAATACGCATGTGCACAACTACAGTGGTCCTCTGTAGCTCAGCTGGTAGAGCACGGCGCTTGTAACGCCAAGGTAGTGGGTTCGATCCCCGGGGCCACCCATACACAAAAAATGTAAGCACGATTGACTGTAAGTCGCTTTGGATAAAAGCGTCTGCTAAATGGCATGTTATTATCCCCTCTTGACCTGGCCTACTTGAACTGTCCTTGTGTGCAATTTGGTGCATAATCTAGGGGAAACATCACACTACTACATAGGCTCCAATTTGAGAAAGAGATATATACATTTGGCCTATAGAGCCCATTCTCCTTTAGGTGAAACAAGTAATAATAATAACATAATATGCCATTTAGCAGACGCTTTTATCCAAACGATTTACAGTCATGTGTGCATACAGTTTTTACGTATCGGTGGTCCCGGGGATGGAACCCACTACCCTGGCGTTACAAGCGGTACTTACATGTAGAATATTCTACAAGCGCCATGCTCTACCAATTGAGCTATCATTCAAATAAATGATAACACATCACAATAATTTCAGTGGAAAGTTGATAATGGATCCACCTAACCTACTGCCTATGTCCTCTTTTTTTTTGTGAGTAAGGGACAGATATAAACCTAATTATATTGACACGTAATCATCAAGAGTCAGATAGCACAATCATGCATCGTTAATTTCCACTAATATACCAGTCGGGCTTTAAAATAAGTGGATGATTAGAAAATAATAGAAAGGAAAAGAAAAATGTAAAGAAACAAACATGACATAAAACACATGTTGTTACACAGGCATAATAGCCTAGGCATAATTGTGAAACCAGTTGTTCACTTTCTGTGTGAATTATTAGATCATTAATAGGCCTAGCCCTATCCTATTTCTCAAATGATTTAGAAGTTTATAGCCCAAATAAATTGACTCATTGTATAGAAAGGGCTGATTGTTGTATTCAATTTCAATTTTAAATCTATAATATGACATGAAGTTTATTTTTTTTTCAGCCTAACTAAAGTCTATAATTCATGTGTGAAGCCAGGGATTAAATTCGGGGATTTTCACTGCTGTGATGAAAACATGCGCCCTAGAATATTCTACGCATGCTCTGTGGGAAGCCTGTTTTGGCGTCAGACGCGCCGCTGCTAGCTAGCAAATTGGAAATATTGCAAGTCATGGTGGGCCATTCAATGGAGGGAAAGGGTGGATAATGACTTTGGGTAATGCTTATAAAACATATGAGAGAACTCTTCTGGATTCAGATAATGGTTATAGAAGGTGGCCGACTTGTGGGCATACAGGCAAATTTATAAAATCTTCACGCGTAAGTAGAAAATAGGTTTTAGCTAGCTAGCTATAGAACGTTAGATTGCGTTAGCCTGTAGCTAATTGTGCTTGAGTGTTTTTGACAAACGATTTAAAGTTAGCGGATGGACTATCTGCTTCTTGTGTCTACATTTATTTGAGTGGCAATGCAAAACATTGTTTAAAATACATTGTAACAGTTACGTTAGCTAGCTAACTAACGTTACATCTTAGCAATTTCTCTTTCCCCGTTGCTGTCACATCAACATCCCGCCCCTATCTTTTCCCATTGGAAAAATGTGTGAGAATCCCATGTTGTGATCGTATCCTTGGTTTGTTAGTGGTTCACCAGCCTGTCTGTTGTCAATGCGCCACTTGTTGCTAGGGAGGTTGCTTGATAGCGGAAGTGAGTGTTATCAACACTTCCCACTGGAGTCTGGACGATAAATGCCGTTGGATGCTGGCAAGGATTTTTTAGGTTGCCTACTTTTAAACACTATTGATGGATATACTGATGCATCGTTTTTATTGCTATTAATTTAATGTAATTGTGTATGTGTGAGTGACACATCGGTAAACTGGAGATCTTGAAAAGAAAATGGATGAGAGGGAGACTGAAGCGTAGCTACTGGAGGAGAACCCAAGAGACCCTCCCTCTTTCACCTTAACAACTATCTATTCCTGCACTGGGCTAGGTGATTTGTTGTTCTGCATTGTCAGGTTGGCATGTCAAATGGATCTTCATCTTGAATTGGGATTAAGGCACAGTGTGTCCGCTAGAGACAGTGGCCATTAAACCTCTCTGCGGGGACCCCCAGTTCACAATTTTGTTGTAGCCCTGAACTAGCTCCCCTGATTAACCTAATCAAGGGTTTTATGACTAGTTGACATCTGGAATCAGGTGTGCTTGCTCTAGAATAGATCAAATCCATGGAACAGCTGGGGGTCCCCAAGGAGAGATTTGAAAACCACTGCTCTAGAAAGTGGAGATGTGATGGTTTGCTGCTAAGAAGCAGGGTTCTAATTGTTCTCACCCATAGAAATATGTGGAATGTGAGGCGGTTTATTCTCTCATTTATTGCCTCTGCACTGGCAGTGCATATGATTGGTTTATGGTTATGAGTTCAGTGTGCATTTTATTTGGCTATTCATGTTGGTTATATCAGTGCAGTTGGACATCTTAAATCATGTGTGGCTAACTGCCCATGGTACATGGTCGAGGAAAAGCCTGTTTGTTTCAACATCTAAAGCAAACTCACATTTCATCTGGCCCGAACAATGTTTGATGCATTCTACTGCTGTTATGTCATATCATATTCTTTTGACATTATGTAATGTAATCTTTTTTCTATGACTAAGTGAAATTTGATGGTAGAACACAGGCTCAGGTTGACCTAAACTTGTTTACTCAACAAGTACATATTTTTTTATCCTGTCATTACATTTTAAAGGCATCAATACCAAGAAAATGAGGTTTATTTATCCTTGATCTCTCTCTCTGTGCAGATATGGGAGGACTTACTAATGGGGAAGACCAAAACCTGACCTAGAAAACAGTTCACCCTTTGACTGATATTGGACTCGCATAAAAGACCACAGAAACCCTCTACATTCTATTCACATTTTAAGCAAACTCCAAAAGTCCCTCTCCACTTCTGTCATATCTGCAATTTTCATACTTTTCATTCTTTATCACAGTCTTTATCTCAATATCAACTATTGCGGAACTCTAGTTTGTCCATTGTTTTTATTTATTTTTTACTTATTTTTTTACTTTCACTTTTTGTTCCTTTGTAAAGAAATGCTTTACCTGAAAAAGTACTTCACAGAGGGCCTGATTCAGTTCACCATCCTCCTGAGTCTCATTGGGGTGCGGGTGGACCTGGACACCTACCTGAGCAATCAACTGCCCCCACTGCAAGAGATCATCCTAGGCCCCAGCTCGGCCTACACCCAGACGCAGTTTCACAACCTCCGCAACACGCTGGACGGGTATGGCATCCATCCCAAGAGTGTGGACCTCGACCAGTTCTTTACCACCCGCCGGCTGCTGAACCAGGTGCGCCAGCTAGATCGACTGTCAGTGCCCAGTCCAGAACTGAGCACGTGGTTGGTGCACCGCGACCCTGAGACTGTGGTGTCCGCCGCCAGCCAGCCCAGCCCAAGCATCACCCTGGACAATGGGGCCGGCCTGGAGGACGTGAACAACTCCGAAGCCCCGGCCATGAGGGGGGGCGGCGGAGCGCCTGAGTCCACCTACAATCTGAGTGGAGAGGACCGAACCCTGGGAGCCGTGGCCCCCGAGGACAGCCAGGAGCAGGGCAACAGGGAGGGCAATGATGACCTCACCAAAGAGGTAAGAAAGCATGCAATGATCTCACCTCTACTCAGGATCACAAGACTAGGGCAAGCTGGGGCATGGCACTTCTATTGTAATGTACAGGGATATATTACTAGGTGCTTACTGTATTTAGCTGTCTATCAGAGACCTATTGTATGTCTGAACCTTGATAAATCACAATTGTAATCAAATGGAAGTTATTTCTGGCATTGTGTAATCTGCATTATTATAATGTCCTGTTCTTACATTAGAGTAATCCGTTCCCCTAATAGTCACAGGACCACCACTCAAGATGCAGTGTGGTTTTGGGCCAAACACTAAGCCATTGTTAAAGCTTTAAAATGAACAGTCTCCCACTGGAGTGGAATCACATGCTTTTATGGTAATTAAGTGGCTACGGTTGAATCAGTGGGCTTAGCTTCAAGTTACATGATCTGAAGTTACATGATTCGACTTTTAAATCTTCTTATGCCAACACGTGGCGATATACATATCTGAGGATGACAATATCAAAATGTAAAGCCAACCGTGTCACAGGTAAAGCCATCTTTGACTATTGAATCCATTTAGAATGAAGTTGTGTAAGACAAGATGGTGTACAACTCAATCAAGAGGGCTCTTTTCTTTGTAGTCCTAACATCTTTCTCATCTGACATGTCTTTTTCAGGACATTGATTTGATTGACATCCTGTGGCGACAGGATATCGACCTTGGCGCAGGACGGGAAGTGTTCAACTACAGCAGCCGCCAGAAGGAGAGTGAGGCGGAGAAGCCCAGCCCAGAGGAGAAGGAGGAAGGAGCAGAGGCACAGGAGAGCTGGAGGAACGGAGTGAACCTTCAAGAGGCTCAGCCTGTGGATGGAGAGACAGGGGAGAGCATACCAGAGCAGGTAGCTAAGGGTACAGATTGTGTTTTTCATGATCCTGTGTCCACTGTAGTTGATAGTTAAGGGAGTGACCTCTGTGCTGTCTGCCCCTCCCCCCAGCTCCCAGGCCTTGGCTCTCAGACCTCACTGTCTCTGCAGGAATGCCTGAGGCTGCTTGAGGCCACCTTCCCTTTCGGAGAAGAATCTCCTGAGGTAAAGACATTTGCAAGCTGTCTCAGGAGACAGAAGCGTCTTAATTTAAATTATGTTAAACAACCAGGATATTACAGATGGATGATTGCCTTTATGGTCTATTATAATCTCAACATGTTTGTGAGATAATTTTTAAGGTAAACATCTGTTATCAGTTTGTAGCCCCTGTAGTCACTGCTGAGCTTGCAGTGGCCAATGAAGAAGCTCCATCCACATCTCAGGGGCTGCCACTGCCTCCCCCGTTGCCCCAGCCTGTGCCCCAGTTGGACCTGGAGCAGCAGTGGCAAGACATCATGGCTATCATGGAACTACAGGTTTGTACTTGCGCTTTAAATCACAACTGGTTCGTTTGTTATTAGATGTTCTCTAACCAGGTTTTTCTCTTTGAAGGAAATGGAGGTTAACAACACCTCCGAGAACTCCTTCCTCAGCACTACTTCCAACAGTGCCAATTCCAGTGGCAGCACAACCGAGTCAGGCTCGGTTGAAAGCTTTGGACTTATTAGCTCCTCCAACCTTATCCACCAAGATGTCAGCCTTCACCAGGCCTCCCTCCCTAGCTGCAGCCAGGATTTCCCCACGCTTTTCAATTCAGAGATTGATGGCACTAGCACCCCACGCCCCCCCTTGCTTAGAATGTCCTCCAGCTCCAACTCCTCCAACGTCAACTCTACATTTGGAGCCACCAACCTGACTGGACTCTTTCTCCCACCACCTCTAAACAGCACCAACAACATCACTTCGACCCCAGTGTTGCCTGACCCCTTCAGCAGTCTGCTGGAGGAGTCTATGCTGGATGAGATCAGCCTGCTGGACCTGGCGATGGAGGAGGGCTTCAGCCAGGCCCAGGCCTCTCAGTTGGAGGATGAACTCGACTCAGACTCAGGCCTCTCCCTGGACTCCAGTCACAGCCCGGTCTCCCCGAGCAGCTCTGAGACCTCCTGCTCCTCTGCTGCCTCCTCCTCCACCTCTGCCACCTTCTCAGAGGAAGGGGCTGTGGGATACAGCACTGACTCTGAGTCAGCCACCGTGGAACCAGAAGAAGGTGCTGTGGGGGGCTACCAGCCCGAATTCAACAAGCTCTGCCGCATGAGCTACCAGGACCCCTCCCAATTCCACGGGCTCCCTCAGCTCGACAACATCAACCACAATCACACCTACAACTTACCTCTGTCTTCATCGTTTGATGAACACCCAGAGCTACCGATTCCCACTGGCAAGAAAATGGGCCGCGAGAAGCAGTCAAAGCTTCAGCCCCAACAGGACTTCCTGGACAAACAGTCGAGTCGCGACGAGCGCCGGGCTCGGGCCATGAAGATCCCCTTCTCAAATGAGAAGATCATCAATCTGCCTGTGGAGGAGTTCAACGAGCTTCTGTCCAAGCACCACCTGAGCGAGGCCCAACTGGCCCTCGTTCGCGACATTCGTAGACGTGGCAAGAACAAGATGGCGGCCCAGAACTGCCGGAAGCGCAAGCTGGATACCATCGTCAACCTGGAGCAAGGGGTGCACGACATGCGTCGTGACAAGGCGCGGCTTCTGAAGGAGAAGATGGAGTTCATTCGCTCCATCCGTCAGATGAAGCAGAAAGTGCAAAGCCTCTACCAGGAAGTGTTCACCCAGCTTCGGGATGAGGAGGGCCGGCCCTACCCCCCCAGCGAGTACTCGCTCCAGTACAGCGCCGACGGCAGCGTTCTGATAATGCCACGCAGCATGACAGATCAGCAGACCCGTAAGCCCGACAAGAAACAAAAGGACAAAAAGAAGTGAGGAGGAAGCTGCTGCCTTTTCTTTCATTTAGCAAAAATCACTAAGAACGAATTCTGCAGACGCAAGAGATGTCTTTTTTTCTTTGAGAAGATTCTTGTGAGGAGAAAAATAGCGTTGTTGACTACTCTTCCTGCATTCGTTTTTTTTTTTTTTTTTTGGGTGGGGGTTCCTGCGTTTTCTCTGGAAAACGACTTTGAAGCGGTTCTTCATTTGAGTACTGAATTTTCATTGTTTAGGTGGAAAAAAGGAATGAACAAGGAAAATAAGGGGTTCAAAGGCTTCTCTGGATCCTATGGCACCAGGCCAGTGTAGAGGAAGCCGATAAATCATGTTGTGAAGTGAAGGGACTGGTATCAAGTGAAGTGGAGTTGAAGAAAAACAAACATTTAGTCAACATGAATTGGGGTGTAAATTCCGGCCAATTGTTAGTCAGCGTTGAACAGATTGTTAAACCAGATTTCTTGCTTGGGCCTTGAAGTAATTGGTGGAGTGTGTTTCTGGAGTAAGTAGAAGTTTCACATGTAAAGAGGAAAGCCAAGAGAAACTTGAGATAAAAAGCAAGTCCATCATCTGGGATACCATTATCTTATACCGCCGATACTAACCAAATTTGTATGGTTCACTTCACTTGTTTTCTAGGCAAATGTCTTGGTAGTCTGCACTCATTCAAAATGTGTTTGTATTACAAATACCACCGTTTTTTGATTGGCCAATGTCATTGAGACTGATGTAGAACTAGGACACTGGAACACAAAAAAAGAGAGGCTTGGAGAGTATTCTTGGGCTAGCCATGATGGTGGAGCTTGACGAGTATAGGAGACGGGGCGCTGAGGAAGAAGGCACACACTGCATTACAAATGTACCAGCTTCTGTATATCAATACATAGCACTGTAATTTGTCCTTCTAAGGCTTGGCTGTATGCATCGTGCCGTGTCTCTGGCTATCCCTCTGCCGCAGGTTTAAGGATGAGCTCTTCTGGTAATTTTTTTGTTTCCACACTTTCTCATACTCTCCATAATAAGATAGGTTAGAGGTCTGGCTTCATATCATCTTAGGTCTACTCCCTTATTGCATCACACACCGTGTGTTGTGCCTGTAACCACATTGCAGGAATGTTACAGGCCAGGGAAAATCACAATACTGATTGTGGTAGGCCATCTTTGCAGGAACTACTGTATGAACTGCAACCCTGTGGAAGTGTCACCTGTTAATTACTAATCAAATGCACCCATCTTTACTGTCATTAACATTAGGTTGGTTGGTTTTCTTGTAAGGTGACAGAGATAAGCAGTATGGCTGTCCAGTAATTGCAGAGTGGTAGCCTTTGAAAGAGTAACTTGGGAATGTTGTCATTCTATTTGATAGTTACCTGAAGCAATGGACAAGATTCAGTTGATGAATAGCCTAGTTGTCAGCTGCAATAGTTTACGGTCATACGTTTGTGTCGTTAGAGAAGTAAATCAATTGAATCGAACTGACAAGAAGAATGTGTGAAGTGAGCACCTTGTTTTCGAATGCCTTTGTTGTGGGTTTTGAGAACAAAGGTTATTGGACTGTTAAAGTGCTATTATCTGAACTTGTGTTTTATTGGGGTCAAAAATTGTGTTTTAGCATGTACCCCTAACAAAAAAGATAATTAGTCAATTGAATGCGGCAGAGATGGCTGTTTGAAGGAGAATTTGAGTACATTTGTGAGATCTACAGTAAAGGGGGGGAAATAACTAAGTTGCTGCAATGATGAGAATGACCTATGTTCTTATTCATCCACATAACTTTCATTGTTCTTGTCATCACTAACCTCAGAGGGGAGCCAAGTAAAATACATTGCTTTTAATAAAATGTTTCATGCAGAACTAATACTTTAGCAGGAAATACATTTGGGGCGTCTCAACATTTTAATTAAAAGAAATGAGACAGCTGATAAGTTGTTAGTTCTCACACTTAAGAAAACATTTGACATATTCAGACATGCAAACGTTCACCTGCATTGCAACACAATGCAAAACCCACTATTAAGTTATTACTACTCTTAGTGCACTGCATTTGTTAGTCTTGTTTGTTCTGTAAATATTTAAATGTTTCATGTTTTGTCATTCTTTTTCTGTAGTTTGTGTGTTTTGCACAGCCTTCTCACCCCTGCTTTGGGTTTGGCTGTGCCGTTTCTTTGGTTTACTTTAAAATATTTGCTGGCAATCTGGGATTGTTATTTTGATTAATAAAGTGTTTTTATTTTCATCTGTGACTGCATCATTTGCGTTGTTAATAACAGGGTGAAATGTGTCTATAAAAGTATACTTTGGGGGGAGTAGGAGGATGTCAGCTCATTAGGTTTTGTGAAGATTTTATTTTACCTTTATTTAACTAGGCAAGTCAGTTAAGAACAAATTCTTATTTACAATGACGGCCTACACCGGCCAAACCCGGACTAATTGTGCGCCGCCCTATGGGACTCCCAATCACGGCCGGTTGTGATACAGCCTGGAATCGAACCAGGGCGTCTGTAGTGACGCCTCAAGCACTGAGATGCAGTGCCTTAAACCGCTGCGCCACTCGATAAATACATCAGGCCTTAAATGTAGCTATCCAACTATTTACACAAACTTGAAGCTATTTCTGTCAGACTGAGACAACTGTAACAAAAAGTTGTTTATTCTCCAAAAACAGACAAGCAAGTTCTGTTTATGAAAATGTTAGAATGATAAGATGGACGAATGAGCAAAGTAAAAAGAGATATGGTTTTCCAAAAAAAAAGTAACCTTAATACACTAATAAAACAGTCACAAAATGAGCACAGATTAACATCGTTTTGCACTAAAAGCTACAAAACATTTACGTTAAAAGACAATGGCACCATTCTCCTGTTTACAACACTATGAATGATAACACATCTCCACCAGCCTATACAGTACTGTCATAGCAAAAAGGTCTGGACCTCTTAGTCAAGTGCCGTGTGAAAATGATCTTGTAGAATCCAAATAAACCATCACTGAAGTGAATCTTAAAAAATTAACACTGCATTATACATTTCTTCCAGGGTTGTGTTTCCTCAAGATAACCCATAGCCTGTATTGACTGATCATATCCAGATAAGAGTTTAACCTGATGGGTGATATTAAGCCAAAAAGGGAGTCCAAATGCTATCTTGCTTTTTAAGACCCTCTGCCTAGAACCCATACGCCCTTGCACTACCTCTATAGTCTTCAGAACCAGCTTTACACCAAAAACGGCTAGTTCTTGTCGTCCTCCTTCTCCTCGGTGGGGTAAGAGTGCCACGTAAGCCGCTCCTCATAGAAGGATATGACCACCTGTGGACACTTCACGTTTGCCTCCTTAGCTGGTACCAGGTCTGCTTCATCAGAGTTTTTCCTACAAGAACAGGCCGTGTGGAGAGAACCACGAGTTGGATGAGTACTTAAGTAGAGGGTTGAGGCTAGTTCAGGGATTGTAGTGACGCCATGAAGCATACAGATGTGGTCAAATATATTGGCACCCTTGCATGATTGTTTCATCTAAAATAAATTGAAAAAACATTTGGTGTTTACATGTGTATTTGTTTGATTTACCACTGCACAGGACCAAGAAAAGAAAAACAGTAAAATGACCTGTACTAAATTATTCAAAGTTAAAATTAACTAGGTTGGAGGCAATGATTCTCATAAATTGCAGGTGCCTACAGGGTAAAAATGGCAATTTAACCAGTTTTTTAAAGAAAAAAACATCATCCTGCTCCATTGCAAACTGCAAGGGTGCCCAATATATTTGACCGCATCTGTAGGTCAGGATGCAGGGAATGAGGAGATGAAGGCAATGGATCCACTATTGTTGTTTTCATTGATGCATACCCTGCTGAAAAAAACAGCATTGACCAGCCTTCGTTGGGTTTTGGACACTAATGCTGGTGACCAGTTTGTGCTGGTGATGCTGCATACCAGCATTTGCTGATCACCAGCAAAACCAGCATCAAAGTGCTTAATTATTTAAGGCATCCCACTGGGCACCAACTGGTTGAATCAACGTTGTTTTAACGTAATTTGACAACTTATTGTGATGTGGAATCTACATGGAAAATACATTGGATTTGAAAAAAAAGTAAGAGGGTGAAATTTCAACTACAGGATTATGGCATCACGGTAACCAAATTTCTACAGAAACAGTGTATAAAATATGTTGAATTTGTACCTTTAAAACAATGTCAAATTTTAAATCAGAAAAAAATTGTCTGGGAAGCACCTCCTACTGGATAATGTATCTATCTACAGCTGCCCTTTGGTCTCCCATCCAAGGCTTTAACCAAGCCCAACCCAGCGTTGATATTTATCACTGACTATTAACAATGTGCTATCGTGAGAATGATTGTTGAGAGATCTCCACTTAAGAATGAAATAGATTCACTATTGCTATTGAAGTCGGTAGCTTAGTGGTTAAGAGCGTTGTGCCAGTAACCGAAAGGTCACTGGTTCTAATCCCCGAGCCGACTAGGTGAAAAATCTGTCGATGTGCCCTTGAGCAAGGCACTTAACCCTAATTGCTCCTGTAAGTCGCTCTGGATAAGAGCGTCTGCTAAATGACTAAAATGTAAATGTAAGTCATTCCAAAGGGTAGGTTTAACAGAGAAAATGAAATGTGACCATACTTTATCAATTATGCTATTTAAGTCTACAGTATATAGCATTTACAAAGTCATCAACAACAATTGTTTGACTTCAACCCAGAATTTTTAAAAAATAGACAATATAATAGGCCTAGGGTTTCAAGCTCTGGTTGATTTAAAGTGTAATGATATTTAGTGATATTGAATTGTGTTTGGTTGTCAACGCAACCAAATATCAATATTTGAAGGAGGATCAAATGCTTGGATAGTTCCAAGCAGAAGATAAATCTCCTTCAAATGTTAATATTTGGATGCGCAGACAACCAAACACAATTCAATATCACTTCTGATATACAATAAACAGCCTATTAACTTGTCGACAAGTTAACAAATAATATGTTGGATTCATATCTCCAACAAAAAGTTAAAGAATGGGATTAAGCCTGTAGCTCAGACGGACCTATCCAAGCAGTACATAAATCTCCTTTAAATGTTGATATTTTGTTGTCAACCAAACAATTCAATATACATTTTTGTAATACAGTAAATAGCCATGGTCACATTGAGGTTACTGTAATTATACAATGCATTCTGAAAGTATTCAGACCCCTTGACTTTTTCCACATTTTGTTATGTTACAGCCTTATTCTAAAATGGATTCAATAATTTTTTTGGTGCCAATTTATTAAAAATAAAAAACAGAAATACATTATTTACATAAGTATTCAGATCCTTTGCTATGAGACTCGAAATTGAGCTCGAAACAGGTGCATCCTGTTTCCATTGATCATCCTTGAGATGTTTCTACAACTTGATTGGAGTCCACATGTAGTAAATTTAAATCGATTGGACATGATTTGGAAAGGCACACACCTGTCTATATAAGGTCCCACAGTTGACAGTGCAAACCAAGCCATGAGGTCGAAGGAATTGGAGCTCCGAGACAGGATTATGTTGAAGGCACAGATCTGGGGAAGGGTACCAAAAAATGTCTGCACAGTGGTCTCTATCATTCTTAGATAGAAGATGTTTGGAACCACCAAGACTCTTCCTAGAGCTGACCGCCCGGCCAAACTGAGCAATCGGGGGAGAAGGGCCTTGGTCAGGGAGGTGACCAAGAACCTGATGGTCACTCTGACAGAGCTCCAGAGTTCCTCTGGAGATGGGAGAACCTTCCAGAAGGACAACCATCTCTGCAGCACTCCACCAATCAGGCCTTTTTGGTAGAGTGCCAGATGGAAGCCACTCCTCAGTAAAAGGCACATGACAGCCCACTTGGAGTTTGCCAAAAGGCACCTAAAGGACTCTCAGACCATGAGAAACAAGATTCTCTGGTCTGATGAAACCAAGATTGAACTCTTTGGCCTGAATGCTGAGTGTCACGTCTGGAGGAAACCTGGCACCATCCCTACGGGGAAGCATGGTGGTGGCAACATCATGCTGTGGGGATGTTTTTCAGACTGGGGTGAAGGTTCACCTTCCAACAGGACAACGACCCTAAGCACACAACCAAGACAATGCAAGAGTGGCTTCGGGACAAGTCTCTGAATGTCCTTGAGTGGCACAGCCAGAGCCCGGACTTGAACCCGATCGAACATCACTGGCAAGACCTGAAAATAGATGTGCAGCGACACTCCCCATTCAACCTGAAAGAGCTTGAGAGGATCTGCAGAGAATTTGAGAAACTCCCCAAATACAGGTGTGCCAAGCTTGTAGCGTCATACCCAAGAAGACTCGAGGCTGTAATCGCTGCCAAAGGTGCTTCAACAAAGTACTGAGTAAAGGGTCTGAATACTTATGAAAATGTGATATTTCTGTGTTTTATTTTTAATACATTTACAAAAATTTCTAAACCTCTTTTTGCTTTGTCATTATGGGGTATTATGTGTAGATTGATAAGGGGAAAAAAACTATTTAATCAATTTTAGAATAAGGCTGTAATGTAACAAAGTGGAAAAAGTAAAGGGGTCTGAATACTTTCCGACTGCACTGTACATTTCTTCTTATGTAATCATATAAGGCGTGCATGTTCAAGATAGCATGCATAGGTCATCGCAGGTCTGTGGAGATCTTCACAATTGCTGTAATAATCAGTGCAGAATCTTGAACGGCATTGATCACTTAAACCATGGACTTTTAATGTAATCTCAACTGCTATCCAGGTCATTTGTTTCTGCTATTAGATGAAGCACAGTGATATCACATTAATCTGTTGTATAAATAAACAAAATATCTGACATTGTATTCCCATTTGAACTTTGCTGAGCTTTTAAATTCTAAAAAGGTCCTTGCTATCTGGTATCCTTGGAAAGTCACCCCATTGAAGTTGAAATGTAAAATGGTTAAGGTAAGCGTTAAGGATTTTAGTTTTTGGTCAGAAAAGACTAAAATCACCAGGAATTCGGCTAAAATGTGTTTAATTTAGGAAATCTGTTCCCAAGTATTCCCACAAAAAAAAAAAAAAAAGAGGTGATCATGTCTCAATGTAATCAAGGTATGAATGATTGTTATTTTCAATACAATCTCTTTATGGGCTTAGTTGTGGTCAATTTGCAGTTTACAAATTATTATGTTCCGGCCCTCCTACAAAAATTGTACCGCGGCTTAATCTAGTTGCCTTCCCCTGAGCTAGTGCATGCTGGTCAGACCAGCTTGACCAGCTTGACCAGCATAGACTAGCTTGAAATGTATGCTGATCTATGCTGTTTGGGAATTGACAGGTACACAGTATGTACAACATGAGTTGACATGCTGCTGCTGCATGATTAGGTCTAGTAAGCAGTATAAAGGTTAAAATAAATTAAAATGAATAGGGCGATAAGGGCTATACAAACCATTTCATGAGGAACATGAGTTCTCCAGTGGAGTCAGTGGCACCAATAATCCTTTCTGGATCCAAACCTCGAGCGAAGCCCCTTAGTTTCTCTGGCTAAAACACAGTGAATCACAGTCAATCAATGTGAAAGAGTAAAGACAAACGATTCCATCTGTGTACACGCTTCGGTCTCTAGGACTTACGTCATCTTTTCTCTTCTTGGGTCGACTTTCCTCTCCTTCCACGCTAGTCTCTGCAGATTTCCTCTTACCCACAGACTCATGAGCTGATTTCTGTTTCTGCAGAAACTGTGCAATCAAGTCGGGACAGTCCAAATTATCCTCTGGTTCCCATGTGTTGTCGTCACTGAATAAACATACAGGCAGTGTTAATTAAGCCCAAAAACGGCATTGGAGGGAAAGTGGTGTTTTGATTGGTCAATACAAGCAATCCACAAACTACGGATATTATTGTGTAAACTCACTCCGAAAAGCCTTTCCACTTGAGAAGGTACTCCACTCTTCCTTTCACCACCCTTCGATTCAAGACCTTCTCCACCACATATTCTTCTTCCTCCTCCTCTTCCTCCACGCCCACCACATCCTCTGCCTTCTTCTCCTGTGTCTTATCAGCCGGTGTTGTCATCGTCACCTGAGACTGGGTGGGGGCTGTGGGTGCAGGGGGAATGATGTCTGCAGCTGCAGGGGGATTGATGTCTGCAGGTGCAGGGGGATTGATGTCTGCAGGTGCAGTGGGGTTGATGTCTGCAGGTGCAGGGGGATTGATGTCTGCAGGTGCAGGGGGATTGATGTCTGCAGGTGCAGGGGAAATGATGTCTGCAGGTGCAGGGGAAATGATGTCTGCAGGTGCAGGGGTAATGTGGGCTGTGGGTGCAGGAGCAGCAAATCACGGCTCCAGAAAACGCCCACTTTGTAGACGGTGACACTTATACTGAACTTTTCACTCAAGGGGTAATCCGCAGTTGAAAAAATAACAAAGGGAATTCCCCGCCTCTGTTTTGGTAAAAAAGCTGAGGGATGGGCCTGGAGAATTGTAACCACTCTCAAATTCATATACTACAAGGACTGACCACCCAAGATAACAAAATTCTAGTTTTAAGCATGTTGAAGCTATACAGTGTTTGTTAACATTTACGATGTTTACAAACATTGGAGTAAAAAGTTCTGAGGTGGTAAGACAGTTTAACTAAGTTAATGAGGCATTTATAAATTATATTCTTATAAGTTATATTCTTCAAGAATCAATGGGTATACAGTAGGATCATTACCTAAATTATTGCCACCCTTGATAAAGATGTGCAAAACATGCTATAAAATAAATAATACAAATACTGAGCTATATTGAATGATCAAAACATTTGAAAATGATATTATACTAATACAATTGCTCAGAGGAGATTTAGTTTAACAAGTAATAAAAAAAATCTCAAAAGACATTTCAAAATTGCCACCCGTTTTCCATACTCCAGCATCCTCCCCTTGCGAGGATAACGACACTGAGCCTTTTGAAAATAGAGCTCTTTGGCCAGGCACACACCAGAAAAGAACCCCATTGTTTTTATTACTTGTTAAACAAAATGTATTTCTGAACAATTGTACTAGTATAAAATAATATAAAATGTTCCCCCCTTTTTTTGCATACAATATAGCTCAGTATTTGTATTATTTTTTTATACAGTCTTTTTTGCTTATCTTTACCAAGGGTGCCAATAACTTCGGTCATGATTAATTTATAAGTCCAAAAATTTATGTAGCAACTGCAGATTGCCCCTTTAAAGCCTACAGATGCTAAGTCTATGGCATCTTGTGCGAGGTACCCTCACCGTTTGAAATTATATACTGTAATTCAGTGAAACACATTAGAGGTAGATGGGAAACTCACAACATCACGGAGTGCCACACATAAATGATAAACACCTTTGTTTACCCACTGCTGCAGAAGAAGATTTGTTAGTAGAAATAGCAGCTTGACTTTTGCAAAAACATCTGCTCCCTTACCCCACACAGACAAAACAGTGAAATGGTTTGTATATTTGAAAAATGTTATAAGACCTTCAGTAAGAGTGGGAGCATCATTAGAAGGTTCTGTAGATTCGCTCATACTCATCAGGTAGACCGTGGGACCAGCAGTTGGTTCCTGGTCAACGTCAAGAGTAGGGCGATGGGGGTCAGGAATCAATAAGGTAGACAGGATAAAAAAAATAGCATTGGAGAGAAAGCGATTCATGAGAGTCTACATGTCTATAGCATTTTTTACACGGCTCTAACAGGGGCCCTTGATGTAGTTGGGCAAAAAAAATTGAGAACTTTGGGGAATTCATAGTTATTACAGGTTTACTAAGCCTAAAAGTCACAGTAAATTGTTTATTTTTTGTAGATACTAAAAATAGATGTGCATCAAGAGTACCAGTGCACACATTTCTAATAGTGAATGAGCACAGTGCTCGAGAGAAGCACAAGAATATGGATAGGGTGTCCATTGGCAGCCACAATTTTTTTCCTGGGCTCAATTCACCACAGATATGTGGTAGCTAGCTCCCAAAATTACTGGGGCCATCATGCAGGAGATGGAGCATAAACACATCCTTCAATCTGTGCAACATCTGGAGGGCTAGCTCCCGCTTACAATACGAGTAGGCCAACCGGCCACAAGATGGTGCTATTATTCCCTTTACGTGGTCCCCTGTAGCTCAGTTGGTAGAGTATGGCGCTTGCAACACCAGGGTTGTGGGTTCGTTTCCCACGGGGGGCCAGTATGCATTCACTAACTGTAAGTCGCTCTGGATAAGAGCGTCTGCTAAATGACTAAAATGTAAATGTTTGTCATCTCAGGAAGAACTACGCTCTCTAGGGGGTCATGGCTAGAAGGGATACATTTTAGTCATTTAGCAGACGCTCTTATCCAGAGCGACTTACAGTTAGTGAGTGCATATATCTTTTTTCATACTGGGCATTTTAGCTAACCCTAACACTTCTCCGTTAGTTACTCTAACCTGCTGCGTAAGTTCTCCTAACCTATTACGAAAAGTCAAATCTGACAAAAGCTGTATCTAATCTAGTCAAAACCCCTCTTGCTCTCGGCGCTACAATCAGTGCTGCTTATTTAGTGAGTTTTCAGACCCCATCAGCGACTTTTATTGGTAAAAGAGTCTAGCGACAAATGCAGCTACTTTTCAGACTGCCTTTGGGGAGTTTCGACACCGAGGGTTTCTATTGTTTTAATAGAATTTAGCGAATTTTCCCACTCAATTCTGCCGCAAACGAGAATGAGAGAAGTTGTCTGTGCAACAGAAATCACAGGCAGAGGCACAGGGGTGTGCGGCGGAAAAGGGGGCAAAAACGCTACGTAGAGAAACGCAGCAGTGCCGCAGCAAGGTAAATTGGTGCTGTGACGTCCCCGCGGAAACGGTCCTCTAGCGGCAAGTCAACGAGCCAATACAGATTCTCACTGAAAAATAGTTGGCACACTGGCTACAATACGAGGTCAACCAAATATCGTTTAGAAACTCGGTGGTGATACGGTATCATGATTGACCAGTGTGCAAATCATAAACAGTTGTCCAAAAATGGTTTAATATCGTTTGAAAACGGAGTTAGCGGTCTAACTACTAGTGCTGCCTGTTATTTACAGAGCCATGGTCCAGTAGCGATTCGGGCGAGTACTAGCTACACACGCCACTCTCCTCCATATTGGTTTCAATAGAAAACAAAAGCAGCACTAGCATGCACATTCTGAATGTGTTAGCTAGTTAATCAAACAAAAGCGCAATGTATATGGAAATGCATTATTATCTTTATGTAGTTGGCTAGATGCACGCTGTAGCTAGTTATAATTACATTATTTCCCAACACAAACGTGCAGGTAGCGAAGATTTGCAAGGATAGAATGCAACTCACCTCAAAACGAGTTATTCGAGGAAAAATAGTGTATGTCTTCAAATGTTGAGATATGATTAGCAAAATAACCTGGGTTATAATTTCTTATATCAATTTGTTTAGTTTATTATCAATCAAATATGAGCTTGTGTAAGCTAAATATATCGTGTCCGCCCCCTTCGTGTCCGAGCTCAAATTCTTTGTACACGTGCAACGATTCTACATTGTGTGGATTTCCCAACGAAACCAAAGTTATCTCATGTGGGTGTCTCAGATGATTTAGAGATTAGCTAGTCGGTCGATCTGCACAGTGAGTGTACAAGCGAGGTATCTATCCGCTCCCGATCGAACATGTTCGATTTTAACCCAGCATTTTCTACTAAATGCGTATGATTTTCTCCTGTCCATAATATTTTAGCTACTAAGGTCAAAAGTGTCGGCGCTGTAACATTTAACATGAAGGTAAAATGGCGACTGTTTATTTATTTATTTAAAGGTTTTGAGTTTGCCCGGAAACGGATATTACGTCGTGACTGACGCCAAGGCATGATTTTAGTAAATAAAATTGCGTCGAAACTCCCCGGAGTTCCGCAGATCTTTGCATTGATTGTAGCTACGGATTTTATTGACATTCGACACAATTGTAGACGGAGACTTTTTCTAAAGATCTGTTGGAGCGCTCAACTCTGAATAGCTAATTATTTGTGGGTCTTTCAAAACACGTTTTTAAGAAGACGTTTAAAATATACCCCGACTATATGAAAGTAACCGCCTAGCCCTAGTTGTCATTCCAAAACATGATTTATCAGTTTGTTTGTTTACCCACACTTCCTAGCTAGACTAACGTTAGTGTTATTGACTTTTGATTAGTATCAACATTTGTTTTTACAATGTGGTTACAGTGAAATACTTTTTATTTTTTTTACACAGGAGTGGTTGGTGGTGGAGGAATTAAACATATTGCCAGTGACAGTGCTATCAAGACGAGGAGGGGTTTATCTTGAGGGCAAAGGGCAAGTGAAGGCATTCATCCCCAGTCTGCTGTTCCCAAACATGGCTAACAGCAAAGAAATCGAGAGAAGCAAAAGACTAACTGCATTTGAGATGTTATCCAGTCGTACATTTTTCACAAAACTTATTACGGCACTGAAACGTTGTCCTCGTGACTGAGTGCTTTAGTGAGACTTGAGGGGTGGAAGAGAAGCATAGGCTGAGTTTTTCCCTCTTTGCTGACTCGTTGATATTGATTCTTGCATTTTGTGTTTTTTGTTTTGTTTGGCAGATGTATCATGTGCAGCGTAGCCTACGGAAGGATGATTAAGAATCACGAAGAATATGTACATTAGAGCCCGACCGATATGGGATTTTTGGGTCCGATACCAATACCATTTTTAGGGAGGCAGCTAAATCACCGATATATCTGCCTATGTATAGTTTTTTTAGAGCTGGAATGAAAGTGTTTATTTTTTGCAAAATTTTTACTCCAATGGATTAACAGATACTCTAAATGATGATTAAGAATCACGAAGAAGATGTAAGTTACCCTCATTCTCTCCTAATTTACCCTGACACTCTTCTACACTGTAGCCTCTGGTTAATTAAACTGTTGGGTGAAAAAGGATATACAGTAGTGTGACGCGCTATCCATGGGAGAATCTCAATTGCTTTCCTCGCTTCCTCTCCTCATTCTCAAAATCCATTCGATGAGAAATCTAAAGGTCCCGCCCCTCTGACCTAATCATCCAATGGGTTCCGAGTAGGAGGCGAGGAGACAGGACCCGAGGAGATGCAATTTAGATTCATCCCATGACTTGCCCCATGACTTGGAGCCATCAACCCCATGTTGTATCACTTCCTCGTAACTTTGCTAGCTGTTGATTCACTAATTTAGCTACACAAACTGCCTGCAGTTCCCTCTGTTAGTGAAAGCGCTATTTTGTTTGTCTCTGCAGGAGTTTGTTGCTGTGCGGGTCCAAGACCCTCGGGTTCAGAATGACGGCTCTTGGAACTCGTACGTGGATTTCAGGATATTCCTTCACGTGAGTATCCATTCACCGTCTAAACGCGACAAAGAAGCCGTTGTCTCAATGAGTGCATATGTCCTTATTAGAGCTGTAGATCCCAAGTCATCGGAAAGGGCTAGTTTGAAATTACTTAAGACTCTCATTATGTGCATTTGTCATAGATGAGTCAGGACCAGGAAAAATAAATGACTACTCAGTCACCAAATGGACCTACATGATATCACTAAAGTGGTTGGCCTGTGGGTAGGAATGCTGGGGGTGATGGAAAGATCAGTCTTGTACTCTATTCCTTATAATGCTCCTTTTAATAGAAGCAGAGACAAAACCTCTGACTTTCAAACGTTTATCCACCAGAAGTGTCATAATAAAATGCACTAAAATATGAATGTTACAGAATGTTCTACATATACTTTCCAACCAGCACATGACTCCCACATATCAACTGGTCATTTTCCATAGCTGCCCATTACCCTCTTCACACACCGCACACATTTTCTGCTCTCTCCTTATCGTTTCGGGCACTAGAGGCCCAGCTCAAGGCCGAATTCTTGCTTCTATTCACTCAAAAGTATTTTCAATTCACATGCTTATACACATGACGTTTCCCACTACATCTAAGTTACATTTCTAAATACTAATAAACACTGTATGATCAACTAGACAAATTACATTATGAATACATGGTTGGACACATGAATAAATGAATATACTTGATTAACTGAATAAGTTTACAGAACTCCATAGAGGTAAACAACATTTGTTGGTATGAATTCTACAATGATATGTGCCTTTTGATAATCTCTTCTGTTGACTTTTCTCTCCCCATGATATTTGACTCATGGTGATGAATTGCTAAACCAGCATCAAGCTATTTTGATGTAGGCTGATTCTCGAAGCCATAACCACATTTTGCGCTGGCTAGCTGGAGAAACTGGAGGCTTAAAGGTAGACTCAGCGATATGACGTCGATGCAGAAAGTAAACAGCATACTGGGTCAATCTCCGCAACAACTAAGAGCGTTGAAGCGCGAGGCTCGACTTCTCCGCTGTTTTGGTGCCCTGGCTACCACGCTGTAACAGCGTGAAGTGAACCCGTGCACATGCGCAGATATTGTGTGTGACTGTGAGAGCGAAGTCTTGCATCTCGCTCATCTCAATATCTGCCGTGCTGCTCGTGGCAACGTCATTTTGCTGAGTCTACCTTTAACATTGGAAGGCTTCGTTCAAATTGCTTGACAGTCTAGTATTGACTTTGTTCTCTGTAAACACAATGGAATCCAGCAGTTCAAGTTCTTAATCTGTACGATCCTTGTCCCTTGTTGACATTAGCCTATCTCCTAAGTAGAATGGATTCGGGTGCGTTGCTTGATTCAGTCATCAGAAGGACATAATGCAGAATTTAAAAAATATGTATATATACAGTACCAGTCAAAAGTTTGGACACCTACATATTCCAGGGTTTTTCTTTATTTTTACTATTTTCTACATTGTAGAATAATAGTGAAGACATCAGAACTATGAAATAACACATATGGAATCATGTAGTAACCCAAAAAGTGTTCAACAAATCAAAATATATTTTATATTTGAGATTCTTCAAAGTAGCCACCCTTTGCCTTGATGACAGCTTTGCACACTCTTGGCATTCTCTCAACCAGCTTCATGAGGTAGTCACCTGGAATGCATTTCAATTAACAGGTGTGCCTTGTTATAAGATAATTTGTGGAATTTCTTGTGTTTGAGCCAATCAGTGGTCTTGTGACAATGTAGGGGTGGTATACAGAAGATGGCCCTATTTGGTAAAAGACTAAGTCCATATTATGGCAAGAACAGCTCAAAGCAAAACAAACGACAGTCGATCATTACTTTAAGACATGAAGGTCAGTCAATCCAGAAAAGTTCAAGAACTTTGAAACTTTCAAGTGCAGTCACAAAAACCATCAAGCGCTATGATGAAACTGGCTCTCATGAGGACCGCCACAGGAAAGGAAGACCCAGAGTTACCTCTGCTGCAGAGGATAAGTTCATTAGAGTTACCAGCCTCAGAAATTGCAGCCCAAATAAATGCTTCACAGAGTTCAAGTAACAGACACATCTCAACATCAACTGTTCAGAGGAAACTGCATGAATCAGGCCTTCATGGTCGAATTAATGCAAAGAAACCACTACTTAAGGACACCAATAAGAAGAAGAGACTTGCTTGGGCCAAGAAACACAAGCAATGGACATTAGGCCGGTGGAAATCTGTCTTTGGTCTGGAGTCCAAATTAGAGATTTTTGGTTCCAACCACCATGTCTTTGTGAGACGCATAGTAGGTGAACGGATGATCTCCGCATGTGTGGTTCTGACGTGAAGCATGGAGGAGGAGGGGTGGGGGTGCTTTGCTGGTGACACTGTCTGTGATTTATTTAGAATTCAAGGCACACTTAACCAGCATGGCTACCACAGCATTCTGCAGCAATATGCCATCCCATCTGGTTTGCGCTTAGTGGGACTATCATTTGTTTTTCAACAGGACTCAGAACACACCTCCAGGCAGTGTAAGGGCTATTTGACCAAGAAGAAGAGTGATGCAGTGCTACATCAGATGACCTGGCCTCCACAATCACCCGACCTCAACCCAAGATGGTTTGGGATGAGTTGGACCGCAGAGTGAAGGAAAAGCAGCCAACAAGTGCGCAGCATACAGTGGGGAAAAAAAGTATTTAGTCAGCCACCAATTGTGCAAGTTCTCCCACTTAAAAAGATGAGAGAGGCCTGTAATTTTCATCATAGGTACACGTCAACTATGACAGACAAAATGAGGAAAAAAATCCAGAAAATCACATTGTAGGATTTTTAATGAATTTATTTGCAAATTATGGTGGAAAATAAGTATTTGGTCAATAACAAAAGTTTCTCAATACTTTGTTATATACCCTTTGTTGGCAATGACACAGGTCAAACGTTTCATGTAAGTCTTCACAAGGTTTTCACACACTGTTGCTGGTATTTTGGCCCATTCCTCCATGCAGATCTCCTCTAGAGCAGTGATGTTTTGGGGCTGTCGCTGGGCAACACAGACTTTCAACTCCCTCCAAAGATTTTCTATGGGGTTGAGATCTGGAGACTGGCTAGGCCACTCCAGGACCTTGAAATGCTTCTTACGAAGCCACTCCTTCGTTGCCCGGGCGGTGTGTTTGGGATCATTGTCATGCTGAAAGACCCAGCCACGTTTAATCTTCAATGCCCTTGCTGATGGAAGGAGGTTTTCACTCAAAATCTCACGATACATGGCCCCATTCATTCTTTCCTTTACACGGATCAGTCGTCCTGGTCACTTTGCAGAAAAACAGCCCCAAAGCATGATGTTTCCACCCCCATGCTTCACAGTAGGTATGGTGTTCTTTGGATGCAACTCAGCATTCTTTGTGTGGTCCTCTGTAGCTCAGCTGGTAGAGAACGGCGCTTGTAACGCCAAGGTAGTGGGTTCGATCCCCGGGACCACCCATACACAAAAATGTATGCACGCATGACTGTAAGTCGCTTTGGATAAAAGCGTCTGCTAAATGGCTTATTATTATTATTATTATTATTATTATTATTATTATTATTATTATTTGTCCTCCAAACACGACGAGTTGAGTTTTTACCAAAAAGTTCTATTTTGGTTTCATCTGACCATATGACATTCTCCCAATCCTCTTCTGGATCATCCAAATGCACTCTAGCAAACTTCAGACGGGCCTGGACATGTACTGGCTTAAGCAGGGGGACACGTCTCGCACTGCAGGATTTGAGTCCCTGGCGGCGTAGTGTGTTACTGATGGTAGGCTTTGTTACTTTGGTTCCAGCTTTCTGCAGGTCATTCACTAGGTCACCCCGTGTGGTTCTGGGATTTTTGCTCACCGTTCTTGTGATCATTTTGACCCCACGGGGTGAGATCTTGCGTGGAGCCCCAGATCGAGGGAGATTATCAGTGGTCTTGTATGTCTTCCATTTCCTAATAATTGCTCCCACAGTTGATTTCTTCAAACCAAGCTGCTTACCTATTGCAGATTCAGTCTTCCCAGCCTGGTGCAGGTCTACAATTTTGTTTCTGGTGTCCTTTGACAGCTCTTTGGTCTTGGCCATAGTGGAGTTTGGAGTGTGACTGTTTGAGGTTGTGGACAGGTGTCTTTTATACTGATAACAAGTTCAAACAGGTGTCATTAATACAGGTAACGAGTGGAGGACAGAGGAGCCTCTTAAAGAAGAAGTTACAGGTCTGTGAGAGCCAGAAATCTTGCTTGTTTGTAGGTGACCAAATACTTATTTTCCACCATAATTTGCAAATAAATACATTAAAAATCCTACAATGTGATTTTCTGGATTATCTTTTCTCAATTTGTCTGTCATAGTTGACGTGTACCTATGATGAAAATTACAGGCCTCTCTCATCTTTTTAAGTGGGAGAACTTGCACAATTGTTGCTGACTAAATACTTTTTTCCCCCACTGTATGTGGGAACTCCTTCAAGACTGTTGGAAAAGCATTCCTCATGAAGCTGGTTGAGAGAATGCCAAGGGTGTGCAAAGCTGTCATGAAGGCCAAGGGTGGCTACTTTGAAGAATCTAAAATATATTTTGATTTGTTTAACACTTTTTTGGTTACTACATGATTCCATATGTGTTATTTCATAGTTTTGATGTCTTCACTATTATTCTACAATGTAGAAAATAGTCAAAATAAAGAAATGAGTAGGTGTGTCATCTTTTGACTGGTACTGTATATATTTGTCACGTGCCGAATACAACAGGTGAAATGCTTACTTACAAGCTCTTCCTCAACGATGCAAAGTTAAATAAAGAAAATAAAACATGTGAGAAATAAAACACATAAGAATGTCAGCTACAGTTGAAGTCAGAAGTTTACATACAGGTTGGAGTCATTAAAACTTGTTTTTCAACCACTCCACATATTTCTTGTTAACAAACTATAGTTTTGGAAAGTCGGTTAGGACATCTACTTTGTGCATGACACAAGTCATTTTTCCAACAATTGTTTACAGACAGATTATTTCACATATAATTCACTGTATCACAATTCCAGTGGGTCAGATGTTTACATACACTAAGTTGACTGTGCCTTTAAACAGCTTGGGAAATTCCAGAAAATAATATCATGGCTTTAGAAGCTTCTGAAAGGCTAATTGACATCATTTGAGTCAATTGGAGGTGTACATGTGGATGTATTTCAAGGCATACCTTCAAACTCAGTGCCTCTTTGCTTGACATCATGGGAAAATCAAAAGAAATCAGCCAAGACCTCAGAAAAAAAATTGTAGACCTCCACAAGTCTGGTTCATCCTTGGGAGCAATTTCCAAACGCCTGAAGGTACCACGTTCATCTGTACAAACAATAGTACGCAAGTATAAACACCATGGGACCACGCAGCCGTCATACCACTCATGAAGGAGACGCGTTCTGTCTCCTAGAGATTAACGTACTTTGGTGCGAAAAGTGCAAATCAATCCCAGAACAACAGCAAAGGACCTTGTGAAGATGCTGGAGGAAACAGGTACAAAAGTATCTATATCCACAGTAAAACGAGTCCTATATCGACATAACCTGAAAGGCCGCTCAGCAAGGAAGAAGCCACTGCTCCAAAACCGCCATAAAAAAGCCAGACTACGGTTTGCAACTGCACATGGGGACAAAGATCATACTTTTTGGAGAAAGGTCCTCTGGTCTGATGAAACAAAAATAGAACTGTTTGGCCATAATGACCATCGTTATGTTTGGAGGAAAAAGGGGAACGCTTGCAAGCCGAAGAACACCATCCCAACCGTGAAGCACGGGGGTGGCAGCATCATGTTGTGGGGGTGCTTTGCTGCAGGAGGGACTGGTGCACTTAACAAAATAGATGGCATTATGAGGAAGGAAAATTATGTGGATATGTTTTGAGTTCCCACTTCCTCAGGTGGGTGAATTATGTAGTATATATCCTAGGCCAATATGCACAAAAGATATGCAGGCAAATTAATCTCTAAAGAGCCTCAAATGAATTGGATCATTCTGAGTCCTATTTTGACATGTTGCACATCAAAAGATCCATCATGTATTCCCTGAACATGTTAGATAAATAGCGAACTTCTTTCATGTCTTACTTGGCACTGGAAAAAGTCAGTCTAGAGCCCTGCCGCTAATGGAAAGTAACTCTGCAATTAAAAAAAGTTGTATTTATCGCTATCGCGCAAAACGGATCAATTTATCATCCATTGGCGTTGTCTGTATCCACAGTATGTAATGGTGCACCCTCTCTTTTTACTCACAGACCAACAGCAAGGCCTTCACAGCGAAGATGTCCTGTGTGCGCCGGCGCTACAGTGAGTTTGTCTGGCTCAAGAAGAGGATGCAGAAGAACACTGGCTTGGTGTAAGTCATAGCAATGTCCCCCAATGTGCGTGGCTTTAAACTGCATGTTTGAAAAAAATCATTTGGAACACCAATGTGAAGTTGTCCTGTTATGCAAGCTATGGGTTATTTTCTGTCCCTGTCTGTCCTATAGATCCGTCCCAGACCTGCCCAGCAAGCCCTTCTTCTCCTTTAGTGGTGAGGACTTCCTAGAGAAGAGGAGGAAAGGCCTACAGTCCTTCCTGGACAAGTCAGTTCCTCTCCTAAGTTAATAATTATCAATGACTTCACCATTTCAATTATAGTGCTTGGTTGTTCCCTCTATTTGTCATTATTGTCACACCTGAAATGAGCACAAAGGAAACATTTACCATGACTAATCAAATAAAATGAGACCCCAACATTGAGCATGGCATTGGCGTACCTTTTCTTTCTTCAGAGTGTGCACCATGACAGTGTGTCTGTCAGACAGTCAGCTCCACCTCTTCCTGCAAACCCAACTGCCAGTTGGTCACATCCTGGACTGTGTGCAGGGCCACACCCCCTACACTGTGACAGAGGCCATCCTCACCTACGGCTCATCCAATCAGGGCTGGGTTCCGGAAGAGGACTCGACCCAGGACCCAAGTCTTACTCCAGTTCCTTATGAGTCCATGGAGAGGTAAGACTGGAGTGTCAACAGATGAAAAAGCACAACTGTCCACACAGGCACAAATGAGGTGTAGTTGTGAGTTGAAACTTCTGGTGGGCTCCTGAATAGACGTGAGTGTGTTCAATGAACACATTGTTTTAGGCCAGGATTCAATCTGGTCCGCATTAATAATTTCTGATTGAGCCGACATCTGCAGCGTTTACTTTGAATGCGATCTCCGCAACCGCGGTAATATTGCCTTTAAATGGTGCTTAGCTGAAAAGGGGCGATTGGATTGAATCCCGGCAGATGCAAAGTTTGGTAACAGAATGACCGCACAAACCGTCATTCTGTTACCAAACTTTGCATCTGCGCTGTTCTTCAAGTAAATGTGTTTTTGTGGAAATTGTTAAAACTAGGCCTTGTGCATAGTTGTATGGTTTGTGTAACTTTGCAATCATTGTATTTTTTTTTTTTACATACATTTTAAAGTGAAAAATCGGGAGTCTCTGCATCAATTCGTTACCCATACTTGTATTTCAGGTTTTACAGTATAAAGGTAATGTTGAGTATTGTTACTTCATGGCCTTCTCGTTCCCCACAGCCCTGCTCCTCATCTACCTACCCTGCAATGTGAAGAGCCCCTCAACCCTGTGAACCTCGCCTCCAGTGAGCCAGAGGGCCTAATGACTGAGAAGTTTCTAGCTGACGCCCATGACATAGACGCTGTGGAGTTACAGCTCAGTGAGACTGAGACCCTTTCCCTAGAGGTCACCCAGGAGGACCACAATGTATTCCAGGTAGAGGCCATCCTGGAGACACACAGCCCAGTGGAGACTATCTTTAAGTGGGATGGCCATGAAGAATCTACCCCAGAGAGGCTCGAACATGAGGAGGTGATCCACCAAGGGGATTGTCAACAGCTGACACTTGTGGAACTGCACTGTGAAAAGGACACAGGCTTGGAAGAGGGATGTGTAACGGAGTTGAAGACTGAGAGGGTCATTAAGGAGGAGAGCCATGCTAACATACCTACAGATATAATTCATCCCAAACAGAGTAACCTAGACCTAGGCCTGGAGGAGGAGTGTGAATCGGAAGTGGCCCTTGAGGGTGAGACCCATACAGACACGACTACACAGACAATCCCTCCCAAACAGAGTAGCCCAGAGCTAGACATCCATGAGGAAACTCCTCAAGATGGAGATGATGGCCTAAGGGAGACAGTTCTAGAGGACCTTAACCCTGCGGAGGAAGCTCAAGAAAGCATCAGTCACGAGAAGAGAACCTCAGAAGGGGACTGCAACACAGTAACAGCCATTGAGCTGGACAGCCAAGGACACACGGATGAGAGAAACTCCCACATAGAGATCAGCCTAGAGGAAGACTGTCATGAGATCACAACCGAAGAAGTGGAAAGTGTGGATGACTCAACCCAAGAGGTAGAAAGTGGAGATGTTGCAACCCAAAAGGGAGAAGTCGATGACTCATTTCGAGGTGGAAAGGCGGCTCCCTAGGACATTCAACAAGTAGAAGATCAGCTGGACACAACCAAAGAGGTTGAGAGACGAGGAAATGAATGGAGAGGATGGGGAGAGTCGGGAATGGGGAAACAACAACATCCGATGGGAGTAATAAGGAGAGCGACGACAAGGATTCTGCCAATAATGAAAATGCAACACGAGACAAATAGCTACATGGAGAAGGGAAATTACCAAACAGACCGCACAGAGGCAGAAGAAGTCTGCAACAACACAGACATTCTAAAGCCCGAAACGAACCAAGATCCCTCACATGAAGAAATCACACCTGAGGTACCCAATGCTCAGGGGACCAATGGTGTCAGTCGGAGAGGGAATTAGTCCGTTTAACTCAACCGGCTGTGTTGCCCCAATGGTTTTAATGTGGCAAATATTTTGGCAGTTAATTCACATGCCTTCAGAAAGCTGTGTGATCCAGAACTGTGTCGCAGTTAAAACGTGATTACGAGTTTGGAGTGGGTAAAAGTTACTTATCGTGCAATCAACTTTGACTGCGTTTTATTCATAACTTCTGGAGAAAAAAAAGTGTCATCCTGCATGCATTCCCTTAGGTATACTGCATTGCTGTTGTGGGTTGGTTTCTGGGTTCAGCTTGAGCAAACGGGGGGGTGAGTGTCGTTCCACCTAAAAGCACAAGAAAGAGGATTTCGACACACACAATCTCAGATTGTCCTGAAATCGTTTCTGTAGTTAGAAACAGATCCAATTAGCATTCCTGAAAGATTATTTTGTGGAAATATAATTTGATCTCTGAGGAATTAAGCAAATTGATTGCACCCAAATTGGCCATTTTGAATGATTGGATTCATATAATCGTCAATAAATATAGTACCTAACATCCTATTTGAATCATAATTCTTCCTGACAGATGAGTACGACGTGAACAAAATCCACCCATGGACCCCCCACACTACACCAATCCCACCCCAATAACCAGTATACAGTATCAATTTCCTATGTCTGACATGGAGCTGCGCCTTGGAGTATTGCTTTTTCATCCTATGTAATGTTTTCCCTGTGAATCTGGTGAAGTTAACCCCCCCCCCCCCCCCCCCCCCCCCCCCACACACACACACACAGTTTTGCTGGTCTCCTGTGTTTATTAAATGGATCGTAACGTTTTCTTTGCAACTTTGGGAAGAAAACCAATAGCTTTTGCTCATGATGAAAATAAATGTTGTGGTCATCCTCCCAATTCTAGCCAGTCCTCCATGAAAGCAGTTCAGTTTGTCCTCCTATTGGGCTTAATCTGTGTCCAGGAAAGGTCTGGATTAGTTAGACCATTCCTGGTGAAAAAGCAAACCATTTAGGCTACAGCAGTCCAAATGGTTTCAATCTTATGTTCGTTAATGGTCTTCAGTGGTAAAAGTACCAAACACGCACTGTATAGTGTTTTGCAATGGTGTTGGGTTTAATGGTAAATATCACTAATCACACTACATACAAAGATGTTTTCTAATAATTGTATTGAAAAACATAGGACTGCCATGCAGTGGTTTATAATTTTATTAGGGTTGTCACAACATTTTAGTCACTAGCCCATTTCGCCGTAACATTTTTGACCTTGTAGGAAAAATCTTCATATGAGAATTGCACCATAGGGATAACCCTCTCAGAGAGCTGCCATTTGTTGGACTATTCAAGGAGAATTGGGTTGAAGCATTTGGTTGCTAAGAGAAAGACAAACTGAATTGCTTTCATGGAGGACTGGCTTGACTTATGAGGTTAAAGTTGCAAAGAAAATGTGATCCATTTAATAAACACAAGAGACCAGCAAAATGGATGTGGCAGTAGCAGGAACAGTGGCATCTAGTGGGCAAAACCTGATACTTTCACACAAATGTATGGTAAATAATACAGAAACGATTTCTGAACAATCTGAGATGGTGGGTGTCATTTCTTGCTGAAATGACATGGAAGGACTCATGAGGCTTTGTGTTTCTCATGTCAGTCTTGTCAGCCATGATAGCCAGTTGAACCAAGGCTGCATGGACACTAGCTTTACTAACCTCTCTGTCCTCGGGGTGGAGTTAGTTACAGTATAGATATAGTATAGTAAACTACTCAACACTGGTATCATTGTAAATCATTGTCAACATGTTACACCAATGCAGTCAGAGCTAACATATGCTTTTACTGTTCTTTTTGTTCTCATATTCAGCATTTTAACAGGTGCATTAGTTATTTTAAGTGGCATAAAAGTTACCCCTTTTATGTTATGTAGATGATTGACAGACAGTTTTTTTTTCACTTATGTAGTTCAGACAAGGATGTACATGAGCAATATACCAACCTAAAAATAGTCAATAACAACCTAGGAATGCACCTATTGACAACAATGTTTCTTTGGAATATCATTTTAATTGGGAATAAAATGTTTTTTCCCCCACTTGAGTCTATTTTAGTGCATGACATTTACAGACATTTATATTGCCATAGACTTTCATATGCACAGTAAAACAAGTTATTATGTACATAACATAAAATATTTTTACAAGCTCAACAATCAAAAATCTATATCTTTTTTTTGTTGCAAATTATCAGGTATTCCAATTTCAAACTCTTCATTGAAAAACTATTCATCCCCTTGTGAAACAAGATAGGGGAGGAAGCCTGACCCCTTGTGGACTACATATGTCAGCATAGAAATAACAAGCACTGTAGTCTCAGACACAAGGCTGTTGAAGGCATCAGTTCGTATATGCTTCAAAATATCGAATAGCCAGCCCCCCCAGTTCACTCAGAGGTGAGGATTTCCTATTTTTGTCACAGGGGCATAATGTTTCCTCAATGGCTGGCCATTTCCATTCACACACGGGCACAAATACATTGGAAAAAACTAAACAGAGGAAACCTTTTTGACATCAGAATTATCCATACTTTGATGTGTACACCAAAGGCCTCAGAAGGACAATGGTAATGTAATTTATGCATGGCAATGAAGCAATCTTTACAAAAACATACCAAAAAAATTACACTGCATTACATTGCAAAGTAAAAAATCTCAGTCTGTCATCAGTCTCGAAGTGTTGGGGATTGGGAACGCAGTCACATCACTCAACTGTGGAAGTAAGGTACAATACAAAGATAAATTATCAGAGAGTAACACGTAACAAACAGTTCCTGTAGTAGTGCAGTGTGATACTGTATGTTTTCTCTGGCATATACTTAATATCACTACAGAGTCATTTCCCCCAATTCAATTATGTCAATGATGCTATAATTAAACATTACTGAGCATATCAGTATCCCTTATAATGCTGATAAAATTTCACACCTTGGGTCTGTGCAGTAATTGCAGTTCTACTTTCAGCCACCAGATGTCTTAAATGGCCAGTCCACCGCTGTGAATATACACCTCTCCTGCTATCTCAATGGTTATCTCAATGGGTGCCAGGAGGCCTGTTATGGTACATTAGCCCGTTATATTAGTCTGTAATCGTAACGACATGAGAGTGCTCCAGTACCTCCTGGAGCTCAGAGGATGTAGGCAGGGTGGAGGAAGTCTTTAGGGACGATACCGATGGTACCGTTTAGCTCTCCGACCCACCAGCCATTGATGTTATACTCCTGGAACACAGAGCGACACAAGCAGGGTGAGGAGGAGGAACAAGCACAACGATGCTCAGTAGACCATGGGAGAATCTCAATTGCATTCTCCTCACGTCCTCTTTCCTCTCCGCCTCCTCAAAACCCACTGGAAGACAAAGCCAGGAGTTATTTTCCCTCTGAACTTCTCCTCCAGTGGGATTGGAGGAGAGGACGCAAGGAGTATGTAAATGCAATTCTCCCTGTGTCATCATAGGTTTATAACAGAAATGGCTCTTGATACCTTTTGTTGTCATTATTAGGGCACAGCATCTGAAACCCCAAGGCTAGCTTATATCTATCGATCAATCCATTTGTATGGGGTTTACTTGTATAATGCATGTTTGTAGAATCTTTGCTCCCTCTCCTGGCTGTCTCTCTGGGCACTGCTGTGATAGATCCCACATCCTCAGTCAGCGGTCATCCTCTAATACAGAGCGCTCTGACACCTCACTACAGAGCCAGAGGAATGAGAAACAGACCTACTCCTAATGACCGGTGACTGGACAGAGATTATGTATAGGCCAGTTAGAGCTCACTGAGCAGAGTGATGGCCCAGGCCTGACATGTTCTTAGAGCAGGTGGATTTAGCTATGATAAGCAGGTCATCCATCCAGACGTGGAGAACAGAGAGAACATTTTCATTCTGTCTGCTCGCCCACACAGAGCTCTGATTCAATGAAATTACAGGGTAATTGAAGGTGGAGTACTCCACTCACAATGGCTAATTAATGTGCTTGCTGATTTTAAGACAACTGAAGCAAGCACACATTTCCTTCAGGAAAGGTACATTTTCTAGTACCTGTGTGCATTTCTAACACATGGCCCTAATATCTGAAGTAATAAAAAAAAGTTTTATTGTGGAAATCTAGCTTGAATAGTAATCAAAAAAAGAAGAGAAACAGACAGATATGGGCATCAGAGAGTAGGAACGAAACCGTTTCTTGCCCACAGGGCTGTCGCAGATCCATTCCTCCAACCACAGTGACAGAAAGTTTTATTTATCTCCCTGGCCCATCTGTGCAGCCAGACAGTCCAACCTCCTCCCTGAGAAAGCTATTTTTGATTATCTGCGCCGCCATTTTAATACAACAGCTACATCGCCACAGTGTTCCAATGGCAGTGAAGGTCTGTCAAGCGTGCCAACTCCATCTTCCTCGCTGCTTACTACGGGTTCATCCAGAGTACACCTGCTGGAAGGGGAGGTATCGTATAGAAAGAAGCACAGAGAGTAAATGTATTCTAATGACAATGCCCTAACTTCAATCTCTCCTAGATTTTTCCCCTTTAATTTGGTGTAATGCATATCTGAATTTTGGATATGATGATCTTTAAGTCTCAGGAGAAAATACAGTGGGGTTATGGATAACACCTTTCTGTGGGCACCAAGGATGCCATGCAATTTCCATACCAAGAAATAGTCCTTCAGTTTTAAAAGAATCAAGTGGCCCTTTATGGCAGTCTGGGATGTTTTCTGTGCAGTGGCGGACTTACCATTAGGCAGAAGAGGAATTTGCCTCAGGCCTCACATCATCAGGGGCCTCATGGACTGGGCATAATAAAACCAAAAAATACTAGTAACAAAATAAAATATTATAAAAAATAATCTCATAACAGCTGCCTTTGAATGACATAAATGAATGATTGATTGAGATATATTGAAGTAAGTTACATTAAGATCAAAGGAGGCTGGT